CTTCAAATGGTAAGGCACGGTGCGATGTCTTGCAATAATATGCATGGTTGTATCCGGATCAAAAAGGGATTCCTTGGAAGCTTTCAGGGCCTGGCACAGTTAAACCTTATCCGCAAAACAACAAAGTCGGACAATATAGACCGATCACGACTCTGTGTGTCTTCCGACGTGAGGGCAAAAAGAGAATCTTGTCATACAGACAAGCTCATGTCGGTGGAGAGGCTCGAACTCTCGACCTTTGGATTACTCTGACCTAGGGTCAAATCACAGTCTTGCTATGAGACCAACGCTCTAACCAACTGAGCCACACCGACTTGTCAAAAGTTAAGCATTGGTCAACTTAAGAAGGTAGTCGTGAGGAGGTGGTGAGGGAGGAAGCGGCCGAGCATAGCAACGCCTAGTCTGTTGTAGTTATGCATTGAGATAAGAATAGCGCCCTAGCTGCAGTTTTTGAGTGTGAGACAATGTTTTGAATACCTACTTGCTTGGTGAAAGGTCTCCCTGTCTTTGCAGCTGACATTGTGGCACAGCGCTTGAACTGTGGCTGTTATGGCTGTTGTCATTGTAGGAGTGGGCCTTCGGAACCTTGCGAATAGCACCACAAAAAAAAAGTTGATCGCCATTGAATGCTGGCAGAATAGCAAAAGATATTGTCGGTGGAGAGGCTCGAACTCTCGACCTTTGGATGACCTTGATTTCTAATCGAGTCAATCTGATTTCAGATATGAGACCAACGCTCTAACCAACTGAGCCACACCGACGTTGCTGAACTGAGCTAGTCGCCCAATTCGATGGCTGAGGGCGAGCGCAACGGCCTACATGAAGGGATATCTTGGCAAATCCGGGGAAAGGGGACAGCATAAGATCGGTATGTGATAATCTGGGGACCAGAAAGATCATGGAACTTCGTCCTGTACAGGTCTAGATGCCGTCTCTTGACGCGGGCCGCTTCGCGCTGTAGTTGGAGAAACGTGATCGGTTTTTGCGGGAGGTCTCGCCGCGAGCATCATCAAAACATCGGGAGAATTCGTCAATTAATAAACGGAGTTTTGTCGTATTTCGGTATTTTACATCATCTCGGAATCCATTGAAGTGGTGTTTGGACAATGGATTGACTGATGATGGAGGTGATTCGGGTTGTACAGGGGAATGATGCATAGGAGATTATTGAGTCACTGGCGACTTACAAGCATGGTTCGATGTATCCGTATGTACAACAGAAAATGCACAACCGTTAGGCTGTACTGTCAATCGATACTACAATGTCTACGATTCAGTCAGGAATTACTAGCGACTAATTACATTCGAATTGATTGAAGTGCAAGACTTGAGAGTCATGACGGGAACAAGAGGCAAAAAAAAAAGAAGAAGAATAAACATTCCATAGATCGCCCTGCAGGGTAGCACACTGACAATTGCCAGGTTGGCAAGGTTGGCTACCCAGCCCAAAAAATTAGTGGAGGTCAAAGCCAATGACATCCATCGCCTCTTGAGCCGTAGCACGCCATTACACATGGAACCACCAATGAAAGTACCCCGCACCTCCAAAAATCGCAACCTTGACCCCGCCAACTCACCCTCAAAATCCTCTGAGGCTCAGGCTAAGGTTTACTCTCGGCACAGGTGAGCTTTTTGCCGCGGGCGCTAGGTCACCTTAGCTCCTCCCATGTACCTTCTGGTGGCCGTCTTCGGAACCCGTACAGCAAAAGAAAGGGAAAATTTTCTTGAGTAACTTACTGGAGGAAAGAGGGACCTTAATGGACAGCCCAGCCTAGACTACTACTTATTACTTCTATCCGTTCCCTCCCACATGCTTCTTCCTTTCTCTCTTCCTCCTCACTCACTCATCCACCTCTAAAGGAACATATCACCTGTTTCTTTCCACATCAACACCAAATACCTTCACAATGTCTCCCACAAACGCCGAGTATGCGCTCTCCGAGTCGCACAAGGAGGTAAAGCTCCCCGCCATTGCCCCTCGTCCTGTCATGAGGGCATTGCCAGATCGACTGACTCACAATCGTATAGATGCTCGAGAAGTCCCTCCTCGACTCCGACCCTGAGGTCGCTTCCATCATGGTGCGTTCTGCTCAATTGAATCCCTCAAGCCTCTAGCAATGACTTACACCCATTACAGAAGGATGAGATCCAGCGTCAGCGCGAGTCCATCGTCCTCATCGCCTCCGAGAACATCACCTCCCGCGCCGTCTTCGACGCCCTTGGTTCCCCCATGTCCAACAAGTACTCTGAGGGTTACCCCGGTGCTCGTTACTATGGTGGCAACCAGCACATTGACCAGATCGAGCTTCTCTGCCAGCGCCGTGCCCTTGAGGCCTTCCACCTCGACTCTGAGAAGTGGGGTGTCAACGTCCAGTGCCTGTCTGGATCTCCCGCCAACCTCCAGGTCTACCAGGCTATCATGCCTCCTCACGGTCGTCTCATGGGTCTTGACCTCCCCCACGGTGGCCATCTGAGCCACGGTTACCAGACCCCCGCCAAGAAGTGAGTGCAAAAGAACGAGCGGGAATCGACTGCACAGGTTGCTAACAGTGCTTGACAGGATCTCTGCTGTCTCTACCTACTTCGAGACCATGCCCTACCGTGTCGACCTTGACACCGGTATCATTGACTACGACACCCTCCAGAAGAACGCCATCCTCTACCGCCCCAAGGTCCTGGTTGCCGGAACCTCTGCCTACTGCCGTCTCATCGACTACGAGCGTATGCGCAAGATTGCCGACTCCGTCGGTGCTTACCTCGTTGTCGATATGGCTCACATCTCTGGTCTCATCGCCGCCGAGGTCATCCCTACCCCCTTCAAGTACGCCGATATCGTCACCACCACCACCCACAAGTCTCTCCGTGGTCCCCGTGGCGCCATGATCTTCTTCCGCAAGGGCGTCCGCTCCGTCGACGCCAAGACTGGCAAGGAGACCCTCTACGACCTCGAGAACCCCATCAACTTCTCCGTCTTCCCTGGTCACCAGGGTGGTCCCCACAACCACACCATCACCGCTCTGGCTGTTGCCCTGAAGCAGGCTGCCAGCCCCGACTTCAAGGCCTACCAGGAGAAGGTTGTCTCCAACGCCAAGACCCTGGAGAACACCTTCAAGACCCTCGGCCACAAGCTTGTCTCTGACGGCACTGACAGCCACATGGTCCTTGTTGACCTTCGCCAGCACAACCTCGACGGTGCCCGTGTTGAGGCCGTCCTTGAGCAGATCAACATTGCTTGCAACAAGAACTCCATCCCCGGCGACAAGTCCGCCCTTACCCCTTGCGGTATCCGTATCGGTACCCCCGCCATGACTTCTCGTGGTTTCGGTGAGAAGGAGTTCGAGCGTGTCGCCAAGTACATTGACGAGGCCATCAAGATCTGCAAGGAGGAGCAAGCTGCCCTCCCCAAGGAGGCCAACAAGCTCAAGGACTTCAAGGCCCGCGTTGCCAGCGGCGAGGTCCAGAAGATCAACGATTACCGCAAGGAGATTGCCTCTTGGTGCAACGCCTTCCCTCTCCCTGTCGAGGGTTGGCGTCTGGACGCCAGCATCTAAGATGTCTGGCACTAAAACCTACTGCTCTTCGGAAAGGCCATCCATCTCTCAACATGATGTGATGCCCTAGTGTCGATACGCATTTAACATGGATGAGGCAAATGGCGAAACGTTCAACAAGCATGCATTTCATCACGGCGCAAATACCTAGTTTTGTTTTTATGGTCAAGGGATTTCTTTTTTCAGATCGGGATATGTGAGCATCCTTCAACAAGATGGATTCGCCTGAAAAAGATGGTGTGGGAGTTGGGTTACTTATGATATCTAAGAAGAATGTTTCATCTTCTCTGTGATTTTCTCGATATCCTCCCTTGCGGTGTGATATCAAGACAGTTTGAAACAGCACCTCATTAGGGGGCAGCAGACACTAAAAAAAATACAACTACTGATTAAATGTCTGAAATCGTTTTGTCCTCTGTATTTGCATTCTTGAACACAACAACCAAATCTCACTGGTTCTCGAAGTCTACAGACTCCAACACTTACTTTCCATTGATTGATTGACTGACTGACTGGGCGATGCGTTTAAAACATAAACTCTTGCCCATATATACTAATAGTCAACATACTCACTCGTCACTCTCAGCATTCACATTCGTATTCAAAATTGCATTGTTTTATCATCGTCCAATCCTGTGTTTATTGCTTCTTTATGACCTGTCCCATCCTATCCCAACAATCCAAGCACTTTCCATCTCATCCTCACAGTTCGTCCTTCCATTCATCCATCACGTCGTTCTAGGAAAAAACAAGAAAAGACAAAAGATGAGGCGGCTCATATACAGTGCACGATGGCCTGCTAAGAGCCACCTCCCCTTCGTCATCGACTGGTTGTGCCTCCATCCCTCCATATTACCATTCCAGTAAGTCCTCCAGTACGCCGGCTAATCATTGAGAAAGCCATCCCGCATCCCACAGCATGCTTGTCCGCTTTTGGTTTGTCCAAATCAACCTGCATTGAAGGCCGCTCGCATATTACACCTTGATGGGTACCGCCGCAGTCGATTGGGGCGACCTTCCTGTTGTGTATCGCGCAAAGAGATGCTGTGCCAACCCACAGCCTCAAGATATAAAATAAGAAAGAACCAGGAACGCCATGAATAGATGATGTATTGAGTGATGACTCATATGCAAAGTCAAGGGCAGGGAAAACAAAACAAGAACCAAAGACCAACTGCCGTGGTTGTCGCGAATTGTTCGCGGGGGTATGTGAAAAAGACCAACGACTTCAAGTGTAGATATAATAAAAAAGTAATACACGATTTATATGTAAAAAGAAAGTTCCAAATGCATTGCTCAATGGTTTCCTGACATTTGTTGTGTTTTCCAGGCATCGTTTTGAACGGAACCGGACATAACATTATTGTATGTTTCAAGCGGTGCAGAAAGAATTCCGTAGTGGTTGTTCACCAGGCTCGTATATAGTCGCTACCGGAAGCTTTGCTTGGCCTACTGAGCAATGCTTTCCGGGCTCATCATACCGATTGTATCGTCCTTGTCGGTTTGACTAGCGTTGCCCTGGCTCTGCATGCTGTCTTGTCGTTCCATGCTGGGGGCCAAAGCGAGGACCGCAGGATTAGGCACAGGACCAGTCGTGCTAGTCATAGACTTCTTCTTGCCAGGGGTGGCATTGGGTGCCCCCTTTTCAGGTGATGCGTTGGCGTTGGCTTTAGCCTCGGCAGCAGCAGCGTCCATCTTCTTCTTCTTCTTTGCAAGAGCCAGTTGCTCCTTAGGAGAACGCTTTTGAGCAGTAACAATCTTTCCGCTGGCTCCCAAACGAGGACGAGGCTTCTTTTGCTTTGTAGGCAGGTCTTCGTCCTCCACAAGGGGCTGATCGCCATTAGCGTGCAGCTTAGCCAGGAAGAAGTTCTTGACCAGCCCAACTTGCTCCTGGATATTCTCCTTGGTGACTGGATCCGAAACTGGCAGGGGCTCGAAGAGATCCGTAGCTGCTTCGCCAGTTGTCTGTGTCTGCATCTGGTGTATGTTTCGGACTCGGGTTTGTAGGAGATGCAAGGGTACTGAGATCATATCAAGTCCCATCTCCTTATCCAGACCCAAAGCCCGGAATCCAAAGAAGTCTTCACCAAGGTCCTCAGCAAAGTCACCACTGACAAACTGCTCACTGCCGTCCTTGAAAGCTCCAACCCCATCAACTCCAGCGTCTTGCGATAAAGCAGGTCGTAACAGATCTGTGAGATGTAGCTTCATCCTCTCATGCAGACCGTCCAACTTGCCGCCAAGTCGATCAATGTCATCCTTGGCGTACAGCTCCAGTGAGCTAATATCATGGCCGTTCTCGTCCAAAGTGTGAAGAATGACTTCTTCAGGAGTGAATCTAGGCTGGAATCTTGGTCCTTCGACATTCGTGGGCACCGATTTCTTTTCGGATTCGTTGTATACGTTGAAAGTTCGAACCAGCTTTTGGAAGTAATCGGCGACAATTCCAGTAAAGGCATCCATGGCCGAGGGCTGAAGCTCCTCAAATCCAGTGTGGTATAGCACCTTGGCAATGGAACGCTTGAGAGCGTCTTGACACGCCTCAGCTGCCATTACAGGACCATCATCAGCAATGAAATGAGGCTCGATGTCTTGTTCCACAAAGGGATCTGAGTTCGACTTAGGGAACTGATTTGTGTACACCTGAATCATATGAGTCTATATCCTTTATGGAATCTGGATGCTCCTTACCTGAGTTTGAACCTGCATTTGCTTGATGACAGAGATTCTGGTCGCAAGTTTCCTGGTCTCTTGAATTTGATGAATGTTTTCGTCCATCTTCTTTGTCAAACGACCTTGCGGCGCTACAAATGTCCCAGGTGGGACCAGTCGAAGAAACTCCTCGTGTTGATTGATGACCTGCCCTTCACCGTCTTCGATCCATTGGAGTTTCGGATGAATATCAGGAATGTTACTCAGGGTGTCGTAATAATCAGGGATCACTTTGGCAGCTTCTTCTTCAATTTCCTCTGCCAAAGTCTCGGTTGGTTTTGTTGCCGAATCGTCGGAGGCCGCAGCTGTCGAGTTCGCAAGAGCATGGGTGATGATGCCCTCTGCTTCTGCTTCCCGTTGCCGTTTCAAGAATCGCCGCATACCCCCTTTGGTTCGGACTAGAGCAGGGGCTTCCGTGTTGAACTTGTTGTCCTTGAAGAGTTGAAATCTCTCCTTGGCTACCAGGGCTCGGTCCTTCTTAGTGGTTTGCTTCCAGACTTTGTACTCTTCATCTTCGAAGGCCTGCTCGGCAGCTTCGCCAAATGCTGAGTTGAGGGCCAAACCATTGATGCTGGGCCCATCAATATCCATGGCGTCAGCATTGCTTCCGATGCCGGAATGACCATTAAGGCCGCTTGGTGTAGTCGATCCTCCAATAGGCGGAGTTCCGAAGCCATTACTTCCATCCACTTCCGAGCCCTCACGAACCTTTCCCAGGAGCCCATTTACTTGTAGTATTGGCTTCTGATCGATTGCTGGTGTGTCTTCTTTTTGATCGTTTGGCGCCTTCCGTGCTTTACTTGTACCCTTAGCCCCAGCCTTACGACCTCGTGAAGACATAATGGGCTCGTCGTCAGAGTCCTCGCCTGCATCATCTTCCCCACCATTCTGTTTTCGCCTTTCCTCAGCTTCAACCTCGGCTCGAGAACGGATAACAAGATCAGGGATGAGCGGGATCAGCTTCTCTGCCTCTTTCCTCATCCCGTTTGCCATACGTCTCAGGGGGTGATTCATGTCCTGGTTATATCTAAGGCAGTTATCCCAGATCAAGTTAAGATCTACGACAAAATCCGCCTTAGATTTGTAAGTCAGACTCTTCAGCTTCTTTGTCATGGTACCGAGATCCATGGGATTTTTGATGACTGAGCAAAGGTTAGCCTTGACCGTCCTGGCATATTGTTCCTGGCATCTTACGGTTGTAATAATCAGGCGCATCCCTCTTGTTGACTCTTGTCAAAAAGGGAGTGGAATATTCAGTATGCGCCTTGAGCTCTGTCAAGACCTTTTCCAAAGCTTCATACAATTCTTCCTGGTTGACATTCTCTTCACTGGCCCATTTGCTCCTGTTCTTGCGAACCTCATTCATCAAAAGTCTTAACTCAGCATCGGAGGCGCGAACTTGGTCTCGTTTCATGTCAATGCGGGCAATGAGGTGTTTCAATGTCAAGCTGGAAGCGCCAAGATTGGCGCTACTAAGAGTGCCCTGGTTGGGGGCGGTATTTTGGTTATTACTCGGATGATGGTTGTGGTCCATTTCGGCCTGCAGCTGCTTCTCGGAATCTTCAAGTTGTTGTTGTTCGAGCATAGCCGCGCGGTCATTTTCTAGCGTATGAAAGATGGTGTGGAAACTCCTTCGAGCAGCGGCCTCGGTTGCTGTACGAGCCTCCTCCAATTTCTTGATAGAATCTTCGCCATCTTTGTCTTTGGGCTGCGAGCCGTCTTGTTCTTTGGATTTATCACCGTGCTTCCCTGGTGATGTCACCGAATGAACAGGCGAGCTCCCTGATTTGGATGGTGAGAGTAACGTATTAGCTGGAGCGACCTTTGGGGCCGCTTGTGATGGTTCATCATCATCTTCGTCATCATCATCGTAGTCGTCTTCATCGATGGTGCGCTTCGCTTTCTTTAGGGGTGGTTCCTTGATGGGCTCGTGGTCGGTTGTAGGGGGGATAACATGGGCGATAGGGGGCGGAGAACGTCGAAGAGCGGCAATCGCGGGATAGTTATACGAGCCATCTTCGGAAAACAATAGCGCGACCTTGTCCTCGGTCTGGCGATATAAATCCGCGAATAGGGCGCGTCGATTCTCGTCCTCTATATCAGGTTGTGCCTCAGGCATCAGCACACTGGAATTATCAATGGGTGTCTGTGTGCGCGCCGGAACATCGTCAAGATGTGTCAGGCTTCTATTGCTGTTTGTGTGCTGCAAGTGAGGAGGCTGCCAGGCGGGCTGGCCGTTTGTGATGGACATGATGGGCCCAGGGCGATGACAGCGACAACGGGGCGCGAGTCGCCATGCGCAACAAGATGCGCTCGCGTGCGGCGGAACCGAGGGCGATTGGAGAGCTCAAGACCGCATGGGATGAACGGCAGGCATCGACTGAGATGGCAGACAGAAATTGGCGAATAACGGAGACGTGGAAGGTTGTGTTTTGATGGATCGCAATCTGCGGTTTTGTCGTCTGTTCAAGAGGTGAGGTTGAGGATTTGGGGGGTGCCTTGTAAGGTACCTTTCCCGAAGCGGAGACTTTTCCCTGAGTGATCAGTGATCTGGCTGCTGGCGCGCGCTGGGCCAACTCGTGGGGGGGAATCTCGCGGGGAGAGTTGCGGGTACCTAGGTACCTATGGTCCAATCTGGTCGAATCGTAGAGTTTGGAGCGATAAAGCCGCGTTCGAATTTGGATAAAGACCTTGATTTTGTATTTTGTATTTCAGGTCGTCTCGTAAGTATAGAATCCAGTTTTACTGGATCAATTTACTACTATTATGTACAGCTGTCTACCTCAAAACCATACTATCAATGTATTCTGTACATAGGAAATTGCTTCGGACTCCAGGTCGACGCTTATGACGGACCAGACAGTTCTTTGTCAGCAGATCACGTGCAACCAGCACAAAGGCATATCGAGGGAGGACAGGCCACGATATCCGGGTAGCTTGGAGAACGGATACGTTAAAGAAATATACACTTAAATAAGTACGAGAAACCAGTTTCAGTTTCTGTACAAGTTGATGCAGTACCCCCTGCGGAAGTTACAGTCTCTAGCTGACCAGGCGCGCCGCTTCTAACCTTCAAAACAGTTTGCCTTGTAGCTTTAGCATAGACCGACGAACTACTAGGTATTCGCATTGGGTATACTAAGAACACAACAACGTGAAACTGACAACTACATTATATAGTGTCAGTCCAGCGCTCTAGAGTGTCGAGGTATCTGTGTAATTGTATTGATACCTTCACTTTTTATACTGACTGTTCCTCTGTTCATATCCTGCCTACCCCATCCAATAGTACCTTGTGAAGACCATTACAAGCAAAACATATCCTTGACTCCACCATCAAATAACCAAGAATAGACGCCATCTCTCCAGACGACCCCAAAGATGATCTCCAGCCAGTGATACACAAGATCGTTGGGGAATATGAGGGGCAGCTGTACCTGTGCCTGAGTCTGTGCCTGCACGCGCAAGTCTAGAACGGGGGACCCATGAGATCACCAGCGCCAAAGAAAAAGAAGAAAACGACGGGACAGCTACTACGTCTGAGCCTGCTGGGCGGGTGGGTGTCAGAAGAATTGTCCTCTGAGGCTTAGGTTATGGAAATAAATCAGTCTAATTGCTAGTCTAAGCTCACATATAATAACCAAATTATTTCGTCTCTTATACTCTCGATGGCCAATTCTTCTGACACCTTGACGCTGGGCTGCTGGGGTCTGGGGGATGCATACGCAAGAGCCCACGTTTCCACTCCCTTCCCGATTCTATTGGCAACTGCTTGGTACCTAACCCTGTCATGTTCGATTGTGCACCGCCACTTTCCTGGAGCACTCAAGCCACAAAGACAATCGTCACTTTTGAGCTCCACGGTTGCATTTCTCTCAGCTTCGTCTCTAAACGCCCAGCCTCTTTACCTTGAACGTATAATAGCTCAAGGGCCTAACATCGCAAACACCAGGGAACCCCCTTCCAATATTAAGTAGGCGTTATACTCTTCAGAGCGCTTCCCTAAAGAAACACAGCATTGACCAAGAGCTTGGCTTTTGCTCCATAGCTACACTTCATCATGAGAATACGACTCCCAGTTGCAGGTACGTCATTGCGTTGTGTTCGTCCTAATTGAGGATCAGAAGTGGATTGTCATTTGATTGCATTCGATACAATGCTATATCATGGGTGATATTGACTACTCGTTGTCAGGTGTTTTCCTGCTCTTGCTCCTCATCGCCGCCTATGCCGGCCTGACCTCGATACAGCTTGGTCAATATATCAACGACAAAGTACTACACTTCATCACCTTTTTCACAATTACCGTCGTATTCTATTGGGTTGTCGACACTAATCGAAGGCGAGTCATGAACATGACCTTGGTGGTTTGTACCATCGTCCTTGGTGTTGGATCCGAGTTCGTGCAGAGCTTTCTCGACAATGGCCGGGAATTCGACTTATATGACATTGTTGCGAATGTGATAGGCAGCTTACTCGGCGTTGGACTCTGCTCGTGGTATCACAAGCGAATGCTCGAGCGCAAGCGACGTAGACGGTACAGTGCCGTTCCTGGTGAGGACGAAGGTGACGTTGAGCTTGGCGAAGGCCACGAAACTGGCGTGGTGGACGAGACGAGTCGAGCTCGCACTCTAGAAGAAGAGGTTGATAACTGGGATGAGAATCAGATCGACGATGACTGGGACGAGGAAGAAGCACACGAGGCTTCAACCAATACCCATGCCCTGGACAACAGTGCCGATATTGGAGATTTGGCAGATAGTAAGAAGCGAATGGATTAGGGCAACCTTTGGGGTTTGGCCTTAGTCATGTAGGTATACCTTACCACGACTTATGACTGGATGGTTTTATACGATTTATGCCAACTCAATATACCTATGATGTTGCTAGAACGGTGACTTCATTGGGGACATTGGGCACTGATTTGTTTCACGTTCGAAATATCATCAATTCAGGAGTTCCTCCCAAGTCTATATCGTTCTGACTGCAGTGTTATTTGGCATAAAGCAAAACACGTTGCTATGCTCGAGTTCCCACCGACACCAAATCCTCATCTAAAGATGGTTTGTTTTTCAGCTCAAATGTTGTCACATGGTCGAATCTGGTTGTCTTGGCGAACCCGGCCGCCTCCCATTAAACATTGACCGATTCAAGAGCATGCCTCTATGGGCGTGATAAATGAGTTGTCGAGAGGGACCCAATGGAGAAGAGTATAAAGCAGGGTTTTCCCTTGACTCTGTCTCGGGAAACCTGGGTAGATGAGTGGTTGGGTTAAGGCCATCTGGTCCACCTTCTGCATCGTGATACGGAGAAGGTGGCGGGTTTCTATCTGGTGTATCAGGGACAGATGTCATAACCAGCTCCCTTAATGTTAGAGGCGGAGAAGATTCTGTCTCCTCTTCCTGAGGTGGTGAGAGCGAAACAGATCCCGGACGAGGACGACCATCACCAATCGTTCCGTATGGGCAACGGCGCTCAGCTTGAACATTTCTGCGAAGCACTTCGCGCATAAATCGTTGGGGTTGAGTGTAATGCATTGGTGGTCCAGTCTCCTGGCCAGATCTCAGGGATTCAGTTACCTCGGACATCTGCCAATGTGTGTGATCCGGAAACCGATTAAACGTCTTCTCAACCTCGGGCCGTGGCGGGTGATATCTCTCGGGGTCAGATTTGAAGGGAAAATGCTGTTCTTGGTGCAATAGTGAGTGGAGTTCAGTGATATTGTCTCCCTTGCCTATTTCGATCCTCATGGTTTAAGTTAACGCAATCCCAAGATCGATGCAGTGAGTGTATTTGGGTACTGCAACATGGTGAGACTAGTGACATGAACAAGGGCAGCAATACGTACATTTTATATTCCAAAGACGACAATGTCCAGAATACTAGTCTTCTTGGTAGGAGTATATAGATGTTCATTTTTCGCTTTAAGCTCAGGGTTTGGTGCCTACAGGCGCGCAGCGAGCTTCTTCAAAACTTAACCATGAAAGACGGCCTCCGAGAGAAAATGTGATTGATGCTGTGGTACCTAAACCAGGGAAGACTGATGCTTAAAAGCTGAATTCACACATGACAAGCTTTAGATCTATAGACTCAAGATGCGTCTCACGAGTTCTTCGCCAAGATTGCCAATACTTCTGTAAAGCTTCAGTCCGTCAGCGATGCGATTTTAGACATGGAGTAACTCCTAGGTAAACATTTAAATCTAAATTCCGGTTCATCAAGAATTAGGAAGATATATAGCCTCTTATCTTTCCAATCATGAGATCTGGATAGTACCTAGTTATAATACTTGCCAAAAGAAGCAGTTTCTAAGTTCACTACTTTCTGTTCTTCTTTCTTATTATATTTAAGGCGATTCTGTAAGGCATTCTCATATTAGTAATTCAGCTCTTAAATTTCACTATCGTTCAAAATTTCTCATATAGAGCTTGTTAAATATTGCTGATAGAGACTCTGGTTTATAGCAATCAAGGTGAATGCCCCACCTTCACCGCTCACCGAAGCCAGGTGAGGAACGAGAGACCCCACTGACGAAATGTCGCCCAGTCGCAAAACCCGCCCACGCCTGGCAGCTTCAAGACAGCAGGTACCTCATTCTTGTTTTTGAAGTACAGCACCGACAAGATGGCATCAAAAGGAAAGGAAGCAGCAGCAAGGTCAGACTAAGAGATAATCCCTTTCCATCTAGATACGAGAAAAACAAGCAGAAACTGATACAAAATAGTAAAGATGCTACACCTACCAATCCGCGGGGCATCCCCTATGCCCCGTTTGTCGATAAGGTCGAGGACTATGTTACCACACGAGATGACGTCGAACCCACTCTCCGCAGTTTCCAAGAGATGATCTCGTGAGTTTACAATCGCTTGGAGCTCTGGGACAATACATGCCCTCGAAAGCTTGCTCCATGCAGCTCGACATAGAACTGGCGCTGACCGAGCATGGCGGGGTAGGAAATACCAATTCATGGAGATGAACCTACAGAAGCGAATGGGCGGCCTTAAGGACAAAATCCCTGATATTCAGAAGACTCTCGACTCGGTCAAGTTTCTCAAGCTAAGAAAGGTACGCACGTGCAGTATATGTACATGCATAGCAGTATTGATACAAGTCATAGGACGATGATGAAGCGATAGAGACAACATTCGAGCTTAACGACACCTTGTATTCAAAGGCGAAGATACCCGCGACTGAGGAGGTCTATATCTGGCTCGGAGTAAGACAATCGCTATCGAAATTACCAGCATGGAACTGACGTTTAATTTTAGGCCAACGTCATGCTCTCATACCCCATAGACGAGGCGGAGACACTACTGAGCTCTAAGCTCTCGACAGCAAAGACAAGCTTGTCAAACTGCGAAGAGGACTTGGACTTTCTTCGCGAGCAGATCACGGTATGCTGTATAGCTCCCCCTACCGCCCTGAATTGTTACTGACAGGACTCAGACCATGGAGGTCGCTGTAGCTAGAGTTTATAACTGGGAGGTGGTACAGAAGCGAAAGGACAAGGCAGAAGAGGATGAAGAGAAGAAGAAGGGCAAGTCACAAGGTGATTGAATCACAAGTCCCTGCGCCGCTGTACTATGTGTCTATGAAATATCGAAGTATATAAAGGAAAGCAGCAAAAATAGGAAAAGTACAATGCTTTTTGGTAGAATCGTGATATCTAAGATACTATGCCTAGGAGGCATGATATTGCTCTTTGAGTGACAACGGAGTACGTAGCGAAATCACAATCTTTAGAAAAAGGAAAAGAAAAAACAGTACAATTCATCCAAATTATCACAGAAAAGATACAAGACAATATTACATTCCCAACTTGATCAGATTAATAGTGTAGTAACAGGGCCTGTCATGATGGGACTGGGGAAACCTCGGAATGGTTGGCCAAGTTGAGTGCGAATTAAAACTAAACCTGATAATCCGATAAACTCGATTGGCGCATACAGAAACTTTGGTGGACAACAATCAATCATTTCCCTCCCACGTCATTTCTCACTATCTGCCTCCCATCACCGAGTTCACTTATAATATCCTTCTGTTTAAGCCATTGCGCTAGCCCGGAAGAAATGAGGGAGAGATGCTGAGAAGTGCAACCCGGGAGCTGAGGCATGGATGGCAGGCGTCGCAGCATGTGGTAACCCAAGCCAAGGTAAGTTTTCAAACCCAATTCCAAGAACTTGAAGCTCACAATTCTTTTGTTTCCAGACTACCTACTACCCAAGTTCCATTCAGTCTCGTCGGTCATCTTCCATACTCGACAGCATCGAAGCTGTAATATCCGAGCGTCGCCGCAGTCATGATAGACTTCCATCCAAGGCCGAGCTTAAAATTCAATTAAAACGAGACCGAGATCGAGAAGATGTCACTAGCCCAGAAGCTCAGAAGGTTGAAGATGCGATACTGCAGCGTCGCATGGAGGTTGACCGATCCTCACTGAACCCTGGTTTCAAGCGAAAGTTAGTCAATGATCGAAAAGACACAAATGCCGAACAATTCACATTACCGTTGAACAACATGCGCGACCGAATAGAGCGAAAATTAAACATGCAAAAAAGATGGGCAGAGCAAAGTCCTCCCACTTTACTCCGCAGATATATTGCAATAACCGACCCGGATCCATCATTACAGAGAAACGTCGCCAGTATTCGGAGTATGCGCCTACCTATCGTCTTGTTGCAAATGCATATTCGACGACAAGTAGCAGCCGATCCGATAGGCATGGAAGAGGTCGCCAAAGCCCTGCACCCAGAAGAGGAATGGAAGCGTTTGATGGGTGTGATGGAGTACAACGGACATTCGCAAGAACGTCTGAACGAATACGTCGATATTCTTTTCGCCAGAACTGATGAAGAGCGATGTCACTTGTTTCTGGTAGATTCGAGTGTGAAGCCTGGCTTCATTTTCAGCTATGTGTCAAGATTGTCATCGAGGATCAGACAAGTCTCGACCTTGGATGGTTTACTGGAATACTTCAGAAGGAGACTGAAGACTACGGCAGAGAAGAAACGAATCACGGATGTGAGATTGTATATCGAGGGGCGTGCACGCACTCAAATGCAGAAATTCGCACCAAAAGAGGTCATGGAGCATATGGAACGGCTCGCTTTCCACTGTCGTCGCATAGAACCGAGGCGTTTAATTGTTCTCGCTGAGATAATGGCAGAGTTTATTGTAGAGCTGGGAGCCAATTCTCACGGCGCCTCGGAGATAACCCCGGCGACTGAGCCCACGGCAGAAGCATACCACGCACAATGCAGATTCTTCAATGATTCACTCAGAACTATCGCTTCTCGGATGGGATCTGGGGCGGAGCATAAGGCGATACCATATGCGTACATCTGGGCGGCCCAACATATCCTTCTGGCGATGTCTGATAGTCTCCCGCAACCCTTGTCGGTAGACAGAAACGGGTTTGAGGCCATCAGAGCTGTTCTGGCTGGAATGCCTAAGAATATGGATGAACGGCATGCCGCATCTCGACACTCAGAGTCGTGGCCTCCGTACTTGGTACCGGCGGATGGCATCGATGAGGCCATGGAGGCCGAGGAAAGCTGGTCTCGCGTTGTTCGAGCAGGGATGATGATGCAGGAAGCGGGATTTCCTAAACAGGAGGTCGACGAAGTCATCGATATTCTATACGGTCTGGCACCCGATGGCAGTCCAACAATCCAGCAGCGGGTGCAAATCAACACAGCCCGGAAGGTGTCAGCCTGGGCAGCATCCATCAGAGCGACGAGGAATGCTCATGAAGCATGGCAGCGGTTCAACAACCCCCCGGAGCCAGGCATGAAGCCTGGGGTACTCGAATATACCGCCATGTTTCAAAGGTTATACGCCAGGGAAGCTGATCCTCGTCACGGCACATTGCCCGGAGATAACCATCTTAACTATCTCACGAATGAAGACAAAAACTTGACAGAGTTGGAAAAGTTGCGACTGCAGCCTCCGACACCAGGAGAACTGTATAGCATGATGGTGGAAGACGACATCCGCCCGGACGAACAGTGCCTTCGCATCTTGGTCTCTAACGCTGAGAATGTCGCTGCAGGTCATCGGTATTTAGAGGACGGCAGCACTGCTCGAAAGAACTACCACGCATTGACGATGGCCTTTCCTTCAACTAATCAATTGAGGAAAATCCCCTTACCGCTGTTCTCAGCCTATATGGAACTCCTCTCCAAGATCCCTAATCTTGGCGGTAAGAATCTCATACGTGCTATCCGGCTCGCAGAGCGTCGCCTGAGCGGCAACAATGCTAATTGGTCATCCTATGTGTGGGCGCCTATCTTAAAACAACTTGCGCAGCACCATGGACGCTTACAACTTACCCTCGAGGCACAGCTCCGTCTGTGGTTATATGTCGTGGATCATATCGATGTCGATAAGTCCATGAACCTGGTTATTGTTAACGAGCTCGCCAAAACTTTACGGAAGATCTTGCGAAGAGAGGTGGAGAAGCTGGCAGAGACTCTGCCAACAGACAAGGCGGACAGCAACTCATTCGCGCTTCATTACGAGGCCCAGGCCATTGAGGCTGGTAAGAACACCAAGTACATCAGGAATGTGCCAGAGCACTCGGCATTGTCAATGTTTGAAATTGTTGGGGAACGGTTAATGGGCCTGTTCTACTCCGTTGTCTTGAAGGAAAAAGAGGGATCACGCCCAGCAGATAGCTTACACGTGTCACACGCGGACATGATGCGAGCGCGAAGGGATCCGGTGATGCCATCTGTCGCCCACAATTTGATGCTGGCGCTGGCGTTTGCAGGGGAAGTCAGGGCGATGTCAGACATGATGAAGTGGCTCATCCGGGAGTGGAGCTTGCCGGAGCTTCAAGAAGAGATACAGAACATGGGGGAGCTGCCGCAAGACTTGGACATGATCGAAACGTTGTGTGCGTTCCGTGCATTTGCGGAGCCTTTGATCAGACGTCGAAAGGTCAAGCAAGTCTTTGAAGGCGTTATGGAGAACAGAATATGGGAGTGGCCGGATGACACGGTGGTGGACAAGTACATCGAAAGCCATGGAAACGGCGTGAAGGAGTTGAGGGACGTCTCAACCTGGGCCCGCGAACGATTTCTCCATTACAGGAACAACAAGATTACCGATGTCCACGATCTGAACATAGATTGGATAGTCACAGAGCACAAGACTTCGAAAGAGCAGCGTGATGCTGTCAATGATCTCAGAAGAAGAGTATTTTCTGAGGATGCGGACGAGATGATAGAGGAGGAGGAGGAAGAGGAAGAAGAAAGGGAAGAGTCATCATCTCCAGGCCAAGTGGCGTAGTGGATTGGATACAAAGCTTGGCTTGTGGAAGAGTTTGTTGTACTTTGAGGATAGACAAAAGCAGAAAGGTGGCATTTAGACGCGGTGGCGCTTATTGTATACCATATACCCATGCATGGATACCTGGATTTGTATAACATGAATAAGGCGTTGGGTAGCTGAAACAATAGTAGCACAAGAAGTAATGCAAAGTTAAGAAAAGGGATCTATCTCTTTTGTAGTTGACGACTAAGAGCTAAGCCACGGCCTTGAAGTACGGTCATGGTAACTTACGAATGACGGGCGGCTATCGTCAAATGATGTTGAGACCCAAGAAGACGGTTCTGGAGGGAGTCTATTCTTGTCTGGCCAGTCAAGGAGGAGAATCCAGAGAGGAAATTAAAATGGCTGATCTGGTCTAGAACTGAAAGGCCATATATGGGTCGACCAAGTCCAAATACGGCATGATCTTGACCATGATCATGACCATGTCAATCTCCCGTTGTCAAGCCAAGGCAAAGCAAGGCCAGAGATGAGGGCATCACGAACCCCGGCTCCCCCTGCAACAAGCACTAAAAAGGCTTGTACTTGCACCGTAAGGCCGCATGGCGGTTCAGTGGAGAGGCGACGATTGGCAACTGAACCCCAGTAAGGTCGGGCCGTAGTGGAGACGGTGAACCAATAGGAACAGGCCGCGCATAGACGGTTGAAACAGAGCGCTTACAGCCAGTCTTTTACCGTGCAACTTGCCAATAACGAAACGAGAGCGATTGGCTGAGAAGGTTGGAGAATTCTTTTTTTATATGTGGGAAATGTTTTACTTGGGTCCATTTCTATTTGAGTGAGTTGCTGGGGTCTTTACTTGGGTTGGGCGCGTCGTGATACTCAGACTCTGACTCTGACTGGGGATCATGGATCCATGACAAGGAGTCTAAGTTGACGACCGGGTTAGTCTGGTAGTTTGCTGCCGTGAAAATCGATCAGATTCGATACGAGATGAGACTCCCTGTGAGTCGATTCATCGTCTTTTCCTGGCGCTTATTGGTTATGAATTGTTCCTGGGGTCTTGGGGGGAAGGAGGTACTGCATTGCATATACACTGGCTCTACCTGCTCAACTTCGAATGGATTCACTCTTACTTACTACAACACTCACTCTCTCTGAATCTAACTCTCAGATTTTTTCCCTTTCCCTTTTCCTTTTGTCAAGTTAATTTCCTATCTCTATCTCTCTTTCTTTGTGTGACTCTCTTTCATACTATCTCTCCATCTTTCTTTCATAGCTTTGTTCGCTTCCCCTGTTCGTCATTCCCTTTATCCATTCTGTGTTAACAAGGCCGGCTTTTCCTTGTACTCAGTTTGTGTGTCTCGGTTTCAGGGTATTGAACAAGTGAATTATTGCTCGCAGATAAACGCCATTGTTTGGCTTTACTGACTCTTAATCTATTTGGATCTCGGAGGAAGCATTTCGACAAACTTATCTTTTCATTTCGACTTTTATCACTACAACTTACACGAGGCTTTGACTCACGTACCAACGACAAACGAGACACACGACACGACCATATCTTTTCCAATCTCACGAGAAAACACTCTTTCCTTTTCCTACGTCTATATCAATTTGTCATTCATCATGCGTTATAATAGAATGAGGCTCGCTGTAGCCATCTCCTTCCTTTTGGCTGCCCAGTCCGCACAGGCTGGCCCTATGTGGACTGGCAGAGAAAAAAGAAACCCTGGCGTTTTCCTTGATGTTAGAATGGAAAACTCGCAAGCCCCTACTGCGGCTCACGACGGATATGGGTATGAACCGGACTTGAAAACAGGCCATGAAGAGCTATATCTGACTATATATGCTAGGTCGGACAGCGGCGATCAAACTACGCCGCGACCCATATTCGAGACCCTTAACTCGACTCCCAATCCTAACCCTCTACTTTCAAATAGCCCGAGCGATGACAAGAAGAACAGCCCCTACTCTGGCCTGCCTGAACCGGTCGAGGTCATTCCTGTCCAGCCAACCAATGATGCTCCTCAGCCAACTAGTGCAGCTGAGCAACCTACTCAAGAAGAGCCTGTGAACAAGCCAACTTTCACCCAGAACCCTTCCGCGCCGATTGTTACAACCTCTATTGTTCCCAAGGATCCTGCTACTGAAGTTCAAGCGCCAACTTCGGCGGCCGATCAGCCTCAGTACCCACCTCCTGAGGATAGTGCAGTACCTACTGAGTCTGGTCCGGCTACAAAGGAGATTCCAAGCTCAGCGGGTGAGGCCCCGACCTACAAGCCAGTCAACGAGGCCACTACTGCTGCCCCCGAGGTTCCCACTACCGAGGTCGCTCAAAAGCCAGAGAACACTGAGACAAGGGTCCTCGATTCGACTGTTGATCTTGGTACACTACAGCCATCAGAGGGAGAGAGTACCAAGCCAAGTGCTATCCAAGAGACTGCAACCCCTGAAGCAACCTCTCCCGAAGCAACTGTTCCCGCAGACGAGCAGCCTCAGACTACACCCGTCGAGGATGTGACAACCACATTTGCGTATCAACCAACTCCTAGCGAATACATCACAACGCAGGCCCCTGGCGATACTGCATTCCCGATTAACCCTAAGCATCCTTCCAACATCTACCCCACCCCTCCTACCACACCAGTAGCAGATGTTCCGGAGACTTCAGCTGCAGAGGCAAGTCCTACTGCTATTACTGAGACCGTTTCTGTAGCTCAGCCCAAGGAACCGCAGCTTGAGACTACATCCGACGCTCAACCCCAACCCGCACCAACTTCAGAGGTCGCTCAGCCTGAGAGTCAAATTCCTGCTTCCGAACCTGTCCAACCTGGCAACCCTGCTCCTACATCTGAGGACAAGCAGACATACTCTCCTGTGCAGAATCCTGGAAGCCAACAGCCTGATGCTCCTGCAGAGACTTCTCCTATTGCAACCTCAGCACCTATCGAACCCCAGAATCCTGACCCGACTCCAGAACCGGCTCAGCCCGAGACTCCCGCTACGTCTGCAATCGAGCAACCTGAAGCCCCGGCAGAGACTTCAGTAGTCCAACAACCATCTCCTGCTCCTTCAAATGCTATGCCTCAGTACCCAGGCCCTGATTCCAACACACAGCCCGCAGCACCCGTCGGACCTTCAACTACCGCTGTAGTTTCGAACCCTTCTTCCCCTGAGACTTCGTCAGTAGAAAAGATTGTTCCTACAGGCTCGCCAGCCAATGGCGTGCCTACAATCAATACCGAAGTTCCTACAGGCACGAGTGCAATTCCCGCTCCAGCTTACGCTAGCAACGTAGTTGATGCTCGAAAGTACAACGAAGATTTCGCGAAACTCACTCCTGAAACTGCGTGTACCCAGGGCCAAGCTGCTTGTATCAACGGACAGATGGCTCTATGCGGTGACGATGGCGCTTTCGAGCTTCTTTCTTGTGAAACCCAGGGAGAGAAGTGCTTTGCTCTCCCTTTGTACAACGTTGAGGGTGGTATCAAGATAATCTGTGAGGATCCTGCCACTGCGGCTAAGATTCTTGGAGGAACCCCTGGAGGCGGTGATGAGAACACTGCCCCTAGTAACGGAAACGAGGGCAGTCAACCAGTACCTACTTCTGCAGCTCAAGAACAACCTGAAGTTCCTGTTGTTACAATTACCACTATCGTTACTGTCGATGATGGTGCAGGCCCCGAACCTACTAGCAAGCCAGTTGAGGAGCAGCCTAGTCAACCTGCCCAGGAACAGCCAGCCCAGCCCACCGGGCCATCCCAGCCTGTCGGCGAGCAGCCTTCTCAGCCTGACTATCAGCAACCCATACAGACCCAGCCTATGCCTGAGAAGCCTACCCAGTCTGCTCCTGAACAACCAACTCAACCAGCCCCGGAGCAGCCAAGCCAACCTGTCACAGAACAGCCTGCACAGCCTAGTTCTCCGCAACCCTCTCAACCGGAACCGGAACGTCCTTCTCCACCAGCTCAGTCTCAGCCTGTTCGAGAATCGCCATCTCAGCCAAATGAGGAGAAGCCTCCCCAGACCAACCCACAAGAGCCTTCCAACCCTCAACCCACCAAGGCTTATGAGGACCTCCCACCCACAACTCCTCCTCCTGCTGAGCCAAGCGCCACCTCAGTCAATCTCCCAGGCGGCACAACCTTGACCAAGTCCATTAAGAAGCCTGACGAAGCCCAGCCCACTACCCCATCAGGTGGCGATGATGGCGATAATGATAACGATGATGACGGTGATGACAAGCCTACATCTGTAGAACTCATTCCTATTCCCGACAAGCCAACAAAGGCTCCTGCTCCCGCGGCCACTGAAGCCAACGCCGACAGCCAGGCTGACAAGAAGCCCGATGCTGTTACTCGCACTGGCAATGATGCGCATGCCACAACCATCATCGTGGACGGTACACCTACTGTATCCGTCTACTTCACTGTGACAGTCACAGACAAGGACCAGGCTACTGTCACTGTCACTGAAAAGGAGAAGGAGACTGTTACACTCGTGATTAGCGCCTAATTTTGTGATTATTTGCTTATAGAGATTGTTATTTTCGTTGTTTTGAACCATTTTCGAATTAAGTAGAGCGTATTGTGGTAATGAAGTTGATACACATATGGATGGGCACACGGCCAGAACAATACCTACCTAGATAGCAAGACCACTCAATTATCTAAGGTTAAGACAGATAGGAAAAAGTCTTCGAAACCATAATACAAAAGCTGTTTCTCATATTCATGACGTTCACAAACAGATTCACAGATGGTCCACAGAGTGTGCGCTGGGGTATCGTTACGTAGGTACGTACCTATTTGAATGTTATGTGTTAGATAGCTGCCAGTCACAACCAATCCTTATTCGTCCTTGTGGTATCATGAATACTAAATAAAAACCTCCGCAAGTCTTTCCTGACTTGAGTGCTCCTGTGTCATCGTCATCTCTCCATTACGAGATGCGAGCTCTATATATGGATATCATTACCCCTGAACCCCTTCCATGCTTGATCATACATTCCCCACCAATATCATATAAACACACAAGCAAATCGTATCCCGAAACTCATAATGGAATATTAGCAAACCCCGACATTCTCACCAAAACCCAGCGACCATCCAGAAAGCCTTTATCCCAACTCCGACCTTAACATTACCGCATGTCTCATGCCTCGAGTTTGTCTCTATAAGCCCCCTAAACAGATGATTTTCATCCTTACAACAGATGCCGAACAAGGCACATCCACGACCACTTCTTTCATCTTGTGACGGTAGTACCTTGAATGGTCTACGTTGAAGCTGGCGCTGAGCCATCAACGAAAGGGTCGCCCACCTCGAGTCTCTTAGCTGCAGGTTCGTTACCCTCTTCGTCGACGCCATATTTGTCTTGCCACAGTTTTCGCATGACTTGATAAATGAACAACAACTGAGGTCGGCCTTGAACCATACCCACGCGCTGTTCTCGGAGAAGGTCGACAGTCTCAAATATCAGGTCAGGGCCCTCATTTGGCTCGTCGTAATTCTCAAAAGTGCCCATCTCAAGCTCACGCATGAGATGCTCCAGGGTGATGAACGTACCAGTTCGACCAACGCCAGCACTGCAGTGAATTATCCGTGGATTAGTGGGTGCACTCAGTTCGCGAGACAGCTGCATGAGGTCAAAGAACCCATCAAGATCCTCGAGCTCAGGCACTCCGAAGTCAGGCCATCGTCGGTAAAGAAGATGCCACACAACGCGCGGTTCTTCTTCATCGTTGAGGCGCATGAGTAATTTACGCTTCTCAATGGCGCCTTCGGCCAGCTCCTCGTATGAATCGTATGTGACTTGAGCTTGCCAGTTGTCATTCCATGCATCGTGTTCGTTCAGAGTCCAGGTTGGTTGTTCTTCGTCATCAGGAAAGTATTGGTGACATTTGACAACTCCGCCTTCTGCCATGGTTGTAAGCTGCACGATAACAGCTGGCGAAGACATTTGTTCGGCAATCATGCGCCAAACGTAGTCAATCGAGGGAATAGTCGGCCCTTGCATAGCAATATACCGCAACGGCTCTGTATCAGGATCGGAGACCGAAGGAACTGTAATCTCGGAGGCGTTGACATAGTCAAGTTCTTGCTCAGGCACCTGAAGCTTGATTCGGTTGTGATTCCATGGCTTGATGTTGACGTAGCGATCCATCGCGCCCTTTTCCTGAACATCGACTTGCTTGAAAGTACCCCATTTGAAATCTTGGTCTGCTTCGTTTTTTGTACCCTCTTGAACTCGCTCGCGCTCGGCCCATTGTAACTCCTGGAATTTGAAGTCGATATCTATTAGAAATCAGTATTTTATTAACGGGCCTGTCACTCTTTGTCCAATTTCATACTTTGCAATGAAGACTCTAGGAAGGCAGGAATTCGGGGCTGTGCCCCATGATTATTGCCTGGCACATCGTCTTCGGCCGTGACGGGTCGACTCTTGACACCATCGTGGCTCACGACGGCCGGCGGAGGAGGGCTGGAAGGCAGCTCGGCGGGTGGGCTGTCGCGCGCTCTCTTAGCAGAGCTACGCAACCGGAAATTTTTGAAAGCTGCTCTCTTGGAGAGTTTGGTCTTCTGTGGTTGAGGTTGTCCTTGCTGCAGTTGCAACTGGAGGTTTGCGGCCTGCAGTTCGGAGCTGGCAATACTGTCGGCAGTGTCACTGCTGGAGCGTTCAACGGAGGTTTCGATGGTAGGTTTCTTAGGTTTGCGCCTGAACTTGGGGATCCTGTCCATGGCGTCGGGATACTGGAAAGACTGGCGTGAGGTCCCCAAGGAGAAGCAAAAGCTGCACCAGTAGGAGGGACTTGTCACAGATTTCAGCAGAGGGCTGACCAGCGGCGGACGCCCAAGTATAAGAAGTAGAGTCGACGGAGATTTGGGCCCAAGAAGAGGAATAGTGTCGTCGGGTCTTCCTGGCTGGTGGAGGCCAGACAGGGCAGGGGTCGGATCCGTGTGGGCTATGGGGCGCAAGTCAAATGCAGTGCAGTACCGTATGTACTAGAGCAGGTTACGAGGAGGCGAAAAGATGACGGGACCAGAAAGGGGAGGAAGTATGTAGACAAAAGGAGAGTAAGCAAAAAAAAGTAAAAGGAAGGGGAGGAAATAAAAATTTTGACGATGGTGATAAATAAATGAAACTAGGCAAGAATATCTACGGGCTACCTACTACTAAGAGTGAGTGATGGAGTGGTACCGTTTTAGGCCAGGAACGAGTGACGTGACGTGACGACGTGACCAAGTAATGGATGCGAACGTGAGTCTCAGAAAAAGACGTCACGTCAGTGAAAAAAAAGACTGCAAGAGGTGGAACGTGGGGAAAGAAAGTGTCTGATCGCACCCGCTTATACTCTGTACTTTCCTTTCCTTCAGGGCATGCCTACCTGAACTACGGCAGTTGTGAGGACCTTGTTACAGTGGATGCAGGGCCTGATCTGCAAGTAATCAATTTCATGGTCTTGCCTCTGATGATATTTGACAGATCTCTTCTAAGAACATTCCTTTTTGTTATTAAGACAAGTACATAGAGTACCCAATCCCGTGGCTCTGGGCAAATCCAACGTTGCTGATCATGCACTCAATTTATCTTGGATGTCAATCTAGAGTCGATAGTTCCACGGTACCTGGTCTAGTAAATTTCTTTTTCCCCTTTGCCCCTGTACTGCCCCTGTACACACAGTACCTTTCACACTGGACTGCTGTCGACTAAAGCGTGGGCAGGATAATTTTAGTAGCGTGGCGGCTGTTGGACGACATGGCCATTGTCTACTGTTTCTATTTTGGTCTACGGACAACGGGTTTTGGTCCGATCAATCAACTCCTTCAGCCGTATGTAAGAAAACGATAACCAACATCTTACTATTTATCCCTTTTGCCAGCAAGTTGATTCCTTCAGCAGTACTCTGTAATACCGTACTATCCACCTGCATTGCGGAGGCCAAATTAAACTCCATTCCCATCCATATTGGTCCAAGTTCCTACTATAATAGGACTTATCCATGCCCCTGTAGAAATCTGACAGGGAGATCGGACGAAGCTAACATACGATAGCCTAATTGAGACATGAGATTCATTTTATTCAGTCTTCTTGCAAGCAGCAGACTACAAGTTCGCAGAAAAGAAGGTTCATAACTGGCAAATTCCGTCCAACGCCGTACCGTGTCCTCGTAGATACAATACATGATTATATATTTCTGATAATACAGTAGTAGTGTTCTTACAAATTGAGCCCTATGGCTTGTCGTCTTAAACGGCAGAGTAAACGCCAGTCACATACTTGCCACACTCGACCTTTTGCTCCAAAGATACCTTTCGGCCCTTTCCACCATCCAAGCGGACTGTTTTGCGAGGAGTGACGCACAGCCGATGAAAACCCTCTGTGCCTTCCTTACGAGCATCTGCGGGACTGTCCAGAGCCGCGATGTACGCTGGCGCATTCAAATTGGTTCTCTTACCAGTGCCAAGCTGGAAGTGCTCGTTGCCACCCCAGAATACGACATCGGCACCCCAGTTGGTCTCGTTCTCTGTACCTTGGCTCGATATCGACAACTCGGTCACGTTGTCCATGATAGCCGAGCAATGGGTAGCGCCAACTGACAGGGACTTGAGCCTAATAGGACACATCGTGTTGGTCTTCTCGTCAAACTCGAAAAGAGACGAGAGACCCTTCACCTTGGTCGGCTTAGCAGATACATGCGACCATCGACCGGTACCCAATGTTCCGTAAACTCCTTGGCCACAAGCCCACAAGTCCGTGGTCACAGGCGGGAGCCTTCTTGCTGGGGCAAGAGCCTTTTTGCTGCCAGGAACTGTAGAGGCCTTTGCGTCCACAGTGAAGAAAGTGTTGTTTCCGCCTGCTGCTATAGATGTAACCGTTGGTATGAGCCCGGTGCTGGCATATGACATATTTGTAGGAAGCATAACTGGGGTTTCTGAAACTGAGAGACCGTAGTCGGTATCAATGCCCAACTGTCCAAAAGAGTTGTCACCGAATCCAAAGATACGTCCAGTCTTGTCGAGAACAGCAGAGTGGTAATCGCCAGCAGCAATTTGCGATACCTCGAATCCTTTCAAAGTAGTAACTTCGTGAGGCTGGTCGTAAGGACCCTTAGGCCTGTTGTGCCAGGTCAAGCCAGCAACACCCATCTGTCCCTTGGAAGGAAACTCGAGAGCACTAGCCGCAGCGGAGAAAACACGTCCCTTTGAGGTAAGCATAAGACAGTGTTCCTGTCCGGTACTGATGTCCTTCACGCTTTCGCCATATGCGAGAGTGGATGGTGTCAAGTTGCGGAAATGGATGTTCTCCCGCGCGCCACCAGATCCCCAGATAGACCAGGAAGATTTCTGCTGTTCCTCCTTCAGGCCACCTTCCTGGTCATTGCGAGACGCTGGAATGGAATAGACATCACCCTTTCGCGATAGAGCGATGATTCGGTCTAGTGAAACATCAATCTTGACAATGTCCTTGCCTGTAAGTGTGGGAACTGGGGAAGGGTCCTTCTGGTTGTAGCCAAGACCCCATTGAACCAAGTCACCCTTCTCAGTAACGGCTGCACCGAAGATGGACGTCAATTTGAGATCTCGAAGGACCTGGTCGTTAAAGTAGGATATCCTTCGAGGTGCTTTGACATATTTTTCACTAGATTTCGGATCGATGACCTTGCCAACGTTGGAACCCCATGCATAGACTCCGGGGTGCTCCCAGCTATGCTTGACTTGAGCATGTTGTGAGCTGATAAGATCCCGATTCTCTTCCTTGGATTTGACCTTCTTGCGAGGCTTCTCAAACTCGATCTCAGCCTTGACTGGAGCTTGATTTTTCTCATCTTCAGCAGCCGAGGCGGATGTTCCAGTCAATTTAGGATAAAGGTAAACTCCAGCAGCAGCCAAGCCAAAGACAGCTGTAAGACTGATAAGTTTGCCTGCGCGGTTTGAGGGAGGCTCAGAATATTCGCTGCCATAGTCGTGGGCGTAGCGAACCCATTGACGCTGGGAAGTGGTGATAGGCTGGCGGACTTGGGAGCGGATAGCAGCCCGCCTGAGAGCAGCTCGAGAAACGTTCATGATGGGCACAGACACTTGAAAATGCACAATCTGAGTCAATGCAACAGATGAAATCCTCCGTTGAAGAGATCAAGTTGCATCAAAAAGATAAATCCAATGTTGCCTCCCAATGATCAAGAAAAGGTTGTGAGGTCATAGAGCTCGAGCTCCCGCAGTAAAGATGAACTAAACTAATGGTCATGGTCAGCAAAATTCTTTGGACTGTGGCAGGCGTAGCCACAGGGTCCTGCAGTCACAGCCACAGATCTTTGGAAGCAAGCGCCACAGACTGCAGACACTCTCAGCTGTTAGCGTAGCGCACGGATACCATCCCCACACTTTGCCGTCCAATCCATCGGCGGTTCGGAGCTGACGCCTCCGACTTTAACATTCAACGCTGCGTGGCTTCTAACTAGAACAGCTCCAGCTCCAAATTCCAGCTCTAGCGAACACCTTCAATTTGAGCTCCCTTGAGCTTAATCGGCACTATGTATGAGGATTCATGGTATACGATGATGCCCGATCTGGGTACCAGCAAAAAGAGTCACTCCAGTAGCCACAGCCAAAGTCATGGACATCGTCGCAAAGAGTCTTTGTTACAGCAGCCCAACGTATGTCCCCCCACGAATAGACACCCCACCACAAGCTGGGTGAAGCTCACCATTTTGGTATCAGGAAACCGGTCAAATACAAGAAACACCTGCGCCTATGCCCAATGTCTACGAAGAAATCGAAGATACCGATACCCCGCCAGAACCCACCGTTATTCGTCGAGCCAGCTCATACTCAGACTTCTATCGTGTAGTCAAGGAGCAGCTGTCCAAGAATACAAAACCACGACCCAAGAAGACCGATAAGAAGAGTAGGGCATGGGAAGCTTTGTTCCTCCCCGAGTCTAGTAACGATGTCGATAAACATGAACCCAACACTTTCGAAGCATTTGACGACCAATTACTAGACGCCAGTCAACAAGAATATATGTATGCAACTCCACTGGCCTACTTCACTGCCTGAGTTGTCCTGACTTATAGTAGACTATATCGCGACCAACTCACCCTGACGGAGCGCCATTTAGATGGGCTGATCGATGATGCGAATGCGACACTCAAACTTCTCACCACATTATCTAACTCGTTCGGCTCTGTTGAGGCGCAAACATCAACTTTCCAGTCACAATGCGAGGAACTTTTGACAGAACAAAGACGGCTGGAAGAGCTGGCTAATGAAGTCGGAACCGATCTTCATTACTATGCTTACCTCGATAATGCGACAAGACGGCTCAATGCGCCTGGCGCTAGTAGATTGGTTGACGATGCATCATTTGGAGAGATGGTCGAAAACATTGACTCCTGCATTGTGTTTATGGAGGAACATGTAAGATCGGTACATCATTGCAAGATTACAACGCTTACACACTTAGGCCTCATACCGCGATCGCGATACCTACCTTGCCCGATACACTGCTCTGCTCACAAAAGCTCTGCACCTTCTTGAGCACGGTTACAAGACCACACTGGACAAGGTATCTCCTGAGATTGGACGACAAATAATTGCTACCAAATCCGAGTCTGCTCGTCATGCGCTTGCGTATGGTCGCTTCCAGGAAATGATGTTAGATTCATACGGCTTAATACCCAACGTCCACCAAGTTGTGCGCCGAGCATACGATTCATATGGCCAGCGGAACGAGTCTTGTACACACTTCGAGACGTACGCGAACACGGCCAATAACATCATTCACAACCATCTGACAACAAGAGATCGCGACCTCAAGGCATTGACACAATCTGACATTACAGAATTCAACAAAGAGGTCAAGGACCTGTCCCCGGAAACAGCGTCACGCAACTTTATCAAACAATGTTTCGAGCGCATGTATAATGAAGAGAACCTCTTTATGAAACTGTTCGAAGTCGAGCCTGTATGGACACAAGCAGCAGATTCTGTTTTCCAGGCCATCAAGCCCATCAGCACCACGATTGTCCATCCTGGCAACCTGACACCATTGGTGACCAATCTCCAAACAGTTCTTCAGGCGGCGCCGTTGGAAACGACCTGTAACGTTGTGGGCTTACTTGCGAACGAATACTTTGGTGCTGATCTGGATGACATGGAGTCACCATACTTTATCAAGTGCAAGCAATACACTTCGCAACTCCTCGCACATCACCTTTGGCCATTGACGGACACCGTATTCGAAGCAGAAGTTATGAAAACGATTGCAAAGGCTCCTCTTCAAGACGCTTCCTTGAAGATCGGCCCTGTAGTGGGAGGGGTGGCATCATCGAATGCTCATCCTCTGGTGAAGCAGGCCATCAAACTCTTGGGCATGTATGAGAATTGCATGCCAAAAGAGAGATCAGTGAGTACTCTCCTTGGAGATTCATTATCATTTGACTTATTGTTTTACAGTCCAAAAATAGTTCGGTTGTCTTCAATATTGTGCGAGAAACTATTCAGGTGCTGCAACGTGCAGAATCTAGGATACAGTCGTTGAAGGCTGGTACAGACCCTGACTTATTCATGGTCAAAAACTTGCTTATCATCAAGAATGAGCTGGTGTCACTGGAGATCGGCGATATCAGAAACCACGCCGCTTCAATGCAACACTTTGTTCACATTTGGGACACGCTAAGTCCTCAGAACTGGGTCGGATTCTTCTCGAATATCATTGGAGGTGGTCTCTGGTCGCGAGGCACGCCGTCGGTCACAGCCAAGACGCTGACAGTTGAGGATATGAATGAGCAGCTGGATGAGTTGCTCCGTCAATCCATTTACAATTTCACACATCGCTGGGGTGCTCTCATGAACGATTCGCAAAACCGGAAGCCTGGCGTCAAACCGATTGCGAAGGTAGAGGCAGAGCTGGAAAGCCTGCTCATGACTGCGTTCAGCAATCAACCTGAAGTCGTCGCGAAGCTCAAGGAGGCTATTGAACAGCACGCGCAGGCGCACAATGATGCAAAAGATGAGAAGCAGGGAGCGAGACGGTACTAAAGAGGAGGAAAGTGGTTCATGAGTATAGAAGCGATTGTTAAATATGCCACGAATCTAGACAAATGATTTTGAGAATAATGAATGGTTTTACTGATTGAGGAGATGATGTATATATCGGCTTGTTACGGTTCTAGAACGCAGATCCCGAATTCGTTACTCAATAACCCGAAGCATGTGGCCCTCCAATTGAGCAGATCTCCAAAGCGATGGAACCAGGAACAGTAGATTAATTGTTAGTGGAATACATAGTTCGAACGGTGACCGGAGAAGAGGCCGATAAGAGATTTCTCTAGTGCAGCACCAAAAAAGCGAGATCCCCGCGTTTCTGAGCCAATTCATTACGGGGGCAGGGTCCGAATGGCGCTGGTATCGCTTTATCTCACTATAATGGAACCCCGACAGTCCGGGCTCCGTTACCGGCTTGATAATGCCAGCACGTCATTTGCCGAGCGCTCTCCGTGACAATTCGACCCCGGATTGCGATAGATAGGCTGGGGCCATTCTTTCCTAGCTTATCTCTTGCCCGGGTTGACTTTCTCTTTTTCTTATTCACCTCTGCTCTCTTATCTCTCACAAATTGTCTTTTGGGTTTCTCTCCTCCTCTTTTCTCTTCTTCCCCTTTGCGATCGAAAGGGTGATACCATCGTCAAAGAAAGGACAACCCCCACCAGGTAAGAGATGGACGCTCTTGAATTGGAGGCGGCCAAGCAGAACCCTGCGCTCCAAACAGCAAAGGATTTGTTCTCTGGCGCAGTTGGAGGAGTCGCACAGGTCTTGATCGGTATGTTAATTATCATCCCCATTCCATGAATATTCAGGCGACCGTACCGCGCGCAGAGGAGTATTCTGTGAGATTGCGGGGTGACAAGCATGAGTGAGAGGCGCTCTCACTTTAAAGTCTTCGCGGGCTTACTTGTGCAACTCGGATTTCAACCAATTGCTAACAAGATTCCGTCTAGGCCAACCTTTTGACATTGTCAAGGTCCGACTGCAAACAACAACCCAGTACTCCTCCGCCATCAACGCCGCCACTACCATCTACAAGAACGAGGGCGCGCTCGCATTCTACAAGGGAACACTCACACCACTCATTGGTATCGGTGCCTGTGTTTCCGTTCAATTCGGTGCTTTCAACGCCGCGAAGCGCTGGTTCCAGGACCGCAACAAGGGCGCTGAGCTTTCATATCCCCAGTACGCCGCTGCGGGTGCTTTCGCCGGTATCTCTAACTCGGTCCTCTCCGGCCCCATTGAGCACATTCGTATCCGTCTCCAGAGCCAGCCTCACGGTGCTGGTCGCTTGTATAATGGCCCTGGCGACTGCGTCCGCAAACTCGGAGCACACAATGGTGTTCTAAGTGGCATCTACCGCGGCCAGTGCGTTACTATCTGGCGAGAGGCATTCGCTTATGGCTCCTGGTTTACTGCTTTCGAATGGATGATGAACTCCGATGCTGCCCGCAACAATGTCGACCGCAAGGATATTCCCGCTTGGAAGATTGCTGTCTATGGTGGTCTTGCTGGTGAGGTCCTCTGGCTCTCCAGTTACCCCTTCGATGTGATCAAGAGCAAGATGCAGACCGACGGCTACGGTGCCAACCAAAAGTACAGCACTATGAGAGATTGCTTTGCCAAGACATGGCGTGCTGAGGGTGCGGGTGGTTTCGTCAAGGGTATTGGTCCTACTCTTGCGCGAGCCATGCCTGTCAGCGCAGGTACCTTTATTGTTGTTGAGATGACCATGCGAGCTCTCAACCGCTAAGAGAGGCAAATGTCACTCAGAAGAAAAAAAAACTTACTATTTGGATGCATCGAAAAATGAAGAGGAATACAGTGTAGAACAAAAGGGAAATCATAGAGGGTTACGGCGAAGTTCAACACGAGATAGCACAGATGATAGATACAAGAGTTAGATGTATGGTAATATACCCAATTTAATCTATTCTTTACCACCCCACATTTTCGTTGTTCTCTACACGACGTTGCAGAATATTCCTGGCGCTCTGTGGTGACAATTCCTCGAGATGCAGTTCCTCGAGAACTTTGCGCGCCTCCTCGTTATCCGTGAATACTCGGTCACTGGCTTCCTTGAGTGTCAATCCGCCCGCCTCGCCGGCTTCGACTGGGAGACTCAGCAGCTGCATGCCCTCGGTCAAGCTATCGAGAATAGAAGAACCGTTGGGGATATAGCGTTCCACAACGGCAACCAAAGCGACGCCATCGCGGCGAAATTGTGTTGCGCCGTAGGTGGTGAAAGATTGGCGCATGAGAACTGTCGACCACAAGTGATCTTGAAGCTTGCTGAGAGCTTCACGCCAGACACGGCGGAAAACAGCAGTGGAGAGCGCTTTGATGAGGAAATCGAAGTTGCGTTGGAGGATACGAAGTGGCTCATCCAGTTCTGGAGTAATGGCAAGCTCATCTGTCTTGATGTTAGGTAGGGTTCGATGGTAGCAAAATCACTAGTAGACTTACCAAGAATGGCTGTCTCTCCAACAGTCGTCCATTGAACGCGGGTCGTGTAAGCACGGAAAGCCTTGTTGTGAGACTCGACAAGAGCACCGACGAGCAATTCCTGAGCAGCTTTGCGTCGCATACTATAGGCAGTAGCAGTCTCGTCGAAGAGGGCCCCGTCCTCATGCTTCTCTCCTACTGCAGCAGAAGTACGATCCTTGACATCATCATAGCTCATGGTGCTGGTTATGTTATTGCCCTGGCTGGTTCTATGCAAGGCACGAGTTTGTAGTTCATCCCATAGGGAGACGAAGAACTAGACATGTCAGAACAGAACGTCAAAACGTGTATTGCGTTGCATACCTCTTCATTGCTCCAGTCTTTTAAGGTATTGACGATGTGGTCCGCGCTGCCGATAACCTTACACAGAACTTCAAACACGCCCGTGCCTTCTAAGATGGCAAGGTCCTCCTTGTTCGCAGCCAGTGTGCGACCAAAGGTGGTAGACATACTTTGGTAAGCCTGGAGCGAGTCTCGGAGACGATCATGATAAGCATCTAGGATTTCGAGCTGGATACCGATCAAGAATCGGATCTTGTGCTTAAAAGTGCGGACTCTCTCGTACTGGCTTGTTACCGACCGCAGGAGATCGGTGACTCGTACAGCAGCATACGTTGGCTTCATCTTGCCCTGCAACGCATAATCGTAATCTATGTTACGGGCGTCTTGTGAATCTATAATGGTATTGTATCTTTCAAGAGCAAAGTCTTTCTCGGCCTTGAACCACGTGTCGAAGTGATCGTCAAGGACATATGCGGTCAATCCAGACCATCCATTCTCGACGTTGCCACCGTCGTAGCTGAATTTGTAACGAAGATTCTCGTCAAACGCCATTAGCTGCGACATGAAACTGCTCAAGAAAGACGGACTCTTGATAGCTTCCAGTGCGACCTGGGAAGTCTTCTCTTTTAACACTGGCAATAGAGCAGTAATCAATGCAGAGACGGGATCGATGTAAGCCAAATTGGTTGCCACGGCGGTATCTTGGAACTTCTCCGCGAGGAGGTAGCCGAGGTTGTCTCGGAAGAAGTCCTCCCATTTCTCAACAAGTGCGATGAACCACGGAAGACAATGTGTTCCAAATGCTTGCGGACCGCTTGTCGGTTTGTCACTAAGGAAGTGGAAACGGAATTCGGAAACAAAGATCGAAGCCATGATCTCGAATGGCAACAGTGTGACGAGCTTATCGGTGTGCGCTATCTCTGGCTTTTGCAAATCGATAAGTTTTTCAATGCAATTGATCCATTCTTCGTCCATCTGTAGATCCGTTTCGACCCGCGGCCATTTTCTCTTCTTCAAGACTTCCTCGAGTTCACCGGACATGGTAGATTTGATGTCATCCCAAAGCGAGCCGGCCACATTCTCGGCGTAGGCGACAAGATGTAAACCCTCTTGGCCTGGTAGGTCTTGCAACTTGAGCACATGTTGCTTCAGTTTGATATAAGGTTCCAATGCACCCTTGGGATCTTGAGGCAGAAATGACTTTGCTTCTGCTCGCAGCTTCTCAGTATCTTGCAACAGAATAAGATAATTTTGGGCCCGCTCGACAGCCTTGATCTTGTTCATAGGCGACTTGAGGCGCTCGATGGCCTGATCGGGTGCGTCCGAGGCAGCATAGATCTGGGCACGGAGATCAATGCTCTCCTGAAGCTTTTGGAACTCCTGTATACGAGCGGTGAGCGAGCCTTGGCGGTCGTCGGCTGTGCGCCGGGTCTCCTCGAGCTCTTTGACAGCTGTGTCTAGCTGCGATTGCAGCTGATTGCGTTGAAGCTCGACATTCTCAAGAAGTGTGTCCAGTTCCTCGATATCATCGAAAGACTGGAGTTTATCATCCAAGAAATCCTCAACTCGGATATCAAGCGAGGTTCCTTGAGGGTACGTGGCTGCAGTAGCCATATCGAATATAGTGGTTTCAGTGATGGTTGTCATGAATCCCATAGCGCAACGTAGCTACTCTTTGAATGACGTGGGGAGCGAGCCCCACTATACTCGGTAACTACATAATTCTGTCTAAATGCGATTGCTTCTGGAAGCTCACATTGGCCTTCAACAACGCGCAAGAAAAGGAGATGGGATTTTATTAAGCGAGTAAAAAAACCATTTGAAACATCTAGCTCCAGCTATCGTTCGCTGGGGGGAAAGTGCATTCGCGTTAAGGGGAAGGATTCGCGATTTTGAGGTGGCTGAACGTCAGGGATTTTAATTAGTTGGGTGGCTGGGCTTCTCATCAAGGGTTATCATGATGAATCCAACGGCTTTACCGGGAGCTTAAACTCGCCATTATGATGAAAAGTAGAGGTTTCATTAAAGCAAAGTTTTACATTTACGATGATCTTGTGCCCCGAAGAGGGAGGGCGTCGTCAGCCATAGAATCATCGATGTGTAGGTAGTTCGTGTTGACTTTTACGAGCTGACATGGGACTCAGCAACGCAACGCAATGCTCGACGAGAGGGAAGTGCTTTTGCGACGTCTAATACCCATATGATTTTAGATAGGTAGGCGTCGGGGTGTCAGAAGAATTGACTCCAGCTAGCATAAGAGACGAAATAACTCAGTCATCTTAGGCCATCTTAGACCGGCACTTAGACTGCTTTATTTCTGTATTCTAATCCTTGAAGGACAATTCTTCTGACATCCACGTGGCAGAGTACATACATAGAAGGTAGGATATCTCAGTTTGGATTCTCAGATAATCAACGATAGGGACAGATAGCCATACACAGTAGAGATGGCTCGTACAGTACGATTCAACTACAGTACCTACCCAAATTAATTTGGATCAATTGAGAATTTAGGACAAATGGCCTATTCCCTACACCGCGTGAGAGCCTCGTCTGTTCCGAAAGAGTGGATATTATGAGTTGTCTGAGTCGAAAAGGGACACGGAGTGGGCTCGACTCCATTGCCCAAGAGTCGGGAAGTTTTAAGTCGAGCCACGCTTCCTTGGGGAAATGGGGCAAACAAGAAGCTGGACAGGGAATAGGATTACCGAGGACGCTGGGTATCACCGCGATCTCGACCATCGGTGTCTGAGCTCTATAAACACAGAACAGGGCAACCAATGGTTCTTGTCAATCTGAACAGTTCAGAAACAGGAACGAGAGCCTATATAACAGTTCGTTATACGTATCCAAGATAAAGTGCAGACGAGCTCAAGCAAGGACATGTTCGAAACGGCGCCAAATTGTCATGACAACTGCATTAAGCTGAGGGAGGTCCCGCTATAGCTTCTGTCCTTGGCAAGCCTGGGCACTGACGAGCTGACAGGGTCATGACCAAATCAAGGTCTCTGTTGGCCATGGAAAATCGGGTTTGGATGTATGGCGAAGCGCTACGTAAGATCGAAGATCCTAGGATCCTAGGGTCCAGGGATCAAGCCCCCAAGGCCAGGAAGAGGATGAAGCTTGCGCTGCTGCAGGTCCAAATAGGCTTTTCCTCTAACGGTCTAGCGTCGGGCTGAGCTTACCATGTCTCCTTCTCTTTACAGCGACGGTTAGCGGTTGCCGGGTGCTGAAAAGGCCAAGACAAGCCTTGGAGCTCTTACAGCGGCAACAGAGGCTCCACATCTAAAACGTCACCGTCACCCTGCCAACGGCAAGTAAATAGGTGGTTGGGCACTACACCTCTCCATCACCCACCAAAAAGTCCAGAGGTTGGTTCATGTCCCAAGTCTCCCCAGCCATCCAATATTCGCCCAATCTTCTGGTATACGAAACTGCGCTACTAACTGACCTGACTTGTCTTGACTTGTCTTGACTGACTGACCGCTCCTCTCCTTTCCCTCTCCTTTTCCCCCAAGGAGTCTCTTCTTCTAACAAAACTTCACCCTCGTTAACAGCAAGTGAAGTGTGAACTGATCTTCGCCAATCTCATCTTAACTCACTTTGACTTTGACTTAATCTCCTTTACAAGATCTCACTATCACAGGGTCCCGACTTTCGCTCGCTGATCTCGACCGTCTTCTTTAACCTGCACGCATTCCAGCATCGACTGTCTACCGAGACATCGTCCGCATTCCATCGCTCATCAAGTTGACAAGAGCCCGCTGCTCCCGAGACAAATTGACTGATCCAGAGAAGGACGCTCATCAGTTCGACAAGTTCAACAGCTTGAGGATAGAATCTGAATAGTTACGCGACCAAGCGGTAACAGAAAGAGCAAGGAAATCAAACGATAGCAGTTTTCCGCAACTGGCTCGTCGCTCCCAGACTGGGAGACGAGTACAGACAACTCAGTTGAATCTGTCACGACTCCAGTCGACAACGTTTTGAAGGAGGACAGGAACAACAACATCCACAATGGCTTCCAAGACGGGTACGAGCAGCAGCTCGTCCTCACGGAGGCAAAAGGTCCAGGTCGGATGGTATCGTAAGTGCTTCCTCTTTAACTGTGACATCTCGCTAGATGTCTCACCATCATCATGAACTATGCGGCTAACACAATCTCGCTAGGCTTTGTACCATTCCTCGGTTACCACCATGTGTTGATGATTCTCATCGCCATTGCCATAATTCTACTATGTGAGTATTTCGCAGTCTTCAGTTCAAGTATGAGGCATATACTGACCGATATCAGCTCTCCTACTTGCCGGCTGTTCATCCTCTTCGCCACTCATTCCTGACATCTTCCTGCTCTCAATCTACTACAAGAGCTACGATGCAGTGCCCGATACAGCCCAGGTTGACTACAACCTCCATTCAGCCATCGAAAACATCGCCGGCGACGCTTCATTGCAAGCTCGCGTTGGTTACTTCGGTATTTGCATCAACCCTGACGGCGGCTCCTGGCTTTGCAGTAACAATGCAACTGCCTTGGCCAAAGAAGTTGATGTCGACCAAGATCCTCTCAACCTGATCTGGCTCGCTGCTCAGTTCAAGGATATGATTGTTTTCCCCTACCTCATCATCATTGCCATCATCTTCGCCTTCGTCTGTCTCTTGCTTCTCGCTACCTTCCCTGGTTGGCACGAGGAGACTGATTCTGAGGGTTCCGACCGCGAAGTCAAGCCTTTCCCGTCTCGTCCCGTCTCTCAGATCGCCCTGGCTCTGATCTTTATCTCGGCCATTTTCGTCCTCGTCTCCGTACTATGGCAACATACAGCGTCCGTGGCCGCCTCGGTTATAGCCCAGGATTTCGGCAACGGAGCGGTCAGGAGTGGTGTGGGTACCAGCGCCATGGTTTTGGGTTGGTTCTCATTCGCACTACTGATCGTTGTTACAATCGGTCTGCTCATCATGATCCTCAGTATAAGCGTGCTCAGTTCGATGGTATAGGAGACCTCGAATTCACCTGAGTCTTCGCGGACTATTGAGGACTGAGTAATCGATTGAATAAATGTACATATGTCGACTAGATTTCTCGACAAGGAGACGGTAAGATCAAAGAGGTAAAGGGCATCAGCATCGGAGTTCCGGGAATGGTTTTTGTATTTCAAAACACTGAGCGATCGGTTATAATTTCGGACATTCTATTCGAAAAAAGGGACGGCACATACACGACACCTCCCGTAACGATTTATTTAACTTACGACACTTCTTTTATGACCTCACCGAACCTCAGATGATCGATACGATGGTCTTTGAAAACAGAGGCCTTACGACTGAGACTTGGTTATGGTCAGCGTGAAGTGAGGCGAGGAAGGCACATCTTTTTTGCATATAGACTGCGGTTTGACCACACATACGACCGATCTCTCAAGATGAGAGATGAAGGAGTACGCACGCACGCGCCACAAGAGACGATTTTGAAGACCACGACACAAGGATGTGGTACGAGATATGGGATATTATGTCTTGACGCGCAAGGAGGAACAGGAATTGTTTATGGAAATGTATTATCAAGACAACTTATTGTCATGCTTTCGAAATTGAGGATTTTATCTGATTTGACTTTTATCTGCGTCCGTTCTTTTCTGTTTTCTGTTTTTCTCTTCGTAAATAAGGGTATTGAAATGAGATGCTTTGGGCATCAGCAAGGGGGACTTAGGATTGAAGACTTCATCGAACAAAAAAAGGACATTAGTTAGTACTGAATTAAAGCTTCTCATCTACTGAGAATCGCCAAATACACTATTGAATAAACTTAAAACTTTCAGCATTTCTGGCCTGTGACTCTCGCATATACAACTAAGGGCAGTTCGAACTGGCTGTTATACTAAATGGATTTCTCGACTCATACTAATGAACTATACAAACATATGATATGAAATCATTAATCATAGCATCCATAGCCACACACTACTTCAGTCTAGTGGCAGCATATATATACATCACTTGACTTTACTCTCTTCACGTGTTTGTTCTGAACCTCCAGCTACCACGTTGAGTTCTGACTTTGCATCACAGAAGTTCCAGTCTCTGTTGATCTTGTTACTCCTTCAGGAGGGCGACTTTTGTGTCGCTGAGATGGCTCGCTGAATGCACGCCCAGATCGACTAGATCCAATTCGCATGGCTTGACGACGCAGACTGGGCTTAGAGGTCGGTTTCTCTTCCGCTGAGAGCTCCACGGGCGCTGTGTTCACCTGTACAGCCAACTTCTGACCACTCGAGCTATTGTTATGGCTCAGGGCACTGGACAAGGGAACCCTTTGGTATGGAGAAGTATCCAGTTCAGCAATGGGGTGAGCAAATGGGGTGTTGCTCTCTCTATAGTCTGGTGCGGCTGTAGCGATGGTCGTCGAAGACGAGTTCCTCCACACAAGTTGACCTGGATAGTTGCTTGGATAGCTCTGATGGTGCTGATTTGGTGTTCGTGTGGTTGATGACAGTATAGAGAGGGAGGAATGGCTATGGTGAAGAGACCTTGTAGTGTTGGATGGAGATGATGGCGTATATGCATTGTGGCTACCTTGGCTCAAGTCCGAAACGCTATCTTGTGGGTTGTATGGCAGATGTTGGTTGGATTCAGTGTAAAGAGACGGATAGCTCGGAGGGCCGTAAGTCAGCGACTGGGGTGGGCTTTGCTGCATGCCACCCCTTTGAGAAATTGGCGGTGGTGTTGCGCAATTCTGAAAATCAAGAGGGTCTCCGAGAAGTAAAGCAAGTCCTGCTAAGTCTTTACTGTCACATTTGGAAGTCGTAGTAAGTGATCGTGATGGAGCAGCGCTGGCCATGTCGACTGGGAGAACTTCTGGTAATGAGTCGTCGGCATGTTCCATGTGAAATGTCTGAGAGCTTGACTTTCGATGAAGAGATGTAGGAAGTTGGAGTGAGGATATGTTAGAGCGAGTCATCATCTCTGTGTTTGCGTTGAAGACTATAATAGGTGGTGGTGACACGATGGTCTGAGTGACTGGCGGCTGTTTCTCTGTAGGGACTATCATGATCTAGAGTTAGAGCACTGAAGTAACAGTTTCCTGTGACTCATACACTTAACTTACCTTTCATATCACCCAGAAGATCTCCCAGAAGAGCAACGTTATCAAACACTGCAGCCTCTTTCACGATGCCCTTCTTCTCCTCTCGCTTCTCCGGCTCAGCAACAGGCGCCATGAGAGCAATCTGCCTCAAGAAGTTCAACTCAGCCAGTACAGCAGCATGATGCCGGCTAACGATAGGCTCCTGACTCTTGAACTCGGAAGACTCAACAAGCACCCAGGCCATGCGTTTAGAGAAGGTTGTCCTAGTGCCTCTATCATTCTCTGGGCGACATCTCTCAACAATCTCACAGACTTCCTGAAGTCCCTTCTGTGCGGATTCTATGATGGTGTGCACGCGCTGGAGGACCTTTGGGCGACGCTGAAGAAGAGGTAGACAGTCGTTTCTAAGCTCTATGAGATGCTGAAGATCAGAGTCGCATGTTCGAACGAGCTCTAGACTGCGTCGGATATCGTTGGGGACTTGGTCATGGTCTAGGATCCATGTTAGGAAGTGGTAACTTGCTTTGAGAGGGTTCGGCATTTTTGAAGCGAGGAGCTGATTCTCTGTTCTGGCAGTTAATATTTCCATAAGATTAAAGTCCCGCTATATTCACAAGCCTAGAGGTATACGTTGATGATATTTCGCTGAAAAACAACAGCGAGCTTCGAGTTGCAGAACGCTGACGACAGCCCTCGTCCTCGCTCTTCCCCGCTCGAAGCGAGACCCAGGAAACCAGAATCAGGCTGTGGCTGTAATCTCGTTTTCGAACTGCACATTATACATCCACTTCAATTGTAGACTTGAGCCCATGCTTAGAGCTGAGTCCTGAGGCGACACCAACCCCGTGTGCCAACCCCGTGTGGCTTGCATATAAGAATCAGGCTCTGAGAAAAAGACCTGGCTATCACACTATCAACCACTCAGCGCTAAGTAACTCAGACATTGGAAAAGCCATATACATGCAGGAAGCTCCTAATTCCACTCGGTCTGCAGGAATGGCCTCATTTACATCTGATACTGTTGGTGCTTACTGTAACATGTTTGCATGTCTAGTGCGTACTAGGATATCGTACAGATCGTCAAGCAACAGGTACTTTAATTAAGCCACACAAGCTCGAGAAAACTATTCAGAGGTTCAGGCTGCTAGGCATGGGGCCAGAGAGATTCCTGATTGAATCTGACTTTGGTATGTCTTTGTTTCAAGAGACAAGGCTCTGCACTACTTACACTCTCGTATACCAGCCATGTGTATTTGAACAAACTAACAACTAGACAGAGCGATATGAAACCTAACAGGCCTATCCATGAGCACTCAGCTACGTATACCAACAGAGACAGCCATCCTTGACAGCCGAGTTACAATATGCAGAGAGTGTGTCACCCATCAGAGGGGCATTGTCTCCGGAGCAGCAACCTCCTTTGCCGATCTATATCTAGTACCATCATTATGGCTAAGTCTCTCCAATCCAGGACACACTACAATCCTGTGGGCTCTATCCATAGTGGTGGGCTTGTTGCTAAAAACAAACCCCCAGTCGCCCGGCTGCGATAGAAGCACGTAGCCCAATCTGGTGCACTCAAGGATCACGGCCTGCAGGTGGCTCGTCTGATCCTGTCGACTTGCAGAGTCTTGTGCAACGAATATTTGCAAGAACGTGTTGAGCTTATTTGCCAGGGAGAATGCCTTGGAAGGAGCCTCATCTGTCGAGACTGGGAGTGGTGTCCTTTCCGTAGGGTTGGGATGAAGGAGCAGAGCAGATAGGCTGCGCCACCTCGAGCGTGCAAGAGTAATTGCTGTGCAACATTTTAGCGGCTCTTCTGGTGAGGCTCTGGGTACAGGAGTGAGGATTGTCTTACCTGGGCTGTCTGTATCTTCTGATTGATTTTCCCGCGCCATTGCCGCTACTGGTAGTGGAAGCATGGACAAGTTGCCTCCAGAGTTGAAATCGAGGCCCCGAAAAATGACGTGGGAGAGAACATGTCGAAGACCGACTTGGGAGGTCTTGGATCCAAGGCATATAGCGGCGACACCTTCTGGTTGTATTCCTGACAACTCAGGAGAGTAGCCAATATTGACGAGACTCTGAGCTACTTCAGCCGAAGTTGCTTGCACTTGAGGTCCATGATAATATGTCTCGACGTGTTGGTAGATGAGTTCCGACAATGAACTCAACTCTGTTTGAATCTCCTTATCAGGGGTCGCATCGAGTAGGAACTGGCTAAGTTCGGCATCCTGTCCTGACGTTGTCACATTGACCTGGGGTCCATGTTTTGGCTCAGCATACTGCGGCTCGACCGCAATAAAATCTGGTGAATTAGTATTGTTCCGTCGGCGCCGTCGAAAGAGAATGAAGGCTGCTACAAGTCCTAGAGCAAGACCTGCAACGAGACAGCCTATGGCAACTCCGGCAACAGCGCCGCCTTGTATTCCCGTGCCAGGTGAAGGTGGCTCTGGGACCTCTGTTGACGATTCCTCTGGAATCGAAGAGGTTGAATACGTCTCTGCCAATGTATTCAGAGTCTCACCAGTACCAACGTCTGTTGATGTGGGATCAGTTGCTGTAGCAGGATCACCTGCGGCTGTGGAGGACTTTTCTGAGGCACTTGGTCGTGAAGTTTCTGCTGCGCTTTTTTCTTTGGTTGTACCGGGGACATACAATGGCCAGAGTGTGTTATCCTGGCCAGGCGGTACCGTTTCTGTAGCAAGACGGGTTTGATCGACGACGAATGTTACCGTATTGCCCACGTAAACTGTAGCTGAGGTATAATCATAGGTTGTAGGCATTGTCAAGATTGACAAGAGGGATGGTGACTGACACAACCAAAACAAACAGATAGTGTAAAAGGTAGAGGGCTCAGAATACAAATGCTCTTTTTCATGCCTTGACTGCTCGTTATAACAAGATGAAGGAAAGGTATTCAGAGAATAAGAAAGGGATAGCACTAGGCTCGCATTTTAAATCTAACATTTCTTACCATCCAGCCTACTTTGTGGTGCGATTGTCACCAATGAGTGTCCTCCCGACTTACAGTTCAGCTGCACATCCCCTGTCAAGCCACTCAGCACGAGTGAACAACAAGATGCATGTTTCATTATCGGGCTGGGGCCGCAGTCTGGACTTCACAGCCTGATCCTCTGCATGGACCCGCACACCCTTGAGTGTGCAGCTAACAAGCCAATGTCATCCAGCATTCAGCCGTGATGAGACAGGAGGCAAGTCCAGGATGTGAACCTTTGAGAGCCTTGCCGGGCGCTCGCGGTTGTAAGGTAGTTCCTCCATCATCACTTCGTTCTTACTTCATCATTTCCACGAGAGTATTGAGCGTAATACCAACGCAGTATGGAAGACCACCCAGACTTGGTTGTGTCTGTCGATTTGGGCACTACCTTTACAGGCGAGTACTCATAGCAAGCCATTGGGATACGCTGACTGACAATTCTAGGTGTGGCTTGGATGAGACACGGAATTCCCATACAAATTGTCAACGACTGGCCCGGTAGCGACGACAGAGGCGATCGAAAAGTCCCCACGACCACCGTATACAATGCCGATGGGAGTATATCATCATGGGGATTCATGTGTGCCGATGATGACCATGACCCGAGCAAAACCCGTCGCGACTTCTTCAAGATCTTTCTGGATCCAGACACTCTTGAAGCAGCACAACAACAAGGTTTGACCAATGTTCCTCGAAGCACTGAAGAGGCTCGCCAGTTCGTGACCGACTACTTGAAACAAGTATACGCGCATGTCAAGGACAGTATAGAGATACGTATGGGTATAAAACATGTCGGTGGATGGGGAACAATGTCTGTACTGTTCCTCTTCAGTGCACCAACAACGTGGACAAGTATGGCCATCGTCAACGCCTTCAAAGGCGCAATCCACGATGCTGGGTTTGGCACTGAAGGGCCCAAGCATTCAGCTCTGGTTGATCTCACTGAATCCGAGGCCGCAGCTGTCGCAACTCTAAAGACTGGAGCTGTGAACCTTCAGGAAAACAGCATATTTCTAACAGTCGACGCAGGTGGAGGTACAACTGATCTCGCTTTGATGCGAGTTGCCTCGACTGATTCTAATTTCCCACAGCTATCCCAGGTTGCTGCTGTCAGCGGCCTTGGTGTTGGCTCATCACTCATAGATCGCGCATTTGCCAGGCTTGTCTCACAAAGAATGGCCGCGAATCCCGACTTCAGATTACCTGCTGATTTTGCGGCACGCATGGCCCGAAGTCCGGGATTCAAGAGTGTCAAACATAAGTTCGGCGAGAAAGTGTACATGCAGCAAGTGTACAAGATCGTAATGGAAGGTGTTGGGTATGATGTGGACCATGAAGGCCTTGGGGTCCAAGGCGGACGCATGCTATTTACAAAGTCAGTCATATCCCGCCCGATCCCATTGTCTCCAAGAAATTACTGAGCATCGCTGATTGGAGACAGACAAGATATTCAAGCGCTATTTGATGTGCACATAGAAGGAATTATGGAGCGAATAAAACAGCGACTCGACTGGCTCAACGACCACAAGCATTCTGAACAAGTGGTAAGGCCTTATTTGATTTGCAATGATGCCGATGCTGATAGTCGCGATAGGGATACGTGATCCTGTCAGGTGGGCTTGGTAGTTCGGCCTACGTACGTGAAGCACTCCAAGAACACTTGACCAGGCTGCACCATCCGAACGCTCGCAATATTGTCGTTATACCCTCACAGGATCCACAGCTTGTTGTCGCTCGTGGTGTTCTCGAGAATAAGCGCCAGCGAATGGAGTCAGGTAATAAGTCTGTTCTGAGCTCGTGGATTGCTCGAGCCAGTTACGGCGTCATTGTGCAGGAAGTTTATATGCCTGCGCAGCACTTTGACGAAGACATTCGACAGGACCCATGGGATCCGAATATAAAGTGGGCGACTAACCAAATTCAGTGGTTGATAAAAAAGGTATATTGCAGTGAACCCGAGACCTTGCTTTTCAAGACTGTTATGTTAACCAAATCACAGGGAGATACTGTGAATCCCGACTCCCCAGTAAATAAGCTCTTCGAGATCAGACTGAAAGACGGCGATACAACACGAGCTTGGGACGCAGAAATAGTCGTATCCAACAATGAGCGGCAATGGCTCCCTCGAAGTCTCAAACAGGCCGGTGTGATGAAGCTTTGCTCAGTAAAGAGTAACCTTGCTGGTATAGAACAGCATCAACTTGTTCTTAAAGAGAAACGAGGTACCTGTTTTCGCCGTGGACATAAGTTCTACATCTGTAGATTCGACATTCGAGTTATTGTGGCACCCGTCGACTTGAGATTTGAGTTGTGGCTCGGATCGAAGAAGTTCTCCGGCAACCACCAGCCCATCTCAGTTCAATGGGATGCTGCTAAGAAGTAAGAACGAGCAGAAGAGGCCGAGGATAAAACTTCGCTGCAGTTGAAATACACATAGACATCGATATATCCTAATATGATTCGCGCCATGGAATCGCACATTATCTTGAACCCTTTCCAGAACGCCGTTGTTATGCAGTCACTTTGACTTTGACATGCCATATAACTTATGCATCAATCCACCAACCTTGTCTTTCCCTCTTATCAATAGCTTCCAGCTCTTCAGACATGTATTTTTGTAGTAATTTCGAAATCGTGCGAAGTCTGCGTTCATATAGACCTCTTGAAAGGATGCGCTTCAGTGTTCAAGACCCACTCGTCGAGGCTGATGACATTGGGCTCTGAAAAGAGCAAGTAATAGTACTTGAGAGTCTCGGAGATCCAGAAACTCTCCATTTCGTCCTTGAGGCCGTTCTGCGTCTTATCCGTAACATCTTCGATAGCACTGTTCGCAAATTCAGTACGAGTCGCGGCGATTGTAGCCTGGAACATCTTCCAGCCTTTGTCCATCCAGGTAGTATCGCCAGTGATACGATACATGTACCAGACGGACTCAACAGCCTCAGGTCTGTGGATGTCTATGTCAGTGGGAACAATCAACGCAGCGTATATAATCGACTTACCGAAGCATGTAGTTTCGGTTCTGGATATCAGTATAACCCGGAGGTAGTCGTTCCTTCTCAATCCTAGACTTGACGTATTCTTCATGTGTCTGCGGTCTCTCTAGGGGTATATCATCTAGAGGAGCAATGACTTGTGCCCCGTGCTTCCTAGCATCGAAGCTGTCTGGAATGGCAGGCTTGGTTTCAGATGCCTTCTTTGCCGTGTCTTCAACGGCAGCGGGTTTGTTCTCTGACTCTGCTTGGGCAGAGTTGGGTTGATCAGCATCAGTCTTGCTTGTATCGGCCTTTTCTGCTGCAGGCTTGTTCAGGCCAATTTTCTGTTTGAGGGAATCGGGGAGAGTCGAGCCAAATTCTGAACGGTCCTCTTCCATACTCTTGTCCAATTTAGGCATCTCCATACCATCCCGTTTAATCACTTTCGGGGCTTCTTCAGAGGCAGCGAGAGCCCCAGCTGGTTCAGATGCAGGCTTTGAGCCACTGTTCGAGTCGACCGGCTTGTCTGCTTGAGCCGGCGGGTTGTTTCCAGCGTCACTTTCAGCAACTTTCCTCAGTGCCTCGCCTTCAGACCACTTGCGGAATTCATTATCGCGCCATTCGCTGTTAGGGTCAAGGTCTTCGTACCAGCTCTCCTCGCTGAAGGGGCACTTTTCTAGGGCAGGGCATGCTACCAGATGAGCAAACTCTGGCATGAGACCAGTCGCGGTCGACTGATATGCCCATACGCAACCATCAGTGAGCTTCTTAGCCTTATCAATGTCCCCATCACGGCCAAAGATTTTGCCACCCAATCCATACATGCCTCCAATGAAACATGTTAGATGTGCTAATTCATAGCTTCTTGACCATTCAGAGTCTCCCCTGCTTGATGTGGTCAGTTTGCCGGTGAAGAATACATCCCAACCCTCGTCCTTGATCATTGGTCTGTAAAGTAGCCATTCATTAATGGCATCGATAGTGTTCTCATACAAGGCACGGTACTTGGGTTCGAGGCCATTCAAGAGTAAATATTGCTGCAATTATTAGTAATCATTATCTTTGAAAGCATGGGAACGACATACCTTGGGGAAGTACTCATAGGCTGAATCTTGAGCGCCGCCCATATGATACTGACCTACGTTGGGGCTGCCGGAAACCAAACCTTGAGGCTTACAATCCCAATCGGCTGTGGACCCATCCGCAGCCAAAGGCGGTACCTGCTGAGATTGAGGCGGTGACTGATCTGGCGAGGGTGCATCACGACGACGAAGCTTATCATGCCAGCGGCCATCATCTTTAAGCTGGGGAGGAGAAGCTGCAGTTTCACCCTGCTTTGCAGGGTCAAACCCCTGGGGTTCTTTAGTCAAATCGGCATTATTGACCTGCTCTCGAGCCTCTTGACTGAGGCTTCCTGTCTGTGTGTCGGCGGTTCTGTTACATCCAGAGGCATTAATTCGTTGGGGGAAGAGACCAGGAATGTCTGTGCCAGCGGCTTGCATATCAATCAAAGCATCAGTGATGCGATCAATAGCATCGTAATATTTGGCGGTGCCCGTCAATTGAGCAAGTCGGGTGAACTCGAGAGACAAGGTACCAAGTTCAGCGATGCCGACAGTACCAGCACGATGAGGCTGCGACGCGTAGGGCTCACGCCATCGATAGTACAGCAATGGCATGCGGTTAGGTGTGTCAAAAACGCCCATAAGGATCTCGGCGAGCTCAACAGCCTTATCAAGCAGGATCTTGTACTGTCCGTTGGAACCTCCACTCACATCGTAAGCACCGATAAGACCTCCCAGATAGCGAATCGTAGTCTCAAACACGGGAATGTCATTACAATCGGTGTATGTGAAATCGATCTCCGCGACAGCCTTGACAGCTTCATCAAATTCGTCTTTCATGCCAGCAATCCACAGGGTATCAAGGGAGTCAACGAGAGTCGCACCCCAGCCACAAAACGTATCGCGATACTTCATGGAAGCCGGTGAGAGCTCATCATGCTTGAAAGCATATTTGCGGTAACCGGACCAAGCCCGCGCAATCTCAGACTTGACGCGGCCTAATCGTTCCAGGCGAGTGGTACTTGTCTGCACATCTTCACCCTGGAAGTCAAATTGAATCCTGTAGACATTGGGAGCGGTGCCAGTCGGGATCGGTCGGATAGACTCAGGGGGTATAGGGAAATGTTCCTTGGGCTTTGTCCAATGAATCTTTGAGCCATCAACATTGACCAGGGGAACATCAGGGTTATCTGCTTGTTTGGGAGGGTCCTTGAATTGAACAGGAGGAATTTGCGGTGGGCTTTGCTCTGCAGGCTGTTTAGTATCCTCCGTTTTGCCCTCCGTCTTTTCTCCGGCCTCTCCCTTGGTATCGTCCCCAGCTTGAACAGGTTTCTCGGCGGCTGACTTGTCTGTTTCTGGAGTATCGACCTTCTCTAGCGATTCCGAGGCGTCGTGTGGTGCTACCGGTTTAGGTTGGTTGGCAGAGTCGGCATCCTTCTCGGAATCGGGGAGCTGGACTGGTGGCGGTACGACGGGTGGTTCGAAAGCTTCTTTTGAGCCCTGAACTGGCTCAGAGGCAGGCTGATTCGGTTGTTTTACCGTTTCAAAGTGGGGTGACCGTGTCCACGAATCTTGTGTGAAGCGATACACCAGAAAGACCATGACCACAGCGACTATGGCGTAAAACCGGCCACGTCTACGGAGGGGAATCATTGCGAAATCGTTGCTCGCCGAGGCGAGACTTTAAGGGTTGGGTCGAAGTTTATTTGAACGAAATGTAGGTCGAGTCGGTAAATCTGTCGCAACGGAAGACGCGCATGCGGTTCGTTTGATTATACAAGTTCGATCGGTGCCGTCAAAGACTTAGGTGTCACCTATGATACTGAGTACTGCATTCCGTCTGGTTCCTGACCAAAGTTGGGACTCGTATACTATCTTGAGCTTTCCTTTTGCGTCGTGTAAGCTCAGTGAAAAGGAATAGTCAATCTGCAGAAGGAGAAAACCAAAAGATAAGAAGATGTAGCTTGGAAGAAAAGATAGTGGGTGATGAAGATCAGGAAGAAGATTGGGAACAGTGGTCTCAAGATCTAACGTTAACGGAAGGATATCGATTGCAGTTACCCTTCCTTAGCTTGGCGGGCGACCCAGTCCAGGAGTTAAGGTGCCGATTTTAGCAGCCCGCATTGGTTGGCTGATAAGACAGGTCTCAGGGGCTTCATGGAGTCTAGTGCGGTACCCCCCTGTTGGATTTAGGTACATTGAAGCTGCAAGCATCCGCAGGGTCTTTCCGTTCCTGCCAAGTTTAATTGAAGGGTTGTCGATGGAGTTACCCTACAGAAAGACATGGAAGGAGCCGAGGAAAATATGAACAAACCTTGATTGTTTTGGGGACTAACATCCATTCTTCAACGAAGATGCACTCACCGGTTATGTTTTCAATTTAGTGTTCTCGATCTAACGTGCAAAGACCGGTAGATGTTCATTGCTGAATGATAACCTTAAACGGGCCACCGTTTACCGACACCACCTTGACAACCTAGTTTAGTAGCAAGACTGTGACCCCAACTTCTGCTAGTAAGTAACACGCAATCCAATGACCCATTATCGGGTCGAGAACAATATGTACCTAGCTTGTTACGCATGCGCTCTTGCCAAAACAGGCTCTACCGGAGCTTATCATCATCGGCGCCGATACTGCGCCGCTTGAGCTCCGATAAAAATGGGTCAATCGGAGGCACAAGCTCCGGGCTCAAAGTCGGCTTTTATCTTTTGTGTTGCTTTACAGTTACCGATACGTTGAATCGTGAAATTACCGTCCAGTAGGAACTCATTTCAATCATCTCAGCAGCCACAATTAGCGTTTACCCGATGAAGCAAGTCGATGTTCCACGTATCAACCTTCCAACGTTTTCAACAGTAATTGTGGCTTGACGCTTTCCAATTAGTAGCGAGATGCTTAAAAAGACTGAAATGAATGCTGATAACAGCCAATGGCATTCTTCGTGATCCAAGTATGCCGGTGACCTCATAGCTGTAAAAGCTGAGCTTCAAGTAAACCCTAGTCGATCCACTACACCAAGAACTTGGGTCCACGATGCTCTACCAGAGCTTCAACAGCAGAATCATTTCCCCTGTGGCTTAGTTGGCTAAAGCGTCCGACTGTTATTAATCTGGCAATCGGGAGATCGGAAGTTCGAGCCTTCCCGGGGGAGTCAAGATCATGTCTTGATCTTTTGCATCTTCTCTGTATGAATTTGTAACTTTTTGGCTAATTCTCTACTGACAGTTGGATATCTTGGTCACAGAAGGATGAATACATATTTTTCTTCCACTCTAAATATACTCTTCGTGTCGCAAGAGGAATGAAATAAGGACGACAGCAAACGGGGATAAGTGATCAACCATCGGTTATCACTACTCTTCTCTGATATTGCTATGCATACTTAATGGGCAAAGTGATACTACACAATGTTGTTAATAGATATTGGCATGTGATATAACCCCTTCGGACTGTAGCACGAATCTCTTGAATTGTTGTTATCTGGATTGAGGGTCAGATTGTATTTAACAGCTGTTCATTTGATATGGATCAGAGAGAGCATAACGAGCATCAAGCATGTGGGCACACAATATACTATCCAAAAGTGGGGGAAAGTCGGAGTTGGAGACTGCACAACAACCAGCTCAACTGAGCAAGTCTTCAAGGGTAGAACCAGCGCACGATTAATTTAAAGAGCTTTTGATATTGCAACTTCATCTCTAGTGACTTTGCTGATTGGCACAACTGGTCAACTTGGTTCTACATTTGCAGTCGATCAGCAGCAATAGCCTGTCATCCCCTGTGGCTTAGTTGGCTAAAGCGTCCGACTGTTATTTATAGACAATCGGGAGATCGGAAGTTCGAGCCTTCCCGGGGGAGTTAATCCTTTATTTTGCTCTACGAACCTTCGGGTTGTGCGAATGATTTCTTTTTGATGGCATCCGGAGTGATATACAGGTAGAGGCAGATACCAGATTTAAGGGTCTTGGCCTGTGCTTGCTTGCTTCTATAGAATTGTTCCTAGCGCTAGGTAATGTGTTTGCGCCACAGCATGGCAATGTTCCCTTTGCGGCTCTGCTGTTGGCGATTGCTGCGAAGGAAGACACATGATTTGTACTGACGGTTAGAGACGTCTGTTGTTCCGAAGGTTCGTTGCCAAATGTTCAACAAGTCGAGAGTATGGGGTTGACTAGGATTGGGTTCAACTGAACTTTCTTACTTACACCTTACTTAACTTTTATTACTATTAGTAGATGTTCTTCCTTACCCGAGTTGAAGCTTCTCATTTTACATTAAATAAAGGAGAGGCAGTCAGTTCATGAGTTAATGCAATTCAATATACAATAGTCACCATCGCCAGCCTTCAATTATCCTAACGGCTGTTTCTATACTACCAAGTAGGCAATCTCTGCTGCATTTTGTAAATTGTAACTCAGCATAACTCGTACTGAATAATTACTCTGTATTTCTGAGAAGTGAATTGGGAGGCTAGAAGATGATATGATTATGCCTGGTTGTGCTACTGTTCAAGCACCGTGTACCTAGATATTGCCAGTTAGTCTCCCGTTCGGTTCTGATCGGCTGAAGCAATGCTACCAACCTTAACTCCTGTCGATTGATATAAACTATTGACACCACAGGAAATTTGGCATGGTAACGAAAGATAACCAGACCCGCAGCGTTCGAGTCACCTTAGCAATAATGAGCTCAGCATAGGGCGCATCACGAAGTCCGCCGTCCATCCAATAAGCTTCTCCCCTGTGGCTTAGTTGGCTAAAGCGTCCGACTGTTATTCACAGACAATCGGGAGATCGGAAGTTCGAGCCTTCCCGGGGGAGTTCCCTTTTATTCAACGACATCTTTTTGTTGTCTGTGGATATCTTTTTGCTGCCTAAGGCTGACGAGTGGGTTAGGACCAGAAGCAATGGAAGGGCGATCTGAATAGCTACCCAGCAGCCTTTTGAAACCGGGAGAATATGGATCTGAGAAGAATACAAACTGGTATTCAAGGCGATGAGTTGACGGATAGCAAAAGTTACAACTATTATCGAGGAGTTGGTTGCTGAATCAAAACTTGTAACATGATTGGCCCAGACGAGACCCTTAAGTCGACGAGAAAGTGGCCCGTGCATGACTGGGGCAAGACATGATGAGAAAGATTGGAAGGAAGGCTGCCACATTTTTTTGGATGGAAGCTTCGATTCATCACAGCTCCTCCCACTTTGAACCCGCCGACTTGACTCCCCCACCAACCGACCCCCCGGAGCGAAATCTGAGCCTGTACATAATTTTCGACACGAGTACAACTTTCGATAATCACATTCGGCTCGCTTCATCACCTTCAAAATGTCATTCGGAGGCCAAACGCCGACGATTATCGTCCTCAAGGAAGGTCCGTTTTACCCCACCGCCCGCCCGCTTCACCCCTCGAAATCTAAGGGGCCGATATAAACAACACGCAACGGCAACGCATATGATCGCGACAAGCACTGACAGTCGAACTTCTTACAGGAACCGATACCTCCCAAGGAAAGGGACAGATCATCTCCAACATCAATGCCTGTCTCGCTGTTCAGGCTACCATCAAGTCCACTCTGGGTCCCTACGGCGGTGACCTTTTGATGGTTGATGAGAATGGCCGCCAGACTATTACCAACGACGGTGCCACTGTCATGAAGGTTCGAAGCGCCCCTTAGAATATGCCTACTTTTGTGCCATTGCTAATTGAAGAAAAGCTCCTCGATATTGTCCACCCCGCCGCTAGAATTCTCGTCGATATCGCCCGATCGCAAGACGCCGAGGTCGGTGATGGAACAACATCTGTCGTTGTCCTCGCTGGTGAGATCCTCAAGGAGACTAAGGAGCATGTTGAGCAGGGTGTTAGCTCTCAGATCATTATCAAGGGTCTGCGGAGGGCGTCTCAGATGGCAGTCAACAAGATTAAGGAAGTTGCTGTCAGCACAAACGAGGCCAACCAGCGTGACACTCTCATCAAGCTCGCTGGTACTGCCATGACCAGCAAGCTGATCAAGAGAAATACTGATTTCTTCACCAAGAGTATGCGGGCAGGCACTTACCCCCTTATTTGACATTTAAGCTGATCAATTATAGTGGTTGTCGATGCTGTCCTGTCACTTGACCAAGACGACCTGAACGAGAAACTCATTGGCATGAAGAAGATCCCCGGCGGCTCCCTGACCGAATCCCTCTTTGTTAACGGTGTCGCCTTCAAGAAGACCTTCTCTTACGCTGGTTTTGAGCAACAACCAAAGTCTTTCGACAACCCGAAGATCGTGTGCCTAAACGTCGAGCTCGAGCTGAAGGCTGAGAAGGACAATGCCGAGGTCCGTGTTGAGCAGGTCTCTGAATACCAGGCCATCGTCGATGCGGAGTGGCAGATTATCTACAAGAAGCTTGACGCTATCCACAAGACTGGCGCCAAGGTTGTTCTCAGCAAGTTGCCTATTGGTGACTTGGCTACCCAGTTCTTCGCCGACCGAGACATCTTCTGTGCTGGACGTGTTGCCGGTGAGGATATGGAACGTGTTGTGCAGGCTACTGGTGCTGTTGTTCAGTCAACATGCTCCGACATCCTGCCCGAGCACCTGGGTACTTGCGGCAAGTTTGAGGAGCGCCAGATTGGTGGAGAGCGATTCAACTTCTTCGAGAACTGCCCCGAGGCCAAGACCTGCACCCTTGTCCTGCGTGGTGGTGCCGAGCAATTCATTGCCGAGGTTGAGCGATCTCTGCACGATGCCATCATGATTGTTAAGCGAGCCATCCGAAACCAGCTTATTGTCGGTGGTGGTGGTGCCGCCGAGATGGAGGTTTCAGCATACCTTCACCAGTTCGCTGACAAGAACATCCCCCATAAGCAACAAGCCATCATCAAGTCCTTCGCTAAGGCCCTCGAGATCATTCCCCGCCAACTTTGCGATAACGCCGGCTTCGATGCTACCGATATCCTCAACAAGCTTCGTGTCGAGCACCGCAAGGGCCAGACATGGGCTGGTGTTGACTTCCAGAATGAGGGTGTCACTGATATGATGGAGCGATTCGTCTGGGAGCCCGCTCTTGTTAAGATTAACGCTATCCAGGCCGCCACCGAGGCCAGCTGTCTCATTCTCGGCGTTGACGAGACAATCCGCAACGAGGAGAGTGCTAAGCCTCAAGCTCCTGGTCAGCTTCCTCCAGGTGCGGCCCAGCGAGCTCTGCGAGGACGTGGCCGTGGCATGCCCCGAAGGTAAATGCATAAAATGTAATGATAGATGGAGAATATGATCAAAAGTGAAAAGGGGAGCTTTTACTTATCCTGGAAACATAGACCTTTTGTGAAGAAAACAGGAACGGCGGTGTCGTGGCTAAGGAGCCGGAGGATCTGTATGATACCTAGACCTATCTGACCTCTAAAACTTGATGATGACCTCTATCCAACACATTCAGATATCGTGTAGAAGCAACGTGATGAGCGATGTCATAGAGAAGTTGGTTTTTCGTATGCGGAGCCAGCTGTTTGCAGGCACGCGTTAAGGGACCCAAAGATGATATTTGACAATGAAATTGATATAGAACGCCAAGCTCATGCTCATAGATCAGAAGAAATACAGGCCCAGAAATCGCACGCTTTATACTTCGATCCTGCAAGATAGCAACACAGGCTCAACATCAGGAATTACCCTCCTGGTCCTCCAAAGCCAACATCATACAAGCTTCTATCCTTGTGTGACAACCCCTGACTACCCGTTCCGTCAATGCCATCGATATTGACAGCTTCATCCATTACACCATCATCATCTTGGTGATCTATCAACATTTCCAAATCCTGATCCACAACATCTTCTCCCACTCCTTCGGTGGCATTGAGTAATGCTTGGAAGTCAGCAGGCGAGTGGTATTGGTCGAAGGCACTGAGGTCGTGTGATGAAGACTGGTTGATGATTTGCGGGTCGATGGGTTGATATACAGGGTGATCGTGCGGATGATGGCCGGTCGGGGGATCTTGAAGCATAGGACTGTGCGAGTGAAGTGGATGTTCCATAGAGCTGTTTTGAAGGGCGTGAGAGTGACCAATTAGGGAAATATCGGCTGGGTTAGCATAAGGACTGGGCGTATGATCATGATCAGGGTTTTGTTGCGAGAGTGCCGGCATCATGCTGTGATCTTGTAACGGTAGCATCTGAGTGGCGGGAGGACTCATCGATTGTACTTGGTGTTCATTTGAATCTCCTCTCACAACTCCTATACTTCTCCCACTGTGATTATTTGACGAGGCTGCTTTCCGCGCACCACCAGGGTTAGGTGTCTTGCCGAGCTCTTTGCACTCCGCACAACTCCGGATAACATCGCTGGCCGTTTCCTTGATACGACTCCAATGATACTTCTCTGCAATAGTAGCTGTCGTCCTATTGATGCCGCCGTGCTGCTGGGCATGCATTTGCCGGGCAATATCGAATTGGCGAACCGGATCAGATATCACCTCTTTATCCTTGAGCATGAGCTTGTCGCCGTCGAGAAGCTTATAGTGCGTCGCTGCGCTCCGAAGCCTGCTTTTTTCGGCACGGTCAGCGCCGTTCGGGTACTCGCCGTACTTGAGGTAGAACTTGATTTTGTCGAAACGCTCTTCACTCACGAGTTCCTCGCTTTCGCGCGGTGACAGATCCCGGCCGTAGATGATGGCATCGATCAATTGACCTGGAAAGCTGCGAAGATTACCGCACCCCTTGACCCGGCCGATGCGCTTGAAGCCAAGCGCATCCCAGATACGGCATGATGCCACGTTTGTCTCGTACACCAGGTTGAAGACGCTGTAAGTATAACCCAGACGAGGTGCCCAATCCAAGTAAGCCTCGCCCATGAGACGACCGACACCGCGGTTGCGGGCGGCATCAGTGACTAGGAAGCCAGCATTGCATACATGGCTGCTGCGGCCAGGGTAGTTGGGCTTGATGTAGAAGCTTCCCAGACATTCGCGGGACCAATCTTTGCCTTCAACTACGTCCTCAGCGCGTTCAACATTGCCAAGAAGCATGATGGCTCCAAAGTTCTGGAACCAGTAGGAGCCAAAATTGTCGGCAGCGAAAGGCTCCATCATGGGATACGTATCGCCGCCTTCAATCTCCTTATTGATCTGGTCACATAGATAGGCGATCAACGACTTGGGAACCTGATGTTTAGAGGCAAACGGGACAATGGTAGCCACTGTCTGACGATCACGGAGTGTGACCTGCCGAGGGGTGATGTCGGCCGGGAAGCCGGGGCTGTTCGGATCCGGGTACGGAGGTTGACCGGAGACTCGGTAGATGGTGGGGCTCGCCGGATCATCTAGCATGGCCGGCATTTTGTTGGAGCAAACCCTTTATGCGGGGTTATGAAAAAAGATGAAAAAGGAACAAGAGACGGATTTAATTGGATAAGAATGTGTTTAAGCCTGTCACCAAATACCTGTTAGCATTTCAGATTCTCCTGTCACTTACGAACGATCCTCGCAGCCTGGGCAATGTCGTCTTACACCAAACCAACACCAACAAAACTGAAAGTGCAGAATGAGGGAGGGAATATAGAATGATGCATACCGGTTCCAGAGCGAAAGCGAGGCAATTTATTAAGAGTAGCTCGGCTCAAAAGCTAAACCATTACTGGTGACTCCGTGGTTGTGGGGTTGCGCCTTTCGAATACCGATCTCGCACCGAGCTCTCTTCCCGAATCTCTCAGATTCTATGTGTTTATTGCAGGGCACTAATTGTGCTGGACTGTGCTGTGCTGTAAGAGCTTCCACAGGCGTCTTAATACGCTGGTTGGGTGGTGCCCTGGGTCCTTGGCTGGAAAAGGCCAGGTGCTGAACGCCCTGAGTTTGACTGGGCTCTCTAAAATAGAAACCTCCACTGGGAACTGCAACTGCCCGAGCACCTGGGGATATGGAACTGTATGGATGCGCTGTAGGTCCAGTATTGACCGAACTTAGCCCCAGTAAAATACAGTAGTATCAGATGCTCCGCTATATAGACTGGCGTGGTGCAGTCTGTTCAGTGCTGGGCTTGTTTTGCTGTGGAATCTGTCGTAGCTGTGCTGAAATGTTCTTTGATGATGAGGGGAAATGCGCAGGACGCAGGGCAGCTGGGGCTGGGCTTGTCGAGGTCAGTAGGTCGTCACTAAGGCGCGCCCCAAAATTTCATGGAGGCGGGGCAAGCACCTGTAGCTGGAGAAAAGGGAAGGGACGATCTGTCAGTAAATATGGGGCTAAGGTTTATCCGGAGGTATCGCCGCAATCGGCCGAAGTATAAGGCATCCGTTCCCATAACTCACATCAGAGCGACAATGTATACAGTACGTTACATGTTATATATTCGTATCAACTTACATCGCTTCTTTGTTCTATTTCTCCCGTAGGCTATTATACAGTTTTTAATATTGTACACAGCTTTTCTACTGCTTGCCGCTCTTGATATCGGCCTCAATAGCCTCCGCTGCATCCTTGAGTCCAGACAACTGCTCCTCAATGCTTGTCAACCTTGAATCAGATGTTGTCTCGGCAGGCTGAGTCTCAATCTGACTTTCGACTTGAGACTCAACAATTACCTCCGAAACAACAGGCTGTTCAGGTGAGGCAGAAATTGGCTCTGCAGGCATGATAGCAGATTGTGTCTCAGCTTCAATAGCCTCAGCGACAGCCTTAAGGCCTGATAGCTCCTCCTCGATACTCGTCAATCTTGAATCATGCGATGACTTGGCAGACTGGGTTTCGATTTGGCTTTCGACTTCAGTCTCGACCTGGCTTTCGACGACAACTTCGGAGACAACAGGTGCTTCAGGTGAAGCAGGAGTTGGCTCTGTGGGTTTGGTGGCAGCATGTGTCTCAGCCTCAATGGCTTCGGCTACAATTTTGAGGCTGGACAACTCTTTTTCAATGCTGTCCAATCTACATTCAGAGTTTGAATCAGCAGCGGCAGGCTTGGCGCCCTCTGAGGTTGTCTCTCCCATCATCTTGACCATGTCGCTCTCAGAGACTTCAGCCTGCTCTCCGTAGAACTGTTCCCGTAGAAGCTTCTGTTCCTCCTCGTTGAAACCCTCCAGATTGTGCTGCATCTGACCCATGACGTTCTTGCGCTCAGCAATGGCCGCCTTCTTCTCACGGGTCATGTGCTGGACAATATCAGGAGGGTTCTGCCATGTTGCCTTGTCCTTCTTAGCGTCTGTCATACGTCGTTGGTGACCTCGTTGACCAGCATGGCCTAGGACACCACCTACGACAGCCATAGCTCGTAGACTAACGATATATCAGCATATTAAAACATCCACCTTTGTTGGAATTTCTCACCTGTCGTCGTTGGCAGGAATGGTATAAGTCACCCATGAGGGGTCAGCATTGGTGTCAATAACACCGATGGTGGGAATGCTCTTAAGACCACACTCATACAAAAGAGTATAGTTCTCAAGAGGGTTCAGGCAAACAACCAGATCGGGCATCAGAGGTCGAGCCGAACCTCTGTAGTTCTCAAATCCGGGAAGCTCCACATCGTTGTGGTCCACAACCTTTGTACCAGCCATCTTCAGGATAACGTCTCGGTTGGTGATAGCACCGGGAGTCCACTTGGTGAACAGGTGGCAAGCACTAGCCATCTCGGCAGCCTGAGTGACAATCTCCATTTGACCCTTGCGGTTTCCGACAAAAAGAATCAGACCAGCCTTGTAAGCAACCTCCTCCACCACGCGGGCCGCTCGTCGGAGGTGCGCCGCAGTGGTCTCAAGAGAGATCATATGGACACCCTCTCGCACACCATAGATATATCGAGAGTTGGCGGGGTTCCACAGCGAGGTCTTATGTCCAATATGCGTTTGCGAAGCCATCAACATCTCCAGAGTGATATCCTCGGGTCCTGGTGGGTTGTTGACGAGTTCGGTAGGGATGTATCGCTTGACAAGTTTCGAACCGAGACTTCGGGTGTTGGCCTGGATACGCTGCCATTCTCTGTACTGTTGAGCAGGCGTCGCTGGAGCCGCAGAGTTCGAGTTCTTGTGGGGTGTCGTCCATGTCGAGCCCTTGTGTTCATGCGCTGAGTTAGTCCTGAGAGAGAGGATGCCGTCCTGCACGATTCTCTGCTTCTTTCTTGCCGCTGAAACAATCTTGGGAGGACCGGTGGCGGGTGTCGAAGTCGTCCATTCCTTCACTTCGGATGTGCCCTCGGTTTTGTTGGTGACCTGGGTGGACATTCGCCTGAGAAGGGACCTGGAGATGGGAGACGCCATTGTGTGGCGGCCTGGCCCTGTCAGTCACATATTTGCAATAGTAGCACCTCAATTGACTTACAATGCCGCACGGGGGCGTTCCTCAGGATCATGGCGACGGCTTGCAGATTGCTCGACTATCGTGATGGTCGTTCGACCGTAGCCAAAATTTGGGTATGGCGGATGGCCCGGGCGCACAGATTTTCCGGTCCGATTAACACCACTACATGGAATTCAGTTTGGTCAACCATTTCACAACCACAAATGCAAGCAGACAAGTCCATAAGTTTAATCTAAAAACAAAGAAAATTCAATTAATCCTGCAAGGGGTAAGGGTAATGTCTACTATGAAGCACTTCTTTCTCTTTCTGCATATCTACACTAAACAGCGCCCCGTCTTCATCAGGTCGTTATGAGGAAAGTCAAAAGTGTCTTTACCGGCTGGTGAGCCTTGCAATGGTAAAGACACCTACAATAGTGATCGCCAATGTAACAATGGCGCCAGGAAGGATCAGCTCATTAGGTACACCGGCAATGATCTGCTCTTCGTGCGCATGAGCATGCGCCGCACGACTCTTACGTCTTCGTACGGGATGCTCCTCCTCGGAATCGTCCTCATCCTCCTCGTTCTCTTCGGGCCACCACTTGCGGCGCTCCCGAAGGCCAGCCCCGGTAGAGACCGAGGGCGTAGCAGGATGTCTGGGGTCAGCTGCAGATACAGGAGGCTTCTCGGGATCGTGCACAAAGAGATCAACCTTGTCATGATGGGCTTGGCGGGCAAGAATGACAGCCTCGAGCAGATCGTGATCAGCTGTGATAGAAATCGAATCTCCTTCATCGTCCAAGAAGCTCATAGCAAAGCCAGCACCCACGATCTTTCCGTCCTCTACATCAGGCACTCCACCAATGCTGTCTGCCTCAGCACCAAGTTTAGAGGCAATGGCATCAACGAAAGCCTCGATGCCTTCTGTAGCAGTGATCTTCATGCGGTGTACCCGACCGGAGGGGGCCTTGAACTTGAAGGGGAAGGGGAGTTCTTCGGGGAGTTGATGCTCGAGAACATCGGGGAGGATAGAGCGGGGAGGGGACTCCATGCCAACATGGGAGGCTGAATCTCCTGGAGCAACACTGTCGTTGATACGATCCCGGTGCATATCAGGGGATGTAAGACGAGAACCAAGATTGGTGTGCTGAGCTTGGCTGCCCTCTCCTGACATCATGGACTCGGTCTCAGCATCGAGAGAGAGCCAGAACTTGTTCCAGGCGGGGCCCTCGTCGTTGTTGTTCGACATGGCATTGATTTGGTCGAGTGTGGCGTAGGTGAGCTTAAGAACATCGACCATACCAACAATCTCACCACCATCATTCATGACAGGCAAATTCAGGTAGTGTCCGTCTAAAATCTCGTTAGCAGTGTCTCATAAGGTAGCCTCGCCCATTTTCTCAGGTAACTTACCGTGCATCTTGCGGAGAGCCGCCTGGAGAGTCATATCCATGGGCGCAAAATCGGGGTGAGGGGTCATGACACGGACGACACTGCAGTTGGCGGGGTCCAGGCCAGGGGCAATGACTCGGAGAACGACATCCTTGCTGGTGAAAATACCCGTAATAGCACCTTGGTCCTGAACCAGGACAGCAGTTGTATGGTTCTCCTTCATGAGCTGGGCAGCTTCCTTGACTGAGGTTCGTACATTAACGGTAGTGGGGGGAACGCCGTTGAGCACAGTTTCCAAAGTAGGTCCGGACATCTTGCTGCGCAGAGCCTCGACGTACTGGATGATCTGCTGAGGCTGGGTAGAACCCAACTCAGACTGAACACCTTCAAGCGCATCGTAGAGTTTTCTAGAGGACGAGTAGGCACGCTCAAGCTTTTCCATAGCATCGTAGAAACACTTGGTGATATCCAACACACCCGAAATATCTTGGTTCTCGTCCATAACTGGCAAATGTCGGAAACCCTTTCGGACCATGAGATCCAAAGCATCCGTAGCGCTGGTATCGGTTCGAGCGCAAAGAGGGTTTTTGGTCATGATTTCGGCAATAGTGACAGCGGAGGCCTTGGCTCCAGCTCCCACAACACGGAAAGCGAGATCCTTTGCAGTGAAAATACCAGCAATTCGGTCGTCATCGTCGGTAACCAGAACACAGTCCTCTCGCTTTGCGGCCATCAACTGGGCAGCCTCGGAAACCGTGGTAGCAGGCTTAATCTGGAGCGCCTGACTGGGCTTCAGGGCAAGGACAGTTCCGGGAGGAGCTTTTCGCGAGTGGCGGGCTCGGCTTGTAAGGTGCTTCTTCTTGGAGAGATCATTTTCGAGCTTCTTTCGGATGGCCTGGGCTGAAGGTTAGCAACCTTGTACGCAGATCGGAGGTTCTCGAGGTATATATCGCATCGAGGATAGTGGGGGAGAGGTATATCATGACGAACCTCATCACGTTTGCTCTGCTTCTGACGACTGGCGCTGAAAGATGATCCAGTCTCGGTAGGCGGTGTGGGTTCGAGAACTGGACGAGGAATATTGGAATTACCGCTGGGACTGTTTGAAAAGGGAACCGCACCACGGCCCTTGTTGGGCGTACTCCTGTGAGTGTTGTGAGAATGTCCCGACATGGCGGCAGATGGAACGAGAACAGGACGAGACAAGAGGAGTCGGTCCGGCTTATCGTCGCAGCCCAAAGGACGATTGGTATTCTGTTTCGCTGTAGGCAAAACCAAAAGAGGGTCGGCGGCAGGAAGATGCAATAAAAAGGTGAGTTTCTGCCCTGGTTAAAGAGAACCTAGGAAAATCGAGGATCAGCCAATCGCAGTGGGCGAGATATTCTGCGGCAAGGAGGAAATCGGGTGACTGTGTTTAAGGTGAGTGACTCTTTCAAGCTCCAAGGATGGTGGTACGTTCTTCTTGGCCCCTGGACTTTCAAGGTTGTTGTGGTAACTCTTTTAGTGGGTGTTGATTCTAGGACAGCTATTGGCCAATCATGTGGCTCTGAATACCTGAATACCGTTACACCGCTTGATCAGATAACGTCTAGAACATCTTGGGAGGGCACTTTTTCTCCTCAAGATCCAATATCGAGTTTCGAATTTGAGATACGATTCTTTTCAGGGATCTGAACTACTCTACCCTTATGATATGCATCTCCGTCCCATTCATGACCCGCATATTATCCCATCTTGCTTATAGTTCATCGGGAGGATCCATCGTGACCCGAACTGTCTGCACATCATGGGCCCGTGCTATTATGCATTCAACCCATCGATCTCTATACCGCCTCCATCCCTACCGATTAGACTAGGCCTCCCAGTCAGTAACTGTGACATTGTATCCGTATGTATATGAGAACACGCTTCAAGTCGGGTTGATCAGTGGAGGCACGGAAGAGATCATGAGACCACAGTTCACAATGCCAAATCAACTGGTTTAAGGCCTGGTGTATTCCAGCATGAACTGATAGATCAGTTGATGCTTCTTAGGTAGGTATGCCAACATAACCAGGTTTCGTACTAGCTCGATCTTCTTGAATCTCCCCTCACCACGTACACCTGCATAAGGTAGGCAGAATGTAGGTCAACCGACATAACCCATTCCCTGGGCTTAGAGCTCACCTAAGGAAAGTCTACCATGCAACGAACATCTATAACTAGCTCGCCCTCGTTGTTACAGAAAATTTGACTATATCACCATAGAGGACGCAATACTTCAGTCAGCTCAGTCAACTCTAGACCAGCTCTTAGGCTCTATTTTCGTCCCTAAGCTTGGGCTCAAGACTTTTGGCCTCTCTCCAACTTCCTTGCCTTTGACTGGAGCCACGCAGGGTGCGGCTTACAGCTCGGAGCTACGCAAGCGGCAGAAACGGCTTCCACTCATACCCCGGAGAGTTGCTGACTTGGCGTCTCTGTTTTGCAGGGTAGCTAGTAACGTAAAGATGAGCATATCCTGATTGCAGATGGAATGATATCTCCTTGGTCTACCTTCTACTTTCTGACGAAACAAATCAACGGATGGTAGAGGAGAGCAACTGGTGTTCACCAACAGAGGGAATTCAAATGACAGTAGTAGTAGAAGAAGGCAATAAGTCAACAAAAGTACATCTCAGAGAAGTTCTGGTCAGCAAGGAACTCGGAGGTGTTTGCTGTTAAGCAGCGCCTTCCCGACGGGATGCCAGATAGTTACTAAGCTAGGTAGCCAATAAAGATAGTATGCATTGAATGTCAGATGCAGGCTCCTTAAGAACAAGGCGAAACGATTGTCACTTGTAGGTAAATAGATATTCATGGTGACAGGTTTAAGCAACTAGCTCTATATCTGTCGCGCCTGGTTGTCGGGGGATAGCAAAGAGCAAGCAAGCCCATGTTCGGTAACTCACATGAAGGCAGTACGATAGCATTTACATGAGCAAAGATAAATGAGAGTGGTGATACACAGAGCAGCTACCTAGACGAGTAGAGAAACCTGAGAAGAACAAATGACCTGGTGCTATCATATGAGTAAAGTCTTGTATTTTTTATTGTCGTTTACAAATGTCAAACGTGCATTTCCCAGGCACCTCTTGGCTGATCATCCATCTCATGATTCTCGCCGTGAACAAGACCCGAATAGTCGCGAATACGTTGGTGCAGCAACACAACGCTCACTACATCTGGTGGCACCATATTTGATATAACGATAAACCCGGCAGTCTTCGAATTAACTACCCATCATAGAATTACATACCGTTGCTGGTGAGGAATCCACACACACAAGCTATGGACCGTTGAACCGTCTAATTGACACCGAAGCTATACATGGCGGTCTCAGGAAGTTCGTGACTCATACAGTGAATCCAGTGAATCAAGAAGGTCTTTGTTGAACCCGGGTCAACTCCAGACATCTTAAGCTCTGTTTTGTTTGGTGTTTCAGGAAACTTCGATACAACTGTTCCTGTGAAGTAGGCATTAGTACTCGAATTGATGACTCTATCATATAATTTACTACGAAGCCTACACCTCTCAATTGCGAGATACACAGACATTGGAAAGCACGGGTTGAAATATATGGTCATGTATGATGATTCTGGCACAGACGTCTGAGATCGCTCGACAGTATAGGGTAACAGTTTTGTTATCAATACAGCAATGACCACTAGAACAACAGACCAAGTTTTGTCTGAAGATGACAGTAAGAGGCCAAGTTTCCATCCGCTCTGGTGACTAAAATCGACGTATCGTGTCATTGATTTGAAGCCTCTGTTTGTTGCCATCGTCTCGGCATGAATGAATCAAAAAGTCGTGGCGTCGGCAAGAAAATACACTTCGCGGACACCAATAACCGAAAACCCAATTCACAAGTAAGCAACACCCTACCTTGGTACTTGGAATAGTATGTTCGACTTCCAATTGACATTCGAGTGTATCTGAATCACGAAGTTGAGAAGAAAAACGAACAAAGACCACGGGGTTAATTGATTCGTATTGAAGTTCTAGGCACATACCCAATGGAGATCAATGATGGGGTTATGGGGATATCAGATGTCCAGGTCATTCCTTGTGCTGAAGAACTCTCGGCCCCTCAGAGACAAACTTAAGAGCTGAATGTACAGTCATGGACCAGGGAACCTAGGCAACACATTGTCAAGTCATGATGGAAGTGGTGGCTTCGACTCAGTATATCGCCATCGATTGTTTGGTTGGAATGTAAAGGCACTTTGGAAGCAATTGGGCGTTTATCATTATCCAATGAGGGCATATTTATCTGGTATGGAAAAATGAGCATGGTTCGGGCCTGACCAAGTTAGCTGAGACAGCTTGAGCTTGCAAGCTGTGTTGATCCTGAAACAAGACGTCATTATATGAGCTGCAAGGGTTGATATTCTCTGACCATTATAGCAGTCCAGATAGCTACTATAATTGAGACATGTGCTGGAATCCCAGGTTGTTATGGTAGCAACAGGGAATAGTAGTGGTGATGATGCTATTCCCGTAGAGGATGCTTAATTGTTTACCCTTTGAACCTTTGAACATTTGATGGCGTTGAAAGTGTTGGGACCACAATGACTTGAGAAGCTTATCGAAATAGAAAAGCAATGAAAAAAGAGCAACGAATGAGGATCATCAAAAGCTAAAGCTGTTAAGAACTGGTAAATCTCGATACAGCATCTTGCGGATACCGAGGATAACATCGTCGTCCAGGTCACGTCTCAGAAGCTGGGTCTCTTTCTTTTGGAGACTAAAGTCTTAGCATGCGATTAGCCGCTAAGCTAAGCCAGACAAGGGTGATATCAAGTGTTAGTGTGGGCTGAGGGGAAGCTAGGTGAATCTGGATTTGGTGGCACAGCGGCCCAGTTGCCCCGGTGATCAAAGTCTTGTTTACTCAATTGTACATCTGCCTACCTCAGTGAAGTAGATCTGGAGGTCGACCCCAAAGATCCAAGCTACCCACACTACTCTTCTCGTATCTAGCACCAAAGCTACCTACTTACAATACTCCATACATACGCATACTCAACGAACAATTAATTGTTTGCGTATCCATCACCTTAATACCTCTATCACATCTGAGTTCGCATCTCACAGAAGAGCATCTCCCAAAAAACCCACCTTCCATCAAATCACCTTGAAAGAGGTGTATCTACATCACCACTTATACCGCAAAGTCGACTCCGACTGATCGCGACAACACACTTCCACTAGCCCGGCGCTCTGTGCTTGCGCTGCGTGAGGTAAGTGATTGATGGAAAAGAAAAAGTCAAGATCAAGTCAATTGACTTTTGTTGTAGTTTCGGACCAAAAGGTTCCCATTCGACAACTGACGACCAACGACAATTCTATTCCGGACTCCCCTTGCGACAAAATGCTGTCCAATCCATCAGGACTTCACGCTCGACAAAAGCAGCATCGACGTCAAAACTCGACGCCGACTGCTTTCGAGGGTGTCAAGATCCCCAATCTGCCAACTACACAACGACAATCCGCACACCGACGCGGCCTCAGTCTCGATATTCGAAGACAACAAAGCTCAAGCACAGCATCTCCCACAACAACAAGGCAGAAGTACATGGTAAGTACGAATACTAACAGCACAGGATTAGCCAATCATCCGCAGCATAACGTACTGCGAGAAGCGCAGCAGCAACGCATACAAGCACGCCCGGGCACACAGAACCCTTACGCCAACTTGGCATCTAGTGGCAGTGAAAACTATCTCATGTCTCCTCACGGAACTCCTCAGACGCAAAGATTCGACCCGTCCTGCTTTGACCCAAACTCACTTCCCTTTGACCCCTACACCGCAGATCTTAATGTGATGATGAGCAAAGGACAACAAGCTGGCTACGGCGACAACCTGTCGGGAGGTAAGGAATTTGATCTTTTTAACACTAACAGTGCTCTATCCACACCGACCTTTATCGAATTCCCCTCTGAGGCTTCCTCCGCCCAAGGTTGGGCTTCTGAAGGTGACACCTCCAGCACAAGGAGGACCTCGAGGAGGATAAGCGGAGGTATCCAAGACCGCGTCAACAAGTTCGAGAACTTGGACTCAACGAGACCAGCGACTCCCCCCAACCAAAACCAGAACCAAAACCAGAACCAAAACCAAAGCCAGGGCCAGAAGCAGAACACACAAAGTCAGTCCTTCGACTGGACGATGCCACTGCCCACCACGACTAACCAGGTGAAAGGCTACTTTCCCCCTACGCCAATGGAGACCCCCCATGATCGCTTGACCAAGGGCGAGCCCATGCTAAGTCGGTTTGCTGAGGGCTACGACGAGTCTATGGAGGAGACCATCAAGCCTGTGAGGAACCGTGGAGGCAACCGAAGGGCCCAGAACATCTTCCAGGAAATCAGACAACAGTCTGAGGAGGACATGTCTAGCCAAGTTGCAACAGACTCTTCTGCCCAGTCATCCTTCCATGGAATGCCAATGTCGACACCCGACTACATGAACATGAACAACTTCAATAATGAGTTCATGAAGATCGAGAACGACTTCAGTGGCCAAGACATGCACGGTCTCGACATGAGCCACCAATTGCCTCAACACTCTACCCCCGACACTCCCCAGATGACACAATTTATGGGCTCTTTTGATAACAAGCCCAGCCTCCGACCTTACCCTATGAGCGCTCAATCCATCTCTGATACACCACAGACACCTTCTAGCCGCCACTCTGCTCACCGTCGAACCGAATCTGTTGCTAGCATCGCCAGTGCCGCCAGCATTGCCAGCATCAACATTGAGGAGACCAAGACGGAGACCGGTGTCACTCAGGATGAGATCGCTCAGTTCATCAGTGGCCCTGACGCTGGTGACGGCAAGTGGACATGCACATACGAGGACTGTGGAAAGAAGTTCGGCCGTAAGGAGAACATCAAGTCGCACGTCCAGACTCACCTCAACGACCGTCAATACCAGTGCCCCACGTGTAAGAAGTGCTTTGTCCGTCAACACGACCTTAAGCGACACGCCAAGATCCACACTGGTATCAAGCCTTACCCCTGCGAATGTGGTAACAGCTTTGCTCGCCATGATGCTCTCACCCGACACCGTCAAAGAGGCATGTGCATCGGCGCTTTCGACAATGTTGTGCGCAAGGTTGTCAAGCGAGGAAGACCTCCTAAGAAGACCCGTCCTGATATGGAGACTCGCATGGACAAGTCTGCGAGAACGCGCAAGAAGAACATGTCCATCAGCTCAATGTCATCTTTCTCTGCATGCTCGGACAGCTCAGCTGTCAACTCACCGGATCATTTCATGCTCGATGACATGATGGACATGGGCATGACTTCGCAGGGCCAAAACCTTGCCGCGGTCTCTTCAGCACCCATGACCGGTCTCACTGCTGCAGCTCTTCAGGAATATGCCTCTTCTCCCTCCACTGGTAGCGTTCACTCTTACGTCTCCCCTGAAGCCATCATGGACGGCACTCCCATGCACGTTGCATCACCCGCCAAGAGCGCCGCAAGTCAATACAACACCCCCCCTGAACTGTCACAATCATCTTCTCCCCCAGCTACACACTTCTTCGAGGTCGAGCACAACAACTCAATCAACACCGATGACCTGACTGCCCTCCCCGGAACAACGACTTATGTGACTTCGGCCACCATGGCTGCTACTCTTCCTTTGGGAATGAGCACCGCAGATGATGACATCCTCCTGCAGTACGCTACCAGCAACAGCTTTATTCAGCTGGGTCGCGAATCCGACATGCTCAGCATGGGCAAGATTGACGACTACGACAACGGTATCTTTGATAACGACGTCTTCTTTGGCAACTAATTTCGTTATTGTTGCGTCTTTTACTCAAGCGAAAAAGCCTTTCGTAACTTAATCAGCGGCGGCGTACTTGAGTCTGTTTATATTCTTCTTCGGATAACATTTGCCAACTTGCACCTTTGTTTTCTGCAAGAACTCAGCATGGCATTTCTTCTCATTCTTCTTATTTTTACGACGCTCACGCTCACGCAGCCACGCATCAACAACATGCACGCACAATAGCGAGTCAATGTATAACACGACGTGGAAGACTCAAGAAGGTTACAAAAAGGCACAGGTTTTGAATTTTATGTTATGGGGGTACTTCAGTACCAGCATCAGGACTCTCTGGGTTCATCAATGGGACGGAACAGGCGAACGGATCTTGGGATTTTTGAATGATTTTTGGGAAACGGAAATTGATAGAAGCAAAGGTCTCAACGCGGTTGGGGTGTCGCACACCCTTTGGGCCGCCAGGAGTTTTTTGGGGTTGAGCCTTTTGCTTTATCTGGTAGATGAAACTTACCAATGGGATATTGATGGAAAACTAATGCTTTGTGCCTTTTGATTGTGATATGAAATGTGAAATGTCCATGGTGATGTCCATATTGATAGTTGGTGTATGGCCGGCGTTGACAACCACTAAACAAAGGTTAAAGATTTATAGGGCAACACTGAATTAGAACAAGTTCGTTTGACTTTCTTCCATCTGCATATTCGATTGCATCTGTAAATTGTAGTTCACTCACTCATTGTTTATTTGAGGTCGATGTTAATCAGTCAGCGTCTACAGTACCTAATCTCCACTCACTAAAACGTAGCCACCTATCGATCCCAGCTTCCAGTGGTTCAAGCTTCTCAATACATCAACCAAAAATTCACATCATCACTTTCATTGTTTCTCTACTGTATCATAACTATCTCGATAACAGGTAATCAACTGTGGGACCGTCTCCTCGACGTTGATTGACCATGTTGACTCCTACGATCGGTGTCAAAACCGCCTTTTTCTACGCCTTTGGAAATACTCTAGCAACCAGTTTGACTCGATGTGTACCGCAAGGTCAGGATGTAGATATTCTGTCTCTGGGATGTGGTGACTTGCGCAATATTCTATACACAACTTATATCGAGAAGGGCTTTCGTATGTTCTCCTTCCACCGCTTTCTGATGCCGTAACTGACCGAAGCAGCGCAGAGACAGATTGACTTTACCTGCTGTGATGTTGCAGACACTATCATTGGTAGGCCAAGTACCTTGTACCAAGTGTTTCTAGATCGCTAACTGGACATAGCTCGCAATGCCTTCTTTCTAGTTTTGCTCCTCGACGAGGACTGCAAACTGAGTAGTGAGCAGCTATGGAATGCCTACCACCATCTTTATGTTGATGAAGAGACCACTGCTGCTGTATTGCAAACAGCCACCAAGCTGCTGACCATATCCAAGTGCCTTGAAGATTGGAAGAGCAGCAAATACGGCAAATTTATCAAGTTCTGCGATGCCGACACTTTGTCAGATGTTCGACGTATCTGGATGGTCATCAAGAATGCCGCATCCAAGTGCCAGTCTGGTGAGTACATGGAGACATTCGCGCAGAAGGTCAAGCCGTCCAAGGATCATCATCAGCAAGTGTTTGGTGAAGGAGGCGCCAACATCACGGTTATGCGTTCTGCGGCACCACTCTCTATGCAAGCTGGCACAAAACTCGTAGAGATGTCCAATCAGTACTGGAAAGAAGGAACGGTAACGCCACGATCGGCTACCGACAAGTCACCAAATCCGCTCCTCGCCAGCCTTCTTTCTGCGGACAGTCTCTTGCACTACGGGACAGATCCCATCATGGGCTTCCATCTCGCTACTGCTTATGCTGCCCTCCGTAAAGGATCTCCCCTCGAGCCCAAGGACCCGGACCAAGACTTTGTCGCTTTAGCTGCTGCCAAAACCCAGTTCAACGAATGGATATCTGCTTTCAAGTCATTGAAAAAGAATATAGTTATTCGATTTGCTGTTGCGGATGCACTGGCTCTTTGCCATAGCTTCCAGACTGCACAAGCAACAGGAAAATCGGCCAATCTTTACAGACGAACATGGGACTCGCGACCACTTGTTTTGGACCCGAAGGAATATGGGAAGGACGGCAGAGGGCCATCGTCGTTCGATATGATCGACACTTCGAACCTATCCGACCACATCGGCGCCCTCAACATCCTCATTGCAGCAGGTCCACTACTTAAAGACGAGCCATGGGCATCGTTGTTTACGGAGTTATTGCTCAAATCTGGAAAGTCCAAGGACAGCGCTCTCGAAAAACTCCTCTGCGGTCATGCACCCACCATTTCGCTGCTGCTCGGATATAGCCCTGTGCAGTATTGGACCAATGCCAAGGTCGAGTCTCATGTTGACGAAGTACTTCTCGGGCTTATGAACCAACGGGAAAGAGAAACACAGACGCGCAACCGTTTGGCTTGGAAGCGTAACACTCATTTCTCAGACCAGGCTAGTCATGGCAAGCTTCACATTGACTCCAAGCAACTGGTCAAATTACTTTCTCCGCTCTACGACTACATGTTTGAAGCTGAGAATATTTCCAAGGCCGACGAGAGGTCGCATTCTTACGCTCATTACAATCGCACGAGCTTTGCAGCTTTTCTCAAGATTGTCATGACACGAGTCGCAACAGAATGGCCAACCGCATGTTCAGCTTTGATCGATTCCATTGCTCAAGAACATCGCTTTTTTCTAGCCAGTAACGGCATGCAAGACCTGTGTCTGCAGCTCCATCTTCACGGAGTCAATACGGAGCCTTGGATCATACAAGAGAGCAGAACTATCCCAGAAAATGGAGCCTTCAATCGTTGGAAGTCACTTCCACCAGCAGTCGCTGTCACAGTCGTGATTCAGAGAAAGGCTGTTGCCAGTCTGTATAGGCACAAGGAGAAAGCTCTCAAGCTGGCATCACCACCACTTGTTGGATCAGTGCGATCCAGTCATAGTGCGACAGAAGCGTGGCAGAATATGTTTGGAGATGTTCAGATTGCTTTCGGTCGTGTCGAAACGAAGAAGATGCCTGACGAAGATGAATTCCAAGTCACCATTGAAAGAGATGGAGCTGGCTGGGACGGAGATTCGCCCCTTGTTGCATCCTTCTATGTGCCTACTTCGACCCTGCAGAATGAACCAAAGTCGGCACTGGTAGGACTGTGCGTTCCACCGACGGGTCAAAACTCTGCCATCTTTGGGCCTATCCTTGGAATGACCATGTCTGTCTTCGAGACTCGCATCGACGACAGATCCAACGTATTCGTGACGAAGCACTTGCCTGGTCAAGTTACCTATCCTGATCTATGCGCAGCTGTAAAGCCTCTTGACAACGGGGTAAGCCAAGGCCAAGATGACAAGGCCACAAAGATGCTGCTTGATATACCATCATCTGAGTCTACCATAACCACAATTACAGGCCATCTGGACATTACTTCGACAAAGGGCAGAGACTTGCTTCAGGAAAAGGTCCCCATCGAATTCCATCAACAAACCCCCTTTGTGATCAACATCGTGTTTGGGAAAAATGAGCTTGTTTGTCCTCTCAAGTTTCCAGTGCCTGTCACCAAGGATAGTATCAGATCACGAGTTGCTCGAACTACAGGCTACATCGAGCTGATAGCACAACTGGCAACACCAGCCGCTTCTCCAGAACTACTGGACTTTATTTATCCCTCAGCGATTTCGTCATCCGGCACCCCAGCAAGCTTGAACATGCCACATGTGAACCTGGATAACCTACCAGTTCTTGACCTGGGGAATGCGGATAGGAACCGGTGGATGACGACTTTGACATCGTTAACGTTCTCAACTCGAGAGAAATACCTTCGTAGCAAGCGTGAAAGCGGCATTTCGGACGATCCAGTTGTCAACTTCAAAGAATCTGTCTTCACCATGTGCATGCTCGCCTCAGGCTTACAAGGTGGTCAGACGGGCATGTTCGCTATCGACCATCCTGACCGAGGAGGGATTCACATGCTGGTATTTGTATCAGCTTTCAGACTTGACGGTGACGCAGCCTCAATCGTTCTTGATGCAGCTGTTATTCCGTTCACAATGGAACTGGTAAAATCTGAACGAATGGAGTCTTTCCTTCTCATGCTGAGGGAACTTGAGTGCGGCAGTATCTCGGTGAATGATTCGGAGTTGGATCTCTGGAAGAAGTCTCTTCCTGCGATGGTAGAGCGCTGCCGTACCTGGTCTCACGGCAAGAATTGCGAATACAAGAAGAAGGGAGCGACCATCCCGCTGAGTCTCAAAGACGGTGAGCAAGTTCTGTGCTCGTGCGGAAACGGTCAACTACCTGACAACTTCCTCTCACTTCCCGAGTGGGCAACTGCAGCACCTAATGCTGTTCGTCTCGCCATTAGTCCGACATATGCAATTCCTTTTAACGAGGAGGTTATCGATGCTTCCGAGCTTTCTGGGACGCCAACTCATGTAAAGCGATGTACACGATGTGCAAAGCCGGCGAATGAGAAGAAAGGAGTAGTGCTCAGGAAGTGTACACGTTGCAACAAAGTCAGTTACTGTTCTCCGGAGTGTCAGAAGAAGGATTGGAAGAAGCATCGAGCGGAGTGCAAGTGATTGGAATTAGTTGAGAAGCGATGCATGTATCGGCGTTGAGAGGAGCATTCACTAGGTAGAGAGATGGATTGTTGGAGTACCTATTTGATGTTGCTTGGTTGCTATCTATCAGGTCTATCTAGAGATGAGTTGATAAGTAAGAAATTCAATTGAGAAAACAATACAAGAAATTGTTCTCATACACAGTATCCCCAGCAATGAGCATAAATTGAAGATACGATGTAAACAAGGAGTCGATACAGTTGTTAACGTCGAAGACATTCGAATTATACTGGGGTAGCACCTCCTATTGGCTTCTCACCGAGCCTCTCCATAGCCTCACCTTACACCGACTGCTCGCCCCACACCGCCTTCACCCCTTGGAGAGGGCAGGAGGGGCAGAAAAAATGTCCCAGCCTAGACTGTCCGCTATTGCCTGTTGACCAGCTGGTGCAAGCTTGTGCGATTACGAAATCGCGAAACCTCCAACACCAGCACCGCTTTTTTCCAAGTCTCGACTTTTCCGATCTCGACTATAGCCATCGTGCCAACAGCAGAGATCTATAATCATGTCGGCTGCACAACTCCTCAACCCCAAGGCCGAGTCCCGAGTGCGTCGAAACAAATACCCCCCGCAGACAAGTGGCCTTGCAGCCTGCTAACCCCGTTGTCGCAGAGGAGGGGCGAAGCTCTTAAGGTCAATATCAGTGCTGGTGAAGGCCTACAGGATGTTCTCAAGTCCAACTTGGGCCCTCGAGGTACCATTAAGATGTGAGTTTCTTCTTGGGCTTGACTATCATTGCTTAAAACTAACCATTTGTTAGGCTTGTTGATGGTGCGGGCCAGGTACGGTTACCTATCAAAATGCCCCTCGACGACCCCTAAACTGACCGATACCCTCAGATCAAGTTGACCAAGGACGGAAATGTCCTCCTCCGTGAGATGCAAATACAGAACCCCACCGCCGTTATGATTGCCCGAGCTGCGACCGCTCAGGATGATATTTGCGGTGACGGAACCACATCAGTCGTTATGCTGGTCGGCGAGCTTCTCAAGCAGGCAGACCGTTATATCTCGGAAGGATTGCACCCTCGAATCATCACCGATGGTTTTGAGGTTGCCAAGGTCGAGGCTCTTAAGGTGAGTTTCTCACCCCTATGCTTCGGACGCCGGACTAAATATTGTAGTTCCTTGACTCTTTCAAGCTCGCTAAGGAGGTTGACCGAGAACTCCTCCTCAGCGTCGCCCGAACCTCGCTCACCACCAAGCTCAACGCCACCTTGGCCCAGAAGCTTACTCCCGATATTGTCGATGCCGTTCTCGCCATTTACCAGGAGCCTGCGAAGCCCGATCTGCACATGGTGGAGATTATGAAGATGCAGCACCGAACAGCCGCCGATACTCGCCTGATCCGTGGATTGGCTCTCGATCACGGCGCTCGTCACCCCGATATGCCCAAGCGACTCGAAAACTGTTACATTCTTACTCTCAACGTCAGTCTGGAGTACGAGAAGACCGAGATTAACTCGAGCTTCTTCTACTCCAGCGCCGAGCAGCGTGATAAGCTTGTTGAGAGTGAGCGTCGCTTTGTCGATGCCAAGCTCAAGAAGATCGTTGACCTCAAGAAGGAGCTCTGCGGCAACGACGGAACAAAGAACTTTGTCGTCATCAACCAGAAGGGTATCGACCCCCTTTCCCTTGACGTTCTCGCCAAGAACAACATCCTTGCTCTTCGACGAGCTAAGCGAAGAAACATGGAGCGACTCCAGCTTGTTTGCGGTGGTGTTGCTCAGAACAGTGTTGATGATCTTTCTGAGGATGTTTTGGGTTGGGCTGGTCTCGTCTACGAGCAGACTCTTGGAGAGGAGAAGTTTACCTTTGTTGAGGAGGTCAAGGACCCCAAGTCTGTTACTCTTATGATCAAGGGCCCCAATGCACACACCATCGCCCAGGTGACAGACGCTGTCCGAGATGGTCTGCGAAGTGTCTACAACATGATCGTCGACAAGTCCGTTGTCCCTGGTGCTGGTGCTTTCCAGGTCGCTTGTGCTTCTCACCTCAAGAGCGATGCCTTTGGCAAGACTGTCAAGGGTAAGGCTAAGTGGGGTGTTGAGGCTTTCGCCGACGCTCTTCTCATTATTCCCAAGACTCTGGCTGCCAACGCTGGTCTTGATATTCAGGATGCTCGTAAGTTCTTTACTTTATCGGAAGCCTTAGATAAAATTGCTAACTTTTACAGTTGCCGATCTGCAAGACGAATACGCTGATGGCAATGTCGTTGGTCTTAACCTCGAGACCGGTGAGCCTATGGACCCTGAGCTGGAGGGTATCTTCGACTCTTACCGTGTTCTGCGAAATTGCATTGCTTCTAGCTCAAGCATTGCGTCCAACCTGCTTCTATGTGACGAGTTGTTGAAGGCTCGACAGATGGGCAGAGCAGGCGGCCCTGGGCCTGGCATGGATGGACCTAGTGATCACATGTAGGAGATACCACGTTAAAATGAGGCTAGACAAAAGGCTCTGGGACGTAATATACCACATTACGATTTCAGTTTACGACTCGATAATATTTCTTGTGATATATTAATAAAATTTGAATAACTCATATGTTAGGTCGTTGTAGTTGGGCTCTGATAGCGGCGCTAAGCCCCGCATTCCCTCAGAACCTTTGCAAAAAAAATATTTACCCCACCATCATCATCCAGCAATCAACTCCATCAGTATCAGTATCATGGCTTCCTACGATTCCGATTCTTCGGACGGCGAGTTCGAGGAGACCAATGTCCTCTTGGGATACGCCTCTAAAGAGGCCGATGAAGATACTGTTAGCAAACTCGGTGGCCGACCTGTAAGTTTTTAAGCTGTCCCGCACTGAACAAACTCATGATGGCTAACAAGAAAACCAGGACTGGTTAGACAATAACGCCCCCAGCGCAGCCTACGCACGATGCAAAGTCTGCAAGGATCTCATGGCCTTGATCCTTCAACTCAACGGTGAACTTCCCGAGCGATTTCCAGAGCATGAGCGACGACTCTACGTCTTTGCGTGTAGGCGACAGACCTGTCGGCGCAAAGAGGGCAGCATTCGTGTATTGAGAGGTGTGCGAGTATGGAAGGAGGTGGCACCTAAGGAGGATAAAGAGGAGAAGAAAGCCGAGGAAGACAAGCCAAAGAACGACGGTCCTGGACTAGGCGAGACTCTGTTTGGTTCAACGGGCTTGGGAAGTGCCTCCAACGCAAACCCTTTCTCTAGCAACGCCAACCCTTTTAGCAGCTCCAGCTCCAGCAACCCCTTCAGCTCTGGATCTGCCAACCCCTTCTCTTCCTCTACCTCACAGCCCGAGCCGGTAAAGCCTGCGTCTCCTGAGCCTCAAACCACCTCCCTCACAAAGACCTTTGCCGAGTCTCTCAACATCAAAGACACACCGGCTTCACCCCCTCCTCCTTCAGAGCCCTGGCCTGCTGAGGATGCGCAGGCGCAACCTTACCCTACTCTGTACCTCGCTGATGCCGACTTTGAGACTTTGGACCCAACACCCACCAACGTTCCTACCAATGCTCGCCTCGAGGACGGCGACGCTGCGGAACCTTCAATTCTCGATCGGGAAGCCTTTGAGTCGACTATGGACGCCACGTTCCAGAAGTTCGCTGATCGTCTGGCGCAGAACCCTGACCAAGTTATTCGTTACGAGTTCGCAGGTGCTCCATTGTTGTACTCAAAGAAGGGTGCCGTTGGTGAAGCTATCAACAAGGGCGCTATTCCCCGGTGTCCTAACTGTACAGCGAGGAGAGTGTTTGAGGTGCAGTTGACGCCAAACGCCATTGCGGAACTTGAGGCCGACGATCTGAGCTTGGAGGGTATGGAGTGGGGTACCATCATTGTTGGCGTTTGTGAGAAAGATTGCTCTCCTCGAGGAACACCGGTTGGAGAAGTTGGATACCAGGAAGAATGGGCTGGCGTACAATGGGAGGAGCTGTCCAAGGGCAATTAGATATTTTGGACAGGTTGGAAAACGAACATAACGGGTCATCAAAAGCACATTAAGAAGCGGCCACATAATTTCATGGTACACGTGAGCCAAATACGATATATCAACAAATCGCAAAGTTCTATGCATCTCTAGATCCTTGGATTGCTCTGCAATGACATGTCCGATTAAACGCCTAGATTTTTGTAATCCCCCGTCATGCTACCATGCGAGCCCTTCCTAACCCTTCCACATCGTGAGTCGTCATGTTCGAGTCCCATCGAATGGGGGGAAGTGCGCGAAAAATCCCTTTTGATTCGCTAAAACTCTGAAAAAGCCTAAACAGTATCCTCCCAAGACCGTCGGAGCACTCTGGAGAACTGCTCGACGTTGACGTCCTCACGGATCTCAGCCTTCTTGGCCTCGTTGTCGGGGTTTGAGGGAACCTTGACGTTGCCATCGGCCTCGACAGTCCAGCCGCAAACCTCGGTGACGAACTTCTTGGTAGCATCCTCGTTGAGGCCGAGCCATGACTCGAGGTGGCTGATCTGGATCTCACGGAAAGCCTGGGACACGAGGAGGGCGATGCGGTGACGGACAACGTCCTCAAAGTCGGGAATATCGGCAATCAAATCGGCAACCATGTCGTCGTCGAGGTCGGCCCAGAAGCGGGAGTACTGAGCACCCTCAAGTTGGCCGTTGAGGGATCGGAGCTTGGTGACAGCCTCGCCGAGGTCGCCAGTAACAGCAGCGGAGGGGTTGATGAGGTGGAGAGCGAGAGAGAACTGCGCGGAGGGGAACTGGGTCATGGTCTTGACCAAGATATTGGTGATAACCTCATCCTTAATGCGGTCAGGGTTGAGCTGGTACCTAGAGGGGAGTTAGCCTTGACTCGAGAAGAAGAAAACAAAGCAGGTTGGAGTCTTGGGCATTTCAGTCGCACTAATAGTTGACTTCAGGTGCGGCCAAGCTGCGAACAGCCCGCCGGCACTAGTCAGGTAATAGGAAACGTTGACAAACGGTCATCATATAGAGCCCGTATTATGTATAAGAGGAACAAGGAGCATTACACTCACAATTTCAGTAGTGTTCGGTTGGCATTGCAGTCAGTGAACTTCTGCTCGCATTGGTCCTGGAGGTAGGTCTCGAGAGCGCCGACAGCCTCGGGGTTATATCGCTCAAGTCCGTTGATGATGGACGAGATCTCCTGGGGCCTCTCTGGCGGGTCTTCTCCGTTCATGGTGGTGGTATTTTGAGGAGGGGTCGTTATGAGGGGGATGTCGGGGGGAGGTTCGCGATGGTGGGGCAGAGCGAAGATTTCGACGTTGTGTGAGATGAATCGCTTGTGCTGTGCTGTGCGTTCCAAAAAGGTTTAGCTCCGAGTAGCGGGCTGGTTCCTGATTTTTGGAAGCTTTCAGCTGCATCACGTGGCTTCGCGCCAAACGTCGTCATCGATGCGCCGCGTATTGAATTGTTGATAATGATGGACGTGAATGGGTGTATTTACTGTTTACAAATACTAATTGATGTTCTATTCCTTCAACACTGACTCATACGCTCTTATAATCGATGGGTGGTAACACAGACAACTAAAAGATCATTTCCGTCATGCCGAGTCCTACTAAGAAACGGAAGCTTAATAACGGCACCAAGTCAACAACTCCAGCTCGGGGTCTTGAATATTTCTTCTCAAAACAAAAACAGAATGATGCAAACTCAAGCAAAAAGCCTAAGATTGAAGAGAGTGATGGAGCATCAAGTGATGTTCCGACGGAAATGACTGATGAGGAATTGGCTAGGAAGCTCCAGGCCGAATGGGATCAAGAGGTTGCCAATACGCCGCAAGCCACCCTCCAGGAACAGACTGTGCAACTTCCAAATAAGCACAATGTATCGGTCTCTAGGGATGAAAGCCCAAGTCCAACCGCTCCAAGATCTAAGCCGTCATTCACCCTACCAACAGCTTCCAACAAGCCTACAGACAACAAGGCGAAACCTACACTTGGCCTTCAAGCTGCTGGCATGGCCGAGGATACGACTACTACATCAATACCGTTCGACGAATCGCCTCTGACATTTGATCCACAGGAATACTTGGATCAATTAAAAGAACACTGGGCCTCTGAAGGTGGTAACGCATCATATGCATTACTCACTCGATGCTTCATTCTCATCAATGGCACAACAAGTCGAATCAAGATCGTAGACACACTTGTGAATTGTTTAAGGGTCCTCATCGAGGGCGACCCAGCAAGCTTGTTACCGGCAGTATGTTCGGTATCCTGGTTTGCTCTGCTTCTCTAACTTTACTAGGTCTGGTTGGCGACTAATGCGATCTCTCCCCCTTATATATCTATGGAGCTGGGGTTGGGTGGATCGGCCATATCGAAAGCGTTGCGAAATGTTTGCGGGCTTGATAGCCGGGCTCTCAAGGCTATTTACGACAAATATGGCGATGCTGGAGATGTGGCTTTCGAGGTCAAGAAGAAACAGAGTTTCACCCTGAGAAAACCAAAGCCTTTGACGATTAAGGCTGTTTATGAGTCTTTAGTGAAGATTTCCAACAGTCAGGGACAGGGCAGCGCAGACACCAAGCAGAGAATAGTTGACCGTCTTCTACAAGACGCCCGTGGCGGCGAGGAGAGTCGGTTTGTGGTGCGAACTCTCTGCCAACATGTAAGCAAAATTGTCACTGCAACCATCGAACCTTATCTGACATTTAATAGCTACGCATCGGTGCTGTCAAAACGACAATGTTAATCGCCTTATCACGAGCCTTCCTACTTTCACGCCCACCAGGGGCTGACTTCCCTCTCAAATCGGTGTCTGACCTAGCCAAACTCAAGAAAGAAGATCTAGCTGAAGTCTGGAGCCGAGCTGAGGAAATAGTCAAAGCTTGCTTCGCTAGGCATCCAAACTACAGCGATCTCGTGCCCGTTCTCCTTGAAATCGGGATTTCCGAGGAACTGTTGATACGATGCGGTCTAACCCTCCATGTCCCGCTGCGCCCTATGCTTGGAAGTATCACGAGAGACCTGTCCGAGATGCTTACTAAACTACAGGGAAGAGACTTTGCGTGCGAATTTAAGTATGACGGTCAGAGAGCCCAAATACATTGTGACGAGAACGGAAAAGTCAGCATTTTCTCTCGACATTTAGAAGTTATGACGGACAAGTATCCTGATTTGGTTGAGTTGATACCAAAAATACGTGGTGAAGGTGTCGATAGCTTCATCATGGAAGGCGAAGTCGTGGCTGTTGACCGTGAAAGCGGAGAACTCAAGAACTTCCAGACACTCACAAATCGAGCGAGAAAGGATGTTGATATTGGAACTATCACGGTAGATGTTTGTATGTTCTCGTTCGATTTGATGTACCTCAATGGACAGCCACTACTGGATCGACCATTCCGAGAAAGGCGGGAGCTTCTGCGGTCGCTTTTCAAAGAGATACCGCATCATTTTACCTGGGTAAAAAGCCTTGATGCTAGGTCAGCCGACTCCGAGTCGGTCCTCGAATTCTTCAAAGCTGCCACAGACGCCAAGTGTGAAGGAATCATGGTGAAAATCCTGGACAACCTACCTTCGGAGCCGAATTTAGGGGAAGAGGGACCGGAAGGATCTGATAAAACGTTGACACCGAGCTCAAGGTCAAAGGGGAAAGGGAAATCAAAAGGCAAAAAAGATCAGAATGGAGAAAAGGCCAAGACAAGGAGGAAACCATTACTGGCGACATACGAACCAGATAAGCGGCTCGACTCCTGGCTCAAAGTCAAGAAGGACTATAACTCAAGTTTCGATACGCTTGATCTTATCCCTGTCGCTGCTTGGCATGGACAAGGACGCAAGGCGAAATGGTGGTCGCCTATGCTCATGGCTTGCCGCAATGAGGAGACTGGATCTCTGGAGGCTGTGTGCAAATGCATGTCTGGTTTCACAGATAGCTTCTACAAGGCTAACCGACAGTTTTATGACGATGGTGAAGAGAGCGGCGAGCCTCAGAACACGAGAACCACACAACCCAGTTTTGTGGAATACTCAGGACCGAGACCTGATGTTTGGTTCGAGCCACAAGAAGTGTGGGAAATGGCTTTTGCGGATATTACGTTGAGTCCAACCTACACTGCAGCAATCGGGCTTGTAAGTGACGAGAGGGGGTTGAGCCTGAGATTTCCGAGATTTATGAAGAAAAGAGAGGATAAGAGTCTCGAAGAAGCGAGCACAAACGACTTTTTGGCCGGCCTTTGGCGCAAACAAGAAGCAAAGGCCGCTTCGAAGAAAGAGAACAAGGATGAAGCAGGGGCGGAAGGAGAAGATGTAGAAGAAGCTGATGATTGAATTCGAGCTCCCTATTTGATCAACCCTAAACAATGACGCCTCGCTGCAAATTCGGGAATAGACACTAATGGATCTTCTTGATTTTAATCACTATTTTCCAGCATTTAACCTCTGGGCAATGAGACTGAAAACAGCGATTGATCCCATGAAGAGAACAGCATTGTAGAACTGTCTTGCATGAGCATGAGCACTAGAGTGATATCTTGAACAAAACCTACAGCTTTTCGAGAAACGTCTCGCTCTTCGTCATCGGTACGTGACTCAATAAAGAGTCGACGTAGATTTGGCAGTGCCTATTTTCATCGTTAGATCTCATCTAATGCCATGGCATTCTTTTTGTATGAGCCTCTCACCATTTTAAGGTCGCTTTGAGCAGAAGGCTTAGCGAGGTCCCCAAGTACTGTTTTATTTAATAGCAAGCAAGTCAATCTTCTCTGTAAAGTAAACGGTGTTTGTCTCTCGATGATACGAATGTTGAACCTCACAGTACCTTAGAGTGTAGAAAGGTGACTAAGCTGCCCGGCCAAAAATAAATTGTTAGCCATTGAAGCCACGCTACCCGCGAACGGTAATCAGGCGGAAGTTTAGAGTTAGGGGGCAACCTGGGCCGGGTTAGCTTGATGGGAGCTGACACGGCCACTGAAGGGTGCCCCCCTTTAGTGGCTCATGCTGGCAACTCAGTGGAGGTGGCCTGGACCTATCTTCGTGGCCTTGGCATCTTTGGTGACAGTTACGTCTGCCTTGTTCAATCCCAGATCGATCAACTCCTTTCCGATCCAATTATATCGACGACATCGCGCATCTTTAACGCATCCTCCGATACGCAGAATAATCGGTGGATGTAGTTTTCTGCATTTCAGGACAAGTAGCTTGTACTCGGCCTGATCAATTCGACTTAGCTGTCACCGCCCGTCCTCAATACCACCGTAATCTCAACCTCTCTATCACCTCCGAGCTTCGCCACGTGCCCCTCTACGACCCTCGACGATGGCGGTAAATCGCATTAAGGGCGCCTTTGCCGTGCCTCGTAAGGGTGAGACCTTTGAACTGCGCGAAGGTCTGGTCTCGCGGTATGCATGGGAGCGCAAGGAGTCGATTCAGAAGACCATCATGGCCATGACCCTGGGCAAAGATGTGTCGGCTCTGTTCCCTGATGTGCTCAAGAACATTGCGACCGGCGATCTTGATCAGAAGAAGCTTGTATACCTCTACCTTATGTACGTGGTCGAAGCTGAATAGCTATCGAGCTGCCCTCCTTAGCTGTCAACACTTTGCGGGATGGGTTAAAGAGCTGACACGAATGTCCAGGAACTACGCCAAGTCGCATCCCGATCTCTGCATTCTCGCCGTCAATACTTTTGTTCAAGATTCCGAAGATCCAAACCCGCTGATAAGAGCACTTGCGATTCGAACGATGGGGTGCATCAGAGTTGATAAAATGGTGGATTACATGGAAGAGCCCCTGAGGAAAACGTTGCGAGACGAATCGCCATATGTACGCAAGACGGCCGCCATTTGCGTCGCTAAACTGTTCGATCTCAACCCGGCGATTTGTATCGAGAACGGCTTTTTGGAGGCTCTTCAGGAGCTGATTGGTGACCCTAACCCTATGGTTGTCGCCAACTCAGTGACTGCTCTATCTGAGATCAGCGAAACTGCACCCGAAACGAGGGCATTGATTGTGACACCTGTTACGTTGAAGAAGTTGCTTATGGCTCTCAACGAGTGTACCGAATGGGGACGAGTTACTATTTTGACAACCCTGGCAAACTACGCTGCATCGGATCAGAAGGAATCGGAGCACATTTGCGAACGTGTAGCACCTCAATTCCAGCATGTCAACCCTAGTGTGGTTCTTGCTGCCGTTAAGGTTGTTTTCATTCACATGAAGGCTCTCAACCCCGACTCGGTGAGGTCATACCTCAAGAAGATGGCACCTCCTCTTGGTACGTGAATATTGATAAGATTCAAGTTCTGGACTGACAATAATCAGTTACTTTGGTTGCTTCGCAACCCGAGGTTCAATATGTTGCTCTTCGAAACATCGATCTCCTGCTCCAAGCCAAGCCCGACATTCTGAGCAAGGAGATGCGTGTCTTCTTCTGCAAATACACTGATCCTCCATATGTGAAGCTGGAAAAGCTGGAAATTATGGTTAGGATAGCAAATGAGCACAACTACGAGCAGCTTCTCGCCGAGTTGAAGGAGTATGCCCTGGAAGTGGACATGGATTTCGTTCGAAGAGCTGTCAAGGCTATTGGTCAAGTGGCCATCAAGATCGAAAATGCCGCTGAGAAGTGCGTTGCGGCTCTTGAGGATCTCATTTCTACCAAGGTCAACTACGTTGTCCAGGAAGTAATTGTGGTCATCAAGGATATTCTCCGAAAATACCCTGGTTATGAAGGTGTTATCCCTACTCTTTGCAAGCACATCGATGAGTTGGATGAGCCCACTGCCCGTGGATCTCTTATCTGGATCGTCGGTGAGTATGCTGAGAAGATCAATAACGCAGACGAGATCATCGAGAGTTTTGTCGAGTCTTTTATGGAGGAGTTCACACAGGCAAGTCGCATTAGTCCCTCAAGAAATGCCTACTTATACTAACTGAGTCCTACAGACACAATTGCAAATATTGACAGCAGCTGTAAAGCTGTTCTTGAAGAAGCCTGGAAGCAACCAAGGACTTGTTCAAAAGGTCCTTCAGGCGGCTACAGCGGAGAACGATAACCCCGATATCCGCGATAGGGCATATGTGTACTGGCGCTTACTTTCCTCGGATCCTGAGGTTGCCAAGGTGAGAAATACGAGAGAATGCCTATGAATGATTGCTAACACTGTTCGTCAGAATATTGTTCTGTCTCAAAAGCCTACTATCACAACCACGATGACGAGTCTTCCCCCTGCTCTCTTGGAACAGCTTCTCACCGAACTCTCCACTCTCGCATCAGTTTACCACAAGCCTCCGGAGTCATTCGTTGGCAAGGGCCGTTTCGGCGCCGATGAGATCCAGCGGGCTGCTATTCAAGAACAGCGACAGAACGCCGCCGACAACCCTATCGCAGCTTCGGTTGCCGCAACTTCTTCGAACGGCGGCGGTGCTTCTCAGAACAATATTGAGAACTTGCTTGATATCGACTTTGATGGTGCCGTGCCTGCTTCTCAAGAACAGAACAGTGCCTCCGCAACTCCTGACAGAGTGGCCAGCCCATCTGCTGGAGCACCTTCGGGAGCTATGGCTGACATGATGAGCATGTTCGATGCGCCGGCGCAACCTTCAGGCACAGGAGCTCCTGCACCAGCTTCAGGGCCCAGCAGTAACATGAATGATTTGATGAATGGGTTCGAGGGCTTAAACTTTGGTGGTTCATCAGCGAGCGAGCCCCTACCAGCAGCGATGCAACTGCAGCAGGCCCAAGGAGGCGCTCCTCAGCAGCCCAAGAAGGACAGCGAGGACTTGCTTGGTTTGTTGTAGACGCGTATGTGTAAATGATTTTCAAGCTAAGAGATGGTTGTTGGTCTACAAGGAGTATGAGTAAAGAGATGCATGCCTTCACAGAGATATGGTGCTGGCGCAAAAGACGAGATGATCACCCCCACCAAACCGTCTTGATGTCGCGTTGAATGCTTGTCAATAAAAATGTCCTAATCATAAAGTCGATTCTTTGATATTTTGTAATTTCTTCATGTACCACGGCACCAAACCGCTCTGGTACGGATATCGTCATCTGAACCCCTTCATCGCATCCCAATCCATCTGTCCCTTGTGCCCGTCGCATGCCGTTTCTACGCAAAAACTCCATGTTGTATGATCCTAGTATCTTGAAAGAAGTAAAGGGGAAATATATAGGAATTTACGCCTGTGCTTGCGCATCGGTGGCTTCGTTGGCCTTTGCGTACTCTTCGGGTGTCTGGCACTTGGCGGTCCAAGCGTGGATGATGGCGATTTCCTCCTTGAGAGCAGCATTGACGAGACGGTGGCGCTTGAGAGAGTTGAGACCCTGGAATTGAGAAGATACAATAAGGGAGTTGAACGCTTGACCACAGCCGCCTGTGATAATTACAAAGTTAGCTTTCGGGGTTATACGCCGTGATCGGCTTGGAGGGGTTCGCGGGGTAGAGAGGGAAAGATACTGACCAGACATGTCTGTGACTTCAACGTGGGTGGCTTCGAGGCGAGCCTTGATGGCTTCGCGCAAAGATTCGTCTGTGATTTGCGACATTATTTCTGGAGGAGGAGGGAAGAGAGTTGAAGGTTATGACGGAGCGTGGTGAAGAGAGAGGTTCTAGTTAATTGATTGATTGATTAGATATCATCGTGGGGTAGTGGCTGCACAGTGTGAGGTGGTCTGCTTCCGGTGGACAAATAGCGTCTTGTAAGGCAGTAGCACTACAGTCTATATCATGCATACACACAGTATGAGCTCATTGGACCCTTTCTTCGCTTCTTCTTCTGGTTTGAAGCTCCAACAGCTTCTAGCTTCATCTTTTGTGACAGACTATCCAGCGCATACTATTGGTGAGTGACTCCATTATCTACCTATTGATCATCATATACCTGATGAATGATCATTCAACTAACACCAGCTTTCGAATTGGTAGCTGCACATAACACAAGTGTTTAACGCAAAGTTGCTATGAGAGGCTCTGTTTTTAAATTGAATAGACAACTTATACGCAGCTCACCTCTATTTGCAAACTCGCCTTTCACAAGACCTTCAGTCTCGTACAGAGCATCTATTAGACTTTGCTCCTCCTGTCATTCTTCAAGCAACTCAATTCCATCTTCTCAACCATATCCAGTCAAAATGAGCGAAAGCGGAGCTTGGGGCGCCTGGCAGGTTGAGTCTTCATCCTTCACCAAGGCTGTTGTTGCATCTATGCAGAAGCTCTACCCAGAGGAAATCGCAGACCGAAGCTGGGACAACGTCGGTTTGTTGGTTGGAAACTCGGAAGAGGATGCCAAAGAGAAGAAGCGAGTCATGGTCACCAATGACTTGACATACCAAGTTGCTATGGACGCGATCAAGCAAGATGTCAGCGTCATTGTCAGCTACCGTAAGTTTTCAACCTTTAGAGTCTATTCAGGTCCAATTGTACTGACATATTGCTAGACCCCTTCATCTTTGGTGGTCTCAAGTCGATCACCAACAACGACCCTCAGCAAGCTACCCTTCTTAAGCTGGCCAAGGCTGGCATCGCTGTCTACTGTCCTCACACTGCCGTTGATGCCGCTCCCGAGGGTCTCAACACGTGGCTCGCTGACATTGTATCCGGCCCTCACGAGAGCAAGCGCTCTGTTGCCAATCCTGCCACCAATGTCCCCTCCAGCCACGCTGGTGCAGGCTACGGCTCAATTGGTCGCTTCGATAATGCTGTTTCTCTGTCCGAGATTATCCTTCGCCTTGCTGACAAGCTTGGCGGTCTTAAGCACGTCATGGTAGCAAGCCCTGTGGGCGCTGATGTCAAGACCACCAAGGTCAGCAGCTTTGGTGTCTGTGCTGGTAGCGGTTACGACGTTCTTAAGAAGGCCGATGTTGATTTGCTTGTGACTGGCGAGACAAGCCACCACTCAGCCTTGAGAGCCATCCAGCAGGGTCGCACATTGGTGCAGGTGTTCCATAGCAACTCTGAGCGTGGATACCTTCAAAAGGTGCTCAGGCCCAAGTTGGAAGCTGCCATAAGGGAGACTGTCCCCGATGTGGAGGTTGTAACCAGCAAGGTGGACAAGGATCCCTTTACCATCTTGGATGTTAGCGATCTAAAGTAACTAAGTTGGTATAAAGGAATAGTCGTTGTGTAGTTATAGTGTGTTGTTCGGAGTTGGGCACGAGAAAATTTGATCTAAATACAATCATCATTGAACGCCAAAGTAACAAAAGGCTATTTGAACAGCACTGGGTATATCATCATCTCCGACGCATTACCGCCCGTCTTTTGATGCCCGGCTATCTCTTGATAACCGCTCATCCCTTGATATCCTGGGGCTTGAGGCACTACTCTTACTGTCGGCCTGTCCTAGCGCCTCGTCGCCCTCTTTGATGCACTCTTCAACATCGCTTCCTCCAATACCTTTCTCTTTCCAAGATTCTAGTAGTTTTCGCGGCATTGCCCATTCCTTCCGCGCTTGTGCAATCTTTCCCTCGCCGACCAGCGCACCAAGTCGTCCAGGGACCGCTAGAACTTGGGCTGCTAGTTCTCTTGTCCGTTGTTGTCTAGCTGCGGCTTCTCGCTTTATGCCTTCCTCGGAATCTGGCGCAGGGACCGTCTCACGGAGCGCATCTCGAATAGAAGACGCTTGGCTGTAGATTTGTGCAATGGCTGGGTCGAGAGTTGAGGCCATAGGATTCAAGGGGTCCATGTTCGCTCTCATCTAAGTATGGTCAATATCTTCCTGCATGGCAAATGGGCCATGACAACATACCTTGCGAATCGTCTCAGTCGCTGTGATCAGCTTACTATAGTTGTCGTATACCAAGGCCTTCTTTTCCGCATCCAAAGCGCGCACTTCTCCCACAACACTTGTGTACAATTTCATGAGCTCCTCCAGACTGCTCTTATTGATGACCTTGGCGACATATTCCTCGGCATTGAAGTCAGGGGCATCAATCTCCGTAGCTGGGACTTCAGAGTCGGGGATCTCTATGCGCGGGGCCGCAGCGCGAAGATTGTAATATTCCCTCAGAGCTGCGCGGTTGGATGAAGTTTTGCGCTGTTGTTGCTGAGGGGGTGGAGGATTCGTAGGCCCTTGTGTAAGGACAGGAGAGGCGAGAGCCGAACGTGAGGTTTCGAAGGATGGCCGATTGGAGTTCGTCGGAGTGCGCCGCGGGGGCTCGCGAGGAGACGCTATAGTAGACATTATAGAGATTATATCAAGAAGCGAAGAAGAGAATATCAATAGGAAGCTGAAGTCGAGGAGGTTGATTACGCTGAAGGACAGTTTGAGGTTGACAAGGCTGAGCTGACCTAGCTGAACGGGACACGGTGGAGGACTGCTGTCAGTGGTTGAAGGCCTGAGACGCAGGGGTAATCAGGGCTAAATTTAGGGGATGGTCCACTTTCAGCCGCTGGAACGTCATTACTACTACAAGGCTGAATAGGTGGCTATAATGGAACTCTTCATCTTATAAAGATTTCTCAACACCAAAAGATCAATACCATGATAAGACAATAACACAAAATGGATCCTATCAACCAACTCAAAGCCTCTATACTGGCTCAAAATCTTCCTCACCCAACGTCAACTTTTCTAAGTTCCCTTATAAACGCGCGCTCTCCTCCACCACCAATGAATTCTCTGGTAGCTACAGCCAAAGCCAGATTATTAGCAGCAGATTTAACCAGCAGTGCGATTATAAGCACAAGCGCTATTCAATCCTTCCCTCCAGATGTTGATTCTACGAATTCTCGTGAAAAACGGCTCCCAAAGTCTGTCCATGTTCAGGTCCTGGACATTGAAAACCTGACACTGAGTCGTTGGGAGCAAGTTGAAGAGATGGAAGCTGTTGCCAGAGGCGAGACTACACGTGGAAGAGAAGTCATTCGTGTCACAGCAGAAGATGACGATGACAACGTAGGCACCCAAACTCAAAGACCTGGGGGGAATCGCAACACAGGAGGCCCTAAACCCGCAGGCAAAAATGCGACGCATAGACTTGTACTGCAGGACTGCAAAGGAACCAAGATATTTGCACTGGAACTACGACGCCACGATGGAATTGGCGTTGGAAAGACACAAATTGGCGAGAAGATACTTCTGAAGGCCGGCACACTGATTGCGCGGGGTATGGTCTTACTTGAGCCAGACAAGATGCTCATACTTGGTGGGAAAATTGAGGCATGGCAGAAGACGTGGGTGGATGGAAGATTGGCGAGATTAAAGGAGGAGATACAGCAGAGTGAAAGACAAGGATCGTGAGAAAGACTTGGCTGGTTTTATAAATGATACCCCCTTACTACAATAATTTGTACAAGATTGACATTCATTTGCGTCATGTCAAAGCTTCTCTAAGGCTCTACCAGATCTTTCTCTAATTATACTCATTCATTTCCCCTTGTGCCTAATCCTTCATATATTTCATATACCCTCCGTAGCAACAGCAAGAGATGACCAGCCATTTTGCTCCCAAGGGGCCAGGAATGTTGCTCGTTGGGCATCGCCAGCAGTCGCTGTTCCGGCATAGGCCTTTGAAAGATCCTGTGCATCCAAGAGGCCCTTTGGAGGAATACCTCTTGCTGCTACTTTGAGTGCCATCTGAGCGGCATGCTCATCACCTGTAGATTGCGCCATGGCAGCCCAGCCGTGAGGCAGGTTGGGGTGCAGCATTATGTCTGTCTGCAATTGCGTCTTCATATCCTCTTCCGTACGTCCCTCTCCCAGAGTTGCAATAGCACGTAGTACTTCGCCGATGTTCGACTGCTCTGATGCTGTCACCTTGTGGTTGGTGCGGAGTCCGTATAGCTCTTCCACAACGGCCTCCAAGCTATCCTCATCGTTATCCAACAGAGCAATGACACCGAGGAGAAGAACAGACTGAACATGCTCGGGGTGTTGTTCGATTGTCTCGAATAGCTTTTCGCGAGCTCTGTCTCGAGATTCTTCTGACCCTTCAGCCCAGAGCACTTGAGCTAACAAGCAAACGGCATCAGGGTTGCCGTCAGATTCTTCCAAGGCGGACTCGAAGTATCCGATAGCTTTATCGAACTGATTGTTGTAGTATTGGGCCAGTCCGACGGTGAGATGAGCAGATAATCGCGCCTGCTTGCGTTGCTCGCTCGAGAGTTCATTCTCTGCTTCATCGCTGCTCAATCCTAGGGCTGTCTCACCACACTCAATTGCTTCCTCGTAAGAGCCAGATGCAAGATAAGTTCGTGCCAGATCCGTCTTGGCCAATGCAAACTTGGCAAGACTCTCGGGAGATTCTGTGCTCTCGAAGTCAGCTTCGACGGTTGAAGAAATCTTCTCCAGCGTCTCAACAGCACGGCTGCTCTCGTTAGTGCGTTCCTGGAACAGTGTTGCCAAGTGCGCAAACGCCAAGTCTTGTGACTTGAGGCTTTGGTATTGGTTGAGAGCGAAAAGTGGCTGGATAAGGGATTCGACATTGAGCTCGTTAGGAGATACGGTGAGAATGTGGTCGAACAAGGCGCTCGAGTAGTGACGTCTTGTTGGAACTGAAGATGCATCTGCAATTTCCATTGCGTGTGTGAACAAGCCACGAGCCTCCTTGGTATCGCCGTGCAAGAGAGCCACAAACCCTTGTCCCAACCAAGCATGTGCATAGTCAGGATCAGTAGACTGAGCTCTGGTAAAGACCTCGTTGGCTAGCTGAACATCTCCGGACAATAAAGCGAGTGTTCCCAAATTAGTCCAGGCTGCAGGACTTCGTTCGTTGAGATACAAGCTTCGGGCAAATGCGTGCTGCGAAACTGAAGGATTGATTTCACTCGTCACCACACCAAGAGCGTTCCAGAATTCCGAGTTTCCAGCCTCCAACTCGATCGCACGCTTGAAAGATCTCACCGCAGCCTTGATGTAGCTGCTAGACTTCTTCCTGATTTCAGGTGGAAGGCAGATATGGGCACGGTACTCCGCCCATCCCAGGTTGTAGTAGGCAACAGATTGAGCATGGCGGTCGTTGGACGCAATATGAACTCCTTGCTTGTGGCATAGGATTGTAGCGTGGATACATCGAGTGAGGTCAACGCCTGGCTGTTCATCGTCTGCGTAGAGTCCCTGAGCGAAGACTACATCAGTTCCGACTTTATCGATATCGGCAAATATTTCATATGCCTCCTGCGAACCCTTCTCGAGGACACTTCGGATGGAATCGCAAGGGAAGTCATTTGTGCGACTTTGGACAGACGAGTAGACAGAGCATGCATCGCCGATAGCCTTCCAGAAGTTAAACGTCTCGAAAACGCTACCGCTGGTTGTCTTCGAATACTCGATGGTCTCGGTGGCAAGTTGAACAGCCTTTCCGAACAATCCCTTCTCAACAGATGAAAGCGCGCTGTCGACTGTCGTTTGAAGAAGAGCAATGATAACGCCCTCCTCTTCGGGATGTGTCTCAATGACTGATCTGTAGAGAGCGACGGACTCATCGTATTCGCCCAACTCGCGTTTAATGTTAGCAAGCATGTACTTTGTGAACCACGTATCTCCAGAGATATCAACCTCTGTCTCCTCCTCAAGCTTCTGGGCATTCAGAATGGCCTTGGTGGCGGCGATATGTCGACCGGAGCTGTGGTAACTCTCTCCTAGGCCAACCCAAGAGTGGTAATCTTCGGGACTAATTCGAAGCGCGGCTTGGAACGACACAATAGCCTTATGGAAGTCTTGCTTGTTCAATTCTGCGACACCCAGTGCAGCGAATGGCCAGCTAATTCCCTTCCTCTTAGATCCAGGTGGTGGTTTCACTTTACCAGAGTCGACGACACGGCGGGCAACGAGCTCGACTCTATCCCAATCTCCATCATCCGCAAATGACCGTGCTAGGCTCTCGGCCGCAACCACTTCAGCATGAGAAAGTTCCAGCGCTTTCTGGAAACATCGTCTCGAACGGCCCTTATCCTTCGCGTAGTCGGCATAGTAGGTTCCAAGGTATGTGTATGTGGGTGCGTGGTTCAGGTGATTGTTGAGGGCACTTAGCCAGTATGCATACGCCGATTCTCCCTTTCGCTGTTTTCGCGCAGCCTTGCTGGTATCGATATTCCAGATACATACTCCTAGACGGTGTTGAGTTTCACCCAATAACTCCTTCGAGGCAGCTCCTTGCTTTTCCAATGGCTCAAGGCATTCCTTGAGTTCGTCTCTCGCGGTTTCCCAATCTCCTTTCAGTGCCTTAACCCATGCCGCTTCGGATTTAACTCTGATATTGGTTTGATCACGTTCCAAAGCTCGAGTGAGATAGTCAATAGCCTCATCATATTCTTCCTCCTCCTCGTAAATAAGGCCAACGCCGATCAAAGCAGAGGTAGAAGTTGTGTCGCGCTCGAGAACCTTGTCGAATAATTCCTTTGCTTCCTTATGATGTCGAGGGGATTGGTAGTAGACTAGCGCTGTTCCGAGTGAGAGGTAATAAGAGTCTTCGGCATGGACGAACGAGAGGCCGGTCTTCTTGCGCTCTTGTGCCAGCAAAGCCATTCCCTTGCGCATGAGCTCAACAGTACTCTCATACTCTCCAATGTGAAGGAGGTATTGGGCAGTAAGTCGATATGCAAGAACTGAGTCTGCGGTAGTAATGCCCTCGGTAATCATGATAAGACGGTCCTCGTCGGTCAAAGGTACCACAAGAGTGGGAACGCCTCCATCGTCGTCGTCTGAGCTTTCGTCTGAATCATTGGGGGCAGCTTTGGCTTTTTCTTGAGTCTTTTCGGGAGGAAATGGTGAGATTGGACTTGTTAGAAAACTTGTGATGACCTTGTACAGATCGCTGTCAGGAAAGAAAGAGCAATAAGCTCGAAGGACGTCGACATCCCATTCTCGGATTTCTTTCTTATCCTGCCACTCTATTGAGATATCCCAAGCCAGCTTGTGGGGATACTTGATGGCAACCATACCGTTAGCCAGATCGAGTACTTTTTGACGCTCTGTATCTTTGTCGGCGCCTGGTGACGCAACTTGGAGTCGATCGTAGCAAAGTTGCAGAAGCTTCTCCTCGTACTGCCTTCTCAAGTCGTCATCATTCGTCCAGTTGATCAATTGTCGGTAAATGTGTTCGAGTTTGCTCTGGCTGTAAACCTCGCGCTTGGCGTCAAGTGTGACTTCGGAAAGTTTGGCGCCCAGCTTGGTTCGTCGCTCTCCGATAAGAGTGTTTATTCGGTGCTTCTCATACTTCTCAAGGATGAGTGCTATGGTCTCATATGTCCTGGCTGGCTGAGGGAAGCGGCCCTCAAGGACAGGGTACAATGGACTTTCAGGAAGCTGTATCGACAGTGCTTCGGCGTACTGGATGTCGTCTCCCTTCACCCTAGCAAAATCGACAAACTTATCCACCACATCTTGAGCCTTATACATGTCATCAGCATCTCGGTAAATCTGGGCGAGGTTCACGACTGCTTGCTGATAGTCTGTGAGCTTCCTGTTGCTCTGCTTCTCAAATAGCTTAATCAGACCCTGCCAAGCCTGTGCTTCTTGAGGTCGGAGCCATGTCGCAGACCGATAAGTTTCTTGAGCTTGATCGAGTCTGTCCTTCTTATCCAAAGCAAATGCTAGGAAGATGTGACTGAGAATCTGGTCAGCTCAGGCGTCTTATGGCGGGGTACGGTACTGCAGCTCTTGAGGAGCTCAGTTTCCTTACGCCTGATAGTTCTTGGAGTCTTTTTCCAGAAGCTCCTGAGCTTTGCTCACGGCATCGTCAAACTTTTGCTGTCGAATAGCATCGTTGATGCCTTTGAGGGCAGCTTTTGTACCTGACATGGTGGCTGTATTCTCTTGTGTTGAATGGAGGGTGACCCCACCAAGCTGAAGAAGAAGCTCCCTTAGCTATGTGAAAGTTCAGATTAGGTAGTGATGCCGAATTTTTAGTCGGAATTTCTAGAAGCGAATGAGATCTCCAAAGGGTCGTTGGAGAAGAAAGGCAACGCTCTCAGAAAGTACATCAATTGTATGGATCATACACTCAATTGACTTGGACTAGGTTGTTGCTGGTGGAACTTGTCAGTGGATGAATTATGTCATTTCGAGGTTCGCTGCTAGCCGAAGATATGCCGCTCCTCCTCTCGGTCCCACATCATAAGCTCAGGATTAACTGGAATGGACATCTCTCTTGGTGTTTACTTATTTCCACGTCACAAGTCAACATATGAGTCAAGTTCAATAAAGCTTATTCTCATTAATAAAAATAGGTCTCACTGGTAGAGGTAAGTACCCTGACGTATTATTTCCTCTATATAGCTGTTTGAATATTGTGCTCTAGGGTACTCTGTAAGGAACTCAATATTAGACCATGGAATCTGCAATGGGATATTCCTTCATCAGATCTCCCTCCATCCTGCGATACAACTCTGCAATACCAGTAATTGGACAATTATCTGCCCCTCGATACGGTACGTCGTCTTCAATCGTGTTTGGGTATGGTTGTGCTGGATAATCCCACTTGGGGTCTATCATCCTTACACAGATATCTTCCAAGCAAAGTTCATCTTCCTCGATGTCGAGGCCAAACGAAATGTTCGATAAGTCCCCGATTATCTTTTGGTCAAAGAGGATACATGCCGAAAAGCGGCTTGAGCCGATACCTCTGAACATGAGATCATCTTCAAGCATGCCTGTGCCTCTCAACTGCGCACGAAATTCCTCTCTCACTCTGTCTTCTGAAGCACTCTCTAGAGCCTCTTTGTTTTGTACAATGTCCAATTTGAATCTCTTGGTTGCTTCTTCAGAGTAAAGAGAAGGTGACATGCGCCTCAAACTTCTGAGCACAAGCTGTACCAACACCTCAACGGCATCCTCTAGCTTTTGGCTTGCCTTATCTGTATAGGATGTGACGAATATGTAAAAACCCCATGTTGGGTCTGTAATTGCTGAACCGAGCGGACCCCGGGTTTTGTTTTGGTAGTCCTCTAGAGCCGAGAGAAGCTTGCGGACATCATCCGTTCTCTTCTTGTAGTCAAGCCAGTCTTCGCCTTCGCGAATCCACATGTTTTGATGCCTTTCTCTCTCAAATACTTGACTATCAAACTCATGATCGGAGCTATAATCTGAGGGCCTGACATTTAGGTCCACTTCACCGACAGGTCGGGCTGTTCTTTGGATGGCCGGGTCAGCACCAGGGCCAAATGAGCAAGTGTCGAAGAAGCGCTTGTGAGGAACAGAGCGGACTTGAAGAGAAGGATCTCGTGGTGGAAAGTATTCGGGTAAAAAGTATCAGGGAAATCCATGTTGTACAAGAAGTAAGATATTGATTTAGGACGGTATTGTGAACGAACTGGAGGGGACAAGGCTCATATAAATACTCGCGCCTCGAAAGAAATGCAATATAATTGTTTAGTTTATTGAAAACACAAGCTCAGTCATCAAATTAAAGTCGATTGAAAAGGCCGCTTTGATACTTATAGAGACAAGGCTTCTTAGGCAGAAACGCAGGCAGCCAAATCGTACATCTCAGCCAACAGCAACAGGGCGCTAACACCTTCCACTCAATAATAACAGTCAGTGAACTTTCCTCAACAAACTTCCACGTTTCATTGACTCCGATTCTTGCACATGTTCTTAGGTTCGCTCTGACCTAATGTGAAGTTTCAACAATGGAAGGCATAAATAAGTACCTTCCCTCCTCCTGGTCTGCCTCTTTTCCTAACACATTCTCTTTACCATTCTCACTTCTCTCAACACCAACATCACTTTAACAAGTCGCAGTAAACATCAATCTTGAAGCTCACAATGTTTGGGCTTTTCAGATACTGTCGCCGATTACTTAACACACCAATCAACCTCTACCCACGACGGTACCCACGACTTCCACGCGACTTCTTCAACACCAACAAGCCTTTCGATTTGAGCAATCGAGAGCTCTTTTATCGATCTGTAGATCCTAAAGCTTGGCGGGAGAAGCCCGAAAAACGCGACTTCTAACAGCTTCATGGTGCTGCTATCACAGCAATTAGTGTTTGGGAGTTCGTATCCTTCTTTCCAAGTCTAAACTATAGAGTTATCATGGACTCTTTACATGCTGAAATCTTTGGAGATGTGAACGGCGAAGTCGAGGTTGACTTGTACGACCAAGAACCCGAATCATCTTGTACCAACCCCCCAAAGCGCTGTGCAAGATGCGAAGAACTTGGAAGACGTTGTTTTCGCTGCCGACTAAACAAAGCCTTGGGTAGGGACGAAGACTCGCAGGAAAAGTCGTCTCTAGAGCTGGTCCTTAAACCCAAGGCTTCCCATATACAAGATGATGCCGAAACAATACCATCAGACCCTACCGAAGATACCAACGAAACAACATCAACGGCAAACACAAAAAGTCAAACAACTACTGGAAATAACACTAACACCTTCGCCCGGAGACCTGCTAGGACATATAGTGAAGAGAGAACTTACGTCTCTCCCACTACTAGTAATTATCGCAGTGACTCGGATGCGTCATCGGATAGACTAAGAATTTATTCGACAAAGCCTCGTAGACGTCAGCGACCCCGGAGTAGCCATAACCAACCCGCGTCTTCCAATCGTTATAATCAGTATGCAGTACCGATACCAGATTCTCCTATCTATCATCGATCGAGCGCCGAGTTTGAGGTGATCAAGATTGGTACCAATTGGCACTTACTCTCTACAAATTGCCATGTCGAGAAGCTTGTCGATGGCCATTCCATTCACTATCATGAACATCGACATTGGACAGAAGCATTCAGAGAACCTGCGCACTGCGCCACTTGCAGAAGAATCCAGTTGAAGCACAACAGAATTCCCGAGGAAGTTCTGTTCAGAGATGTCGATGTTACCTTCATAAAGAAAGCACCACGCCGCAATTTCTCAGAGGAGGTCTGGTCTGTAATGATAGGAAAGCCATTACCAATTCGCGGTTCAGTGATTCGCGAGACTTACCATTTTCAGGGCCCGTTAAAGGTGGAACGGGATCAACTGTTTGGTCCTGGCATGTTAAGAACACATCTATACAACCCTGGTGACCATAGCCTGGGACTAGGCACTCTCTTGCTCGGGTTGTTCGAAGCTGGCAGATCAGTGGTACACACATTACAATACTGGATATCTGGGACTGACCCCACCAAAGACAACTCGCACGAGATCGACTGAACCAAGACCGCTCAGAAGAAAGCATTGCGAGTCATGCGATTGTTGAAGAATACTTTGTGCGTATACGCGTAAGACGCAAGTCTCGCTTGTTTGTTACATGTTAAGTATAGATGCACAAGATCGACAATTGCATCGCCACAGCGCTATGACTTCTTTTGGGTATCAAAGGATGAAGTGGAACTGTCAAGGTATTTTCGCATTCGATCTCGAGTTTTCGCAAAGGGACTGATGTCGTTGGTCGAAACGGATGCATCGGGAACGGCTGAGGCGCTTAGCATAAACCACTCGTATGTCATGGCGGACATGACCGAATTGGGGTTATATGTTGGTTTACAGCGAAATTCTTGTATATATATGTAGCGTCTCTCAGAACTAAAACACTCACATCTCTTTCTTCATTTCTCGCTTTGGATACCACTTGTCACGAGTACTAAACACGAAGTCGTAAGCTGAGCACATCCAAGGACACTGCTTATTCGCTTTCAAAGACTCAACTTAACGAACGGGAAGAAATCTTCCACGGTCGAGTTGATTGATCCATTTTACTTCTAGTTCTACCTTATATACTCCCAGGCTGTAAAGATTTTTCTACTGGCCAATCTAGCCAACCCAACAACTCTGGATTTATCAAACCCCTTATCCTATCAAGCAAATGCGCCGCCCAACCATCCAGATACCAGCACTTCTCCATCGTTTTGAATAATGGAACATAATACGCTAAAAGAAGCAGGGCCTGCGGTGCCTTGCGTTGAAGACAACCGACGAACAAGTCTTGCATGCGGTAAAGCCAGCCAAATACAAGCTTGTTTGTGATCGGGACTTCGATGGTCCCTTTTGAATTGCCATAGTTGGCCTCGTACACGTCGCATAGCGACTTGTGAACTCTCAGATACAAAACAGTGTCTGGGTTCTCATGGGACGCTATCCATCCTCTGAGTTTCTCCAGAGGTTCAACCCAATCGAGATGTGGGAACCCCTTGACCAGATATTCAGGTCGTGGGTCGTCCGGTTTTGCGCCGCCACCACCGAGAGGGGCCATGAGACCCGTAAAGAGTGTTGCCGGTTCGATACTCTGTCGAATCAACCGAACGCCGTGTATTACTGGAAGCCACCTCTGCGAAATGCCATCACCCACAACGCATACGAGCAGATCATCAGGACCAGTGGGGCCAGCAGCGAAGGTGCAATAGCAGACGAGAACTGCGGCGACATATAGCGCACCGCAGTTTGTCTCGTTAAGGTTTGTTATAGTTCTGTTCATCTCAGAGATGCCAAGTTCTGCATGGTGTGCTGCTAGAGCGAGATTTTGAGAATGGCGCTCCGTTCCCCTGGGCTCTTGATAAACGAGATGATATCCAGCCAGGGCATACATCATATGTAGGACAAAGTGGTAGGAAAGACCGATTTGGGGTACGTTCTTGGCCCAGAACGATGCAATGTGGTCAGCAGGGTCATCAGCATCGTGCAAGGTTGTTGAGGTGTCGGTCATAAAGTGAAATAGTAATTCTGCATCAGCAACGTTCAGAGAGCATATCTGGGAATTTGATATCGTTGACGACGAAACTGGGGTAGCTGAAGTTGAAGATGGAGATGTCGTGGCTCTATCTGATGCTGACGCTGGAGGAGGCGGTGGTGGTCGCGTGAGAGCAGCCCAGTCCTTGCGCGGCCTACCAGGACCTCGACGCGGTGTCGTAGCAGGCTCTGCCAGGACTGATATGATCTCTGGAGGCGACCTATGAGGAGCTGAATCGTCGCTAGATAGTGGTTGAGGTGCAAAGTCGCAAGGAATACCGAAACGTACGCAGTTGGCGCACGCAGGCTTCACCTCGTCACACTGGAGACTTGTCAGTTCTGGGATGCTTGGAGGTAGGCAGGGCGAGACTTACCTTGACTTTTCTTCTTTTGCAGTTGAAACATCCGTTCCTTGACTTGCGGTGCGGCCTTCTGGCAAGTTTAGAGACCCTTGAAGAAGAGATGCTCTCTGGTCCGGCTGGCTGTGGTGTCGTTGACTTGCGCATACTACCTTCTGGTATAGTATGTATTTATGATATCAAAAAAGCCACGAGGCTATAGAGATACGCGATGGGCAGAGAAAAAAGAAACCATCAAATCTAAACAACCAAAGTCTTTTTGGCGTCGTCATGGGCTTTGTGAAGTGTTTCCGAGCAGACCGGGGAAAGTCTCCGTCTCGACCAACGGAAGCGCCGGACCGCTTCAAGACTTGGACCGGGAGAGTCCAAAACACAAAAATTAAGAAATTCGAGGTCGAAATTTAGATTCCGTCAAATCCCAGCTCTTACCGGAGCAGAGAAAAGCTCAATCGTAGGGGTGATTCGAGTTGCTGGTGTATTAGTGCGAGCCACAACAGGAATAGCAGAAGTGCCGGTAAATGTGTGTGGGTCAGTGACAGATTTCCAGGGACTCTGTCAAAGGTGAGAAAGTTATTCAGCCATACGGAGAGAGCTCTGGAGACGAAACAAGGGGTTCTGAAGCTGTAAAAGGAGAACTTCTAGAATGATATGCTAGGTATGCTTTGATACAATGGTGAAAAAGAAATGGGGGATGGATTTGTAGACCAGACCGGTAGGCATGGATAAGTGAGTGACCTAGCGGAGTTAACTAACGGCCAGCGGATTTTCGCATTTGTAATTGCGTAAAATGTCCGATTTGCGAGTCCGAAGGACTATTCCTGTTTCGGTCATAGTAATCGGGCTGTCATTGATTTGAGCTTAGTATCTGACCAAGTTTCAGACCTAAAAGTTAACGTAAGAGTTGAGTGAGAAAAAGAAGGATGAAGCTGACGACTGTGCTATGAAATTATTACTAGTATCAAGTATCGAGTCTCACGCATGGCACACACACATACGAAGGATTAGGATTATTATTACGAATCTTGAGCTTACACGTTGAGAATACAGTAGCACAGCTGTAATTAAATCAAATAAAACAAACCAAAACCTTGTCTTACCCCAAGGGAAAGTGAAGTGAAGTGACTCTCCATCCCTCGGACAATGAGAAGCTCCTTCTCGCTTCGCTTACACGGACATGATGAGATCTAGGCTGACTAAACTTTTCTGGGCACGGCATTCGTTTTAGCGCCTAAAATAAAGCTAAAGCCACTTTTAGGATCCATAGAATGACGAATACGACCGTGCAAATGGGAACATGTCCGACGTCTTGCGTGGTATTTCCTGCTAGTTTATTCGCGCTCTATATCCGCGGCTTCGTATTCTCGGCTTTGACTGTCATCTTGAATGAGGCACGACTTTATCTAATGGGGATTGTTATTTTAGTCTTGAGACACGATCAAGACGGTCATGCTTTTATCTATAATCCTGGTTGCGGATCATAAATACTCTAAATTCATATTATGTCTTGTCTCAGCTTTACGATTCATGCTCATTCCCATGACGTCTATGAATATTCATATCATATCTGTCAGTCTATTTATTGAAAGTGGCTTACCCTCTTTACTGAGCGAATACGGACCCTGTCGGCTGATGTTCGGACTCAAGATAAACCCCGGAAGGTGGGGGAACTGTGAACGAACCGTTCATGTCCATGACCCTCATGACCTGGAACAGCGAACCAGTAGACAGACGTTCATGACTCTGCAGGTGTATCGGCTAACGGTTTGAACTTTTTCTACTCCCTTTCAATTTCACGAACTCCCATCTATTATAATCTTTAGCTCTAATACATCTATTGACCGTCAAAATATCCGTATCTTTGCTGACTAACAGGGGTCCTCTCACCCCTGTCATCCCCAGGAGACAAGCCTTGAACGTCATCGTCAAGCGTTGCCCCCAGCTAACGTACTTAGCTTGGCTGGACTCTTCCCAGTTTCCCTCATTTCTTCACCCATCCCGCTCTTTCGACACCGACATAGTAGTCTATAGAAGGACAAACCATGTCGTCTTTTCGTTTGTTGATTGAAGACGGCCAGTTCCGTGACGGTCACGGCCGTCAAGTCGTCCTTCGCGGTATCAATCTCGCCGCCGATGCCAAACTTCCAAGCGAACCCGACCAGCCATCCCATGTTCCCACCGACTTCTTCGACGGCGATAACGTGACTTTCCATCAGCGCCCTTTCCCTAAGGAAGATGCGCGATCTCACTTTGCGCGCTTGAGACGATACGGTTTCAACACTATCCGTTATATCTTTACATGGGAGGCGCTTGAGGCGGCAGGTCCTGGTAAATATGACGAGGACTTTATTCAGCACACAATCGATATCCTGAGGATAGCGAAGGAATATGGCTTCTATATATTTATGGATCCTCACCAGGACGTTTGGTCTCGTTTCACCGGCGGTTCAGGAGCACCGCTGTGGACATTGTATGCATGTGGTCTTAACCCACAGAGCTTCGCTGCGACTGAAGCCGCTATTGTTCAGAACACTTACCCAAATCCCGAAGAATTTCCAAAGATGATTTGGTCGACAAACTACTACAGACTAGCAGCTGGAACTATCTTCACCCTGTTCTTCGCCGGTAAAGATTTCGCTCCCAAGTGTATTATTGACGGCGTCAACATCCAGGATTATCTCCAGGATCACTTCATGAGAGCATGCGGCCAACTCGCCCAGAGAATCCATGAGGCAGGAGATTTGGAGAACGTCGTCGTTATTGGATGGGAGAGTATGAACGAGCCAAACAAGGGCATGACGGGTTACAAGGACCTTACTGTTATCCCCAAAGAACACCCTCTGAAGAAGGGCACATGTCCAACCATGTGGCAGACGATGTTGACTGGTATGGGACGAGCGTGTGAAGTCGATACATGGGAAATGGGTGGTCTCGGTCCCTACAAGACTGGAAGCACACTAGTGGACCCTCACGGCGAGATCGCATGGTTGCCAGAAGACTACGACGACTCACGATATGGGTGGAAGCGCGACCCGGGCTGGCAGCTTGGGCAGTGCATTTGGGCACAGCATGGGGTTTGGGATCCCAAGACTGACACTCTCCTTCGCAAGGATTACTTTGCCAAAAACCCCAACACTGGCAAACTGATCGATTACCCGCAGTTCACCAACACATACTTCATGGACTTCTGGCGCAAATACGTCAAGACTTGTCGAGCCGTTCATTCGGACTGCATCATGCTCATGCAATTCCCCACTCTCGAATTGCCGCCAGAGATCAAAGGAACCGCAGATGACGACCCTCGAATGGCTTTCACCCCGCACTACTACGACGGCATTACGCTCATGACAAAGCATTGGAACAGCACATGGAACGTCGACGTGGTTGGAGTTCTGCGAGGCAAATACTGGCATCCAGCTTTGGCTATCAGAATTGGAGAGACTGCCATTCGCAACTGCCTCCGTGACCAACTCGCAACATTAAGACAGGAAGGTCTCGATCGCACCGGAAAGCATCCATGCGTGTTGTCGGAATTCGGCATCCCATACGATATGGACGATAAGAAGGCCTATAAAACAGGTGACTATTCGAGCCAGTCAGCGGCAATGGATGCCAATTATTTTGCGGTGGAGGGGTCTCAAATCGAGGGACACTGCTTGTGGACATATTGTGCTAGGAACGACCACGCGCGGGGAGACTTTTGGAATGGGGAGGATTTGTCCATTCTTTCACTTGACGATAAAACTCTTCCGGAATCTCCTCTTCCCGAATACTCCCAGTCGACACTAGATTTGGCAAGGACTGCGACTACTACAAATGCGAAGAAGGACGTGGCCGACGATAGAAACGTTACACCCGACAACCTCAAACGAACACTCACCAACCCATCAATCAGCTCCGCGCCCTCAGCTAAGGACCCTGAGCTGACTAACGCCCCTGGTTACCGTGCTGCTGAAGCCTATGTGCGCCCAACGCCCACAGTGGTGTACGGTGACGTTGTGTCCACTGGATTTGACTTGAAACAATGCACATATGTCCTCAAGGTTAAAGCACAGAAAGCTGCACCTGATGACGCCCCTACAGTTGTGTTCTTGCCCGAATATCATTTCCCCAAGGACCAGTGCCAAGTAGCTGTGACTTCAGGCAAGTGGGAGCTAAGCATAGAGGAAGACGAGGGCACGCCACTTCAGATGCTCAAGTGGTGGCATACAGAGGGCGAACAGAACCTCAAAGTTTCGGGTCTTGCACGGAAATACAATGTTCCTGTAGGATCTGAAGAGGATGCTGGTTATCTGGAGCAGTGCCAGCAGGGCTATGGGTTTAACTTTGGAAGCTGCAGTGTTATGTGAGCTGAGCCTTGGTTTGATGAGGCGCGTATGTAAGCGCATGGATTACTATTTGAGTTACGTCGGGCGAGCATGTTACGGGACACGGGCGTTTAGATCTGTAATGTTTAAGAACAACTACATTTTCAACTGGACACGTTGAGATGGAAGTTGAAACCGTTGCCGTGGGAAAGTTTACTATGTATATGGTATACTCGGATAGTCCAAGCTCATGGGAAATTGGCTTTACGATTGGGTAATTTCGATACGAAGACAACGAACGCTATTGAACGACGTACATACATACATCTTGACTACGAAGCACTTGTCTGTGATCAATCGATTCTCCGGACGCTATGATGATTGTGCCGCGATGTCCTTACCACTCTCGGCAGAGTAAAGAGTTTCTGATAAAGAGCCATGTCTTTAGTGCGACGCCACAGAAAGGGGGCCCTTTTATCCGTGATAATTCGAAGAGCCGAGGGAATGGTTATCTGGTGGAGATTTCCACCGCCCTGGGTCAGGAGACTTTTTTTTCCTTGCCGTGAATTAACTTCGATGTGCCGTCTAGTCAGGAACAGTCTCGTATTGATGATCTCTGATATCCGAGTTGCCATGGATTCCTGGCCAGGGGTTCCGTGTACAAAAGCAGCCCCTCTCTTAGGGGAAGAAAAAGATGAGATCTAGAAATTGTTCATGATAATGGTATATTACCATGACAGGAGTTTAATCTAACTAAAAATTAGACATTGATAGATTCAGTGACAACAGGATTCATCGGCCTACTTTTCTATAAATTTTATCTGGGCCTGGAGAGGAATTGTTATATAAAAAAGCCCAAGCTTCAACTATCAACTTTTTCTTCCCCCTACTAGGCTACTAGTCAAGCCAGGGTATTTCTGATGGAGGGGAAGATGGAGAGCGCGGGCAGGCTGGCTGAGCCAGGGCTTATTATGGTAGCGCTATTGCTGTATGTCGCGTGTAGCAAGCAAGGAGTTGATCATTGACGTGCTTGATTAGCCTTGATACGATTTACTGCCACTACTACTGCTACAGTAACACTTTCGATGAGCCATTGATAATTAAAAGAATAATAAATAGAGTCGACAATTGGTGCCCCCATCACCCAAGACAGGCGACTTGGGGATCATGCCGATTTGCTAGAGATCAGAAACTAGCGTATGTCGTCTGCACTCTGAAGGTGGTATTCACACTCTCTACACACCATCTCAGCTGTCGCTAAGCGCCAGACGCCCTTTAGCTGAAGGCTGAAATGCCCGACGAGGACACGGCGCAGCAGGTCGATGGCTATGGCTGTGGCTTTGTTGGTGAGGAGATCTGAGGAGAAAACAGAGTTTCCCGTCCCTTTATCGAAACGGCTTAGGACAAAGATCACGGCGCATAGTATCCGTACCGTACCGTACCCAAGTCCATAAGCAGATAGGGTCTTACAGCGCTATTAATCTAGTCTAGTCGCTTTTCCCGTCCGTCTCTTTGTTTAAACAAAAAACCATCATCCATTGCACGTGTTCTCTCTCCTCTCTCACTGTCCATCTTATACCATCCATCCCATACACATACATCTCAACTGTCAGCTTGTCGCCGCTTCTCGTCCACCCACAATCGCCCATCTGCCATTCACTCCTCCACTGGAACAATCCCTGACATCTCAGCATCCTACTCTGTCCTAGCTTGGTCTGGTCTGCCCCCCAGGCCCCCAGGATCCTTGTCAAGACGACCCACCTCGACATGTTACTCCACCGCAGATACAAGCCATGAAGGGTAGCGATAGCTTGCGACGGGTTAACCGTCCCGCTACCAATTTCGACCTGCCACCAGCAGCTTTGGCCCAGGCGCAACAGCAGGCTCAGGTTCACGTTCAGGCTCGGGCTCAGGGTTTTCGATCTCAAACTCAGCCTCAGTCCCAAGAACTCATCACAAACACCGTGACTTCGACCAGTCCAGAGATCACCGCCGCTTCTCTTCACAGCCAAGCCCAGGCTAAGGCTCAGGCACTTGCAACCGCCAGGTTCCGTTCCTCTTCGAGACCCAGTCTTCAGGACCTGGCCCTTGTCGACGGGACTTCGACTTCAAACAACCACGACCAACCTCCAGCCTATGCCCTTTCGTCCTCATCCTCCTCGACGGGGCCGTCGTCTTTTTCCTATCCTCCCGCGCATGCGCATCCGCCTGCAACAACGCACCATCACAATCACAACCTCGCTCGACCCCGGCCCCTGGGCCCATCCTCCTCCGACATAACGACCGCTGAGCAGGCTCAATTCCTCCACCTCCACCCTGTCTCATCTTCTTCGAGCTTACGTCCAAGGGCTTCGACCACTAGCGCCAGCGCTGCTGCTGCCGCCGCTGCTGGTGCTTCTGTTTCTGCTTCTACGTCTCCATCGCATACACCTAATTCTCTTCTTCGACAACACATATCGCCGCCGTCTGCTGTCGACAACAACTCTGCCCACTTTGTTCCTCGAGGCGGGTTGCCCCCCGCGCCGTCCATCATGTATCAGGCAAACCAGAGACATGTCTCGGGCACCGATCCCACGAGGGCCTACCAGGTCCCTCCGCCGCCGCCGCCCCCCATGGGAGGTCCGAATACCGGTCATATGCCCAACATGATGAACCTACCTCCGCCGCCGCCGCTTCCTCGATATAACACGGCTCCGGGCTCCTCCGGCGTTGGGATCCCCCCACCTCCCGGTCCGCCTCCCGCCAGTGCCCTCGGCCAGCAACCTCCGTGGCACGGTGCCTTTGGGCGCATGTACGACGGCCGGTCAGGATTCAACATCCCCCCACCGCCGCCCAGCAGCCAGCACCAGCCGTACAACCCAAAGTTACACGCTCAGATCGCCGCTGGGCAAACAGTCTCTATCCCTCCACCTCCCCCGCCGAATGAGGCCATGAGTGCGACCTACATTCCGCAGGGCGACACGTACGGAGAGGGAGTTGGTATCCCCGCCTTTGGACCCGAAGACCCAACCCTGACTGTCAACTCGCAGACATCACGGCCTGTGACAACGCCACAGAGCGGAACTGACACAAATGCCACAACCTCCATGGACGAGGCTACGAGAGAGCGCCTCTATACTACCAATAACACCCAGCCGCGCGGCACCTCCAATTCTTCAAACGCCACCCCTCCCGGCTCCATCCCACCAGAAATCGCTGCCCAGTGGCCTCTAGATACCGTGCTGATTTGGTTGGCCCAGAACCAGTTCTCCAAAGACTGGCAGGAGACCTTCAGAGCCCTCAACCTTCACGGGGCGCAGTTTCTCGAACTCGGCAGTGGCCACGGCGGACGTGGTAACTTTGGTATGATGCATCAGCAAGTGTATCCCAGGCTCGCCCAGGAGTGTACCAACAGTCGAACCGGGTGGGATCAGCCACGAGAGCGGGAAGAGGGCAAGCGAATGCGAAGACTAATTCGAAGCATCGTAACTGGTCGACCCGCTGATGTGTCTAAAGTTTCAACGAACCACGCCCGGAAAGAATCCCTCAACGGCGGACATGGGAACAACCTACCAAGCGCTGGAACTGATCCCATGGACTCGCCTAATGTTTGTTGACCCCAATTGGTATCATAAATGCCGAATTCTTACTGACTTTCTCTTAGACACCTCTCAATGCTCCTGGTCCTGGCTTTAGCAGTCGCAGATTTTCCCAAACAAGATCTACTACATTACCAAACAGCATTAGCGCCTCCAACGTTAACTCTGAGTCTAATCATCGCAATATTCTGAAGCATGTTGATACGGAGGGAGCGCGCCGTCACAGTCCTAACGTCAGTGAGTCCAGCGAGGCCACATTTCGTGCTCCTGCTATTCACTCGGCGAGTCCTACTGGCAGTCCAGGCATTCCTCCATCACTATATACTTCGACGACTACGCCGGTTCTCGCCCAATCACCTAGTGCAATAAAAGCTGGCCATCGCTCCAGGAGCAGCCTGGATTCAGTGGCCTCTAATGCAGCTATATATGGATCCGGTGTGCCATCAGATGCCGCCTCACTACTCGGTCGGAACATGAACCTAGGGGATATTGTTCATTCCCGAAACCATGATGCGCGATCACGCCACTCTCCCTCAGATGGAGGAGATAGGTCAGCAGGCGGAGAAACCCCTTCTTCAGCTAAAGATTCTAAGAGTTTTCTCAGCTTTCTATCCAGGAAAAAGAGGCAAACAAAAGATGATGGTGCATATCCGTCCCCCGAAGAAATGGAAGCTTCGCCTGTTTCTCCACAAGGATCTATCCGACCTGTTGGGTTGGGTGTTCGAGGAACCAATGGAAGTGATACCAATCTTGATCTCTCTGGCTCGACATTGGGCGATGATAGAAACGGCAACACTCTGAACCTACGACAGAAAAGGATCAGCGCTGTGAGGACATATGTCCTTGCCACTATGGATTACTGGAATTACCGAATGTGTGATATCACTGAGGCAGAGACAGCAACTGAAGTGCGTCAAGTGATATGCATGCACCTGGGTCTGGGCGATTATGAAAACTCGCACATCTATCTTACAGAGGTTGGCAAGTTTGAACACGTGGATCCTCTGGACGACCCGAGTTTGGTCACCGTCAAGCGAGCGAAAGGCGACCCTCTTGGTACCCTCAAGTTCTTTGTAACACCCCCAGGAGTTGCCCCCATTTCCAGTGGTCCTGCCAAGCCTGAGGTTCCTATAGTTTTGTCTCCTGGTTACCTTACTCCCGGAACGACTACTGAAGATGCTCAACAGAATAGCAGACAGCGTTCTAGTTCATCACCTCCAACCTCACGATCCAACACCTTGACAGACGAAAAGGCCGAGGACAAGGTGGCACGAGAGGCAAAACAATACAGAGCCGAAATGGAAAGAAAACAACAAGAGTATTTGGCCAAGAGGAAGCAGGCAGCAATGAAGGGCAGCCCTTCAGAAACACTCGGACCTGGCATCGTGGGTCGAAACGTCGATTTTGACCAACCTCGCGAGTCACCCTACGAGGATAAGCGACCTGAACCATTGTTCCCTCAGAGGCGACCTCCTGCACCACCCAGTGATCCTTCTGCGACTTTGATCAAAGCCAACTCGTTGAGCAGAAAGACTGGGGCAAGTATGCGAACCTCTAGCAGCAGCTTGGAGGGATATCCTTCAAAGCGCTACCCAGAAAACGAGATGACGGAGAAGACAAAGAGAACCAACAAGCCAACACCTTCACCATCGCCTGGCATTGGAGCCGCCCTCGCAGGCATGGGTAGAAACCTAAGCGCAATCGGACAATCTGCGAAGAACGGCCGTGCCTCGTCCCCCTCTCGATCATCAACACATTCGATCCCTGGAGGTAAGGACACCTTCTCTAGCGTTGAACCCTCTCAAGGTCGAGGCAGTCCTAGTACGACTTCATCATCGAAATCGACCTCGGGTAACGTAACCTGGAGCAAGAAGAACCTGCCCTTCATTGTACCAGATTACTCGCCCAGCGATTCATCTTTCCTGCTCAGTCCCAGCCCTACAGTAGATGCTAAATTCAATGCAACAGTCCCCCGGGCCACATCTCCTGCTGAGATGAGCCCCAACTCGAATCGTCCCAGGCCCTCGTTTCCACCGGGTCAACAATCATCTACCCAACGACGTGCTTCCCATGGACCAGAACCAGAGTTCCAAGACTCGGATGTGCAGTTCGCAAAGCCAGCCCCAGCACAACCAGCTGACGATGACAGTGGAGATGATTCTGATGATGGGCTTTTCGCGATTCCGATTGCTAATCGTAACAAGGGCAAAGCTGCTGCCGCGAATGGGAATGCAAATGGCCATGGCCAACGTCCAAGTCTTGTTGTAAAAACAGAGCGCTCAAAGAAGGGTCTGTCTGTTGCCTTTGAATCGCCCAAATCTTATGGAAGTGGAGTGACTCTGGGCAATAACGAGGACGCAGATCGTGGGCAGAAACCGACGACACCTCGCTCTGAAACATGGGAGCCCGAAGAGAAGGACAAAGAAAGCAAGCTTGGTCGACGAAAATCGTTCATTGAGAAGGATGTCTGGGCTAACCGACCTCCCACGGACGCCCTTATCAACCACCTCGACGACTTCTTCCCCAACTTGGATCTTGATCAACCTGTACTTGACGAGCCTGGCGAGGGTGGAATGCCACCATCTCCGATTGCTGAGGGCTCAGAGACAAATATTGAGCAACAGGCACAAAATGCGGCACCGCCGCAGCCAGCAGTATCGAACTACGCCCAGCAAGCACCACCTGCCGCGATTCCACCTTCTCGAACACCGTCTCTTTACAACGAAAATGACACTCTCGGCTCCGATGAGTCGACTCTGAAGGCCCTTGATCAACAGCGACCTACATCAGTAGCTCAGAGGAGTATCCGACGCTCAGGTGGTCTTGGTCGTATGAAGTCTATTCGTGAAGTTGCACGTGGTGCACACGAAGCCAACAAGCGAACAAACTCGACCAGCCAAGGCAAAGGACAGACAGCCACAACCAACATCATGCGCCGGAAGAGCACCAAGATGTTCAACGCCAACATTGTGCAGATTCGACCAGACAGACGAGGTAGTGTCGTCATGCCCCAAATCCCTCAAGATACGGTACCGAAGCGACAGACGACATTTAGGTGGTTCAAGGGTCAGCTTATCGGCAAGGGTACTTATGGTCGTGTCTACCTGGGTATGAATGCTACTACTGGAGAGTTCTTGGCTGTAAAGGAAGTCGAAGTCAATCCCAAGGCCGCTGGTGGAGACAAGAACAAGATGAAGGAGCTCGTTGCAGCGCTCGACCAGGAAATCGACACTATGCAGCATTTGGACCATATCAACATTGTGCAGTACCTGGGTTGCGAGCGAAAGGAAACCAGCATCAGCATTTTCCTCGAGTATATTTCCGGTGGCAGTATTGGATCGTGTCTGCGAAAGCATGGCAAGTTTGAAGAGTCTGTCGTCTCTTCGTTGACACGACAAACACTCTCAGGTCTGGCTTATCTGCACCGAGAGGGTATTCTGCACCGTGATCTTAAGGCCGACAATATTCTGCTCGATCTGGACGGAACTTGCAAGATCAGTGATTTCGGTATCTCCAAGAAGACTGATAACATCTACGGCAATGACAAGACCAATTCGATGCAAGGTTCAGTCTTTTGGATGGCCCCCGAGGTCATTCGATCACAGGGAGAAGGCTACAGCGCCAAGGTAGATATTTGGAGTTTGGGCTGTGTGGTTCTGGAGATGTTTGCTGGCAAACGCCCTTGGGCTAAGGAGGAGGCCGTTGGTGCCATCTACAAGATCGCCAATGGCGAGAGACCACCGATCCCCGAGGACATCCAGGATACGCTTGGCCCATTGGCTGTGGCTTTTATGATGGATTGTTTCCAAGTGTAAGTTCTACACCCACAGCTTTGCAAGCAATGCTAACAAGTCAACAGAAACCCCTTCGACCGTCCTACAGCAGACGTGCTTCTTTCACAACATCCGTTCTGTGAACTCGACCCAAACTACAACTTTTACGACACAGCATTGTACCACAGGATTAAGTCTTTCAAATAAGCAAGCTTCAAATATGGATTGAAATAGGGTAGAAAATGCACTTCGAACTTTCTTCTTTCGCATGTATTAGTGGTGGGTTTTGGGATTATACGCTTTTGAAGTACGAGAGCGACGGCGCATTATGGGATTACAGCTTTCGGGCTGATTGGCGTTATATATTTCTGGGGTAGAGTGGGGGTGAATGAAACGAACGGTTGGACGGTGATGGCCTTTCTTCATGCCCACGTGAATCAAGAGTCAAATGTATAACTCCTTAACTCTGGGGCGCATACTAAATGTTTAGAGGAACGGGCGACAGCTGGTCGTACGCATATCCACTTGCGGGTGATTCAGTATTGGGACTTGACAGGCTGCAGGTCATTTATCCATTCGTCAAAGGCTGCATATAACTGGGCTATGGAGCCTTTTCCTTAGTGACCCAATATCCCAACATACTACTAACCCCAGAGGCAAATGAGATGAATACCCTCCACTACTCTGATATCAGCACAGCTTGTACAACTGGCCTGCTCAAGTTCGATCTAGAACACAGAGCCCAACATCCAAGTTGTGTCCCTACTAGACTCTCGCATGGGGTCCAGGGTTTCCGGAATAGAAATCATGTTGCTTTGGAGGCGAGGGGTAGGGATTGTGCGGGTACTGCGATCGGTTTGGTGGCTCTTGGCCATTCTGAGGATAAGCGACTCCGTTGTGTTCTTGCTCCTTGGGGGCAGGAGTGTAATAGAACAAACGGGGTCCCCGGCCCGTTCTGTCTTCTGCCTCCCAGCATATCTGTTGTGGCTGTAGTGGAGGGAGTCTCCGTTCACTGATCCAGCGGTTGGCGAGCCGTGGTTCGGGAATTTCAGGGCGCTTCGGAGGTTCAGACAAAAAGTCGAAGACCTTTTGTGGAGGAGTTGCTTCTTGAAGTCTCGGGTCGATAGCCAGTGTCTCTGAAGACGCGGTTCCATTGTCGTCGAGTATGGGGAAGCGCTCGTTGTTTTTTCCGACAACCTCCTGAAAACTAGATGACCATCTCGCATCCATGACACCTAGAAGTCTCGGTTCCAATACTTCTACAAGGTTTTCTTTGCAGAATTGTGTTTCGTGGTCTTTTCTGAGTGCTGGTGGTTTCCAACAATGATACTTGGCCTCTTCCGGCTGTTCAGCAGCATTTTGTTGAGGAGATTCAGGGTCTGGGTCTGGGTTGTTGTCAGCCATGGCGGGTGGGAAATTGCTATACCATAACATTATTAGTATCAGTCGAGTGTTCAAAGTCTATGTTCAATATTCTTAATGCAACGGCGGGTTTAATGGTGGTCTGGATGCAATGTTGAGGATGTCATGTGGACGACTATCAGAATATGGCGGTAGTAATGGCTACCTACCTAGATAGGATGGAAAAGTGAAGGTGATAAAAAGGAAGTCATCTTACCTTGAATTTCGACTGAAAAGGGCAGTAGCGACGGGTGGTTGAAATGTTTGAAGGGGATGTCAAGTCAAGAAACAACGGCAGGAGTAAGATTCCAGTAGTCCAGAATAAAAGACTGGACAAAGTCAGTGGTCGCTTTTCCGTATCCCATAAAGTCAAAAGCTCAGGGATAACTGTGTCAATAGCAGATCACGCTCTCACCCGCTTGTTTAGCCCTATGTCTGGCGAACATAGTAACCTACTTGGTAAGTGACCAAGATTAACTCTTAAGATCCTAGCAGTCTCATTCTTAAATTATATAGATGGACCCTCTGGATATTGGTTGGCCCTAAGGATGGCAACGCAGTTTCCCTATTACCATAAATCCTTCAACGTTGAATGTCGACCCCTTTACGAGTGACTGGAACTCGTCGGGCATGAAAACTATCGCGACCGAAGATTCGGTGACTTTTCTTCAACAGTTCTACACTTTGCTGTGAATACCTGGAGTGACGCATAGCTAGGATAACGCATTAATATTGCTAGTGTACATATATGGCCACTGTAGATATATGGCCCCCTTCAACACTCAGTGGTAGATGAGAACAGCCCAAACATGGATGAGCACATTCATCTTGACGGCATCTAGCTTCATTTTCTAGTATTCCATACCCTCATTCCTTATTCTCTGCTCTCCTCGTCTTCCCAGCCTGTCCCTTTCCAGGTGCAGACTCGAATTTGGCTTTCCACACATCTTCCTGCTTGAACATTGTGACACACTCAGACGCACTTGGCTGGCCATACTCAGGATCTGCTCCTCCATCAAGCAACTCCTTTTACAGGGTTTTGGTTAACACAGTAAGAACTATACAGTAGAAAGTTAACTCACTTGGATCACAGCATCTTCCTTCTTGAAAACTGCGCCTGCAAGGGGGCTCTGCCCCCGATCATTCAAACGGTTGGGATCAGCTCCGTGCTGAATGAGAACCTTGACCAGATCCGCATGACCATGGTAAGCTGCCAGCATAAGCTTTCCATTGTCAGTATGGGAGTTCTCAGCTACGGTAGTGGAGTTACGCTGAAGTGTCATACCAGAGTATCGCCCTTATCATTTGTGAGGTTAGGGGGCAGGCCCGCAGGGAGAGCTTGCTCAAGGGTAGCTACGTCGCCTTTCCTAGCAGCATCGTACATTCTACTGGCGAAATCGATCATCTCAGGGGTGAGAGAGCTCGCACGGTGAGGCTGATTCGAAGTTTCTTCGCTCATGGTTTCGGTGATGCTCGCCTTGAGGCTAGTGAGAGCAGAAAGTTCTAGAAGCGAAAAGAATAGAGTAAGGTTTAGCTGACGTGTCAGAATTCACAACAAAGTCAATTTTTTCGTTCGTGGTGCGGAAGATGTTGATGGTGGATTTGAGAAGACCTGTGATGAGATGAGGTTGTTGTATACAATGACGTAGAGTATCATAATCAAAACACCAGTAGGCGGGCTTCACCAACTAGCTCTATAGTAACGGTAGAAGCAATTAGGCATGGATGTTTAACAGTAGAGAGGCCATACTTTTTTCTTTGCATCGGTTCATGGCTCGCACGTTTCAAAGGACCTTGATGGACTTTTTCAAATAATTTGCATTCACAATTTGTACCTGTTGCCTCCCAATATGACCTTCAGTGTCCGTGGTCCAATACCTAACCTAGACGTGTACAATAGGTTTAACCTAATCACTCAAAGAAAACCCAATAGTCAAACAAATCAAAATCACGGCAATAATCAACAAAGAGAAGGAAAAATAAACAGAATCGCAATGCAATCTCGTACAGTGGGATGATTGTTGTATCCCCCGCCTTCATACCAAAAACGCCATGGAAAGCCAGAGCATCTCATCAATTTGATCCATGCTAATCATCTCTGATCAGTCAAGAAACAATATTTCTCATCTGGAATCCTACCATAAAACAATAGATATTGGTTAATAATCAAATTCTGCTGTATTTACTGCAGATAATCGGTAATTCCATCATCGCCTGGCACGTCTGGTTCATTCGGAATGACAGGCGGGTCTGGTTTTGGTGTCTCAGGACGATGCGCAACGTCAGTAACTGGATTCATTGTAATGATCAAACAGATTTCGTTGTTTTGAATGATATTGTAGGTCTTGGAAATGTTTACACATCAAAGTTACAGAGATGGAGATGGAGAAGTGTGGTATATAAAACCTCTAAATAAATCAACTAATGGCGCGGGGGCGCGTTACGTTACGTCAGGCTTCGGTGAGCCATTCATTGGAGGATTTAAGTCAAAAGACATGCAGAAACGTTCGGTTTCTGTTTCTGGGGAAGCATTCCATTTATTGCCGCTCGGGGTTTTAAGAGCGTCACAGTTGGCTATGACGATGGGTGATCATGCCACACTACCTAGATACAGTATAATATGGTCCAATAGATAGATCAATAAGAGTACCCTCAAAAGGGCCGTTATCTTTACCACAGGGCATGGCAAGTCTTTAAATACTGATTTATGGTTAAATACTGAATGCGGGGGAAATGGACTTATAGACGTTGATACCACATGTTTGCTTCTTCCCTACGACCATGGATAATCGCATGCATTGACTTCTCTACCGTTGCAAATGGGGTAAGTAAAACATTACCCATCAGCGTTGCGAACCCTGGGCTGATCCATAGACTGCTCATGATAACATGTGATTCCAGCCTCACTACATCATAACAATTTCCATTAACAGAGCATCTTTTCATTGTTACTCGCATATTCATCCATGGCAACAGATAAAAAGCAAATGCTCAATTTCTGTTAAACAAAACCGATGCTCTAAAAATGACTCGGCTCAGATCATATCAGATCATATCAACCTGCAACGTCTGACAGGGGCATGGACAGGGACAATAAACAAGGATCCGGAAATCCAATTGGTCTCATTCCCAACACAGAAGAAACTTGATACAGCCTGTCGTTTGAGGACGAGATCAGCACTTGAAGGCTCAAGATCCGCCAAAGACCGCTTTTCTTCAGCCCTTGGTCTAACGACATATGGTATGATATGATATATTATGATGTTGCTGTCGTGTACCGTAGCCAGCCCGTGTTATACACCAATTTTGGTATTCTCTTCTGCAAGCCCTACGTGAAGCAACCCTATGAACCACAGAGATGGGAATAACACGCCGGAATGGGATTCTGAAAAGTTACCCATCGCGGCGAGGTTCTTTCCCAATTCTCATCGTTATCCTTTAAGGTTGGTTGGTGGCTGAACCAAAGCACGATCGGATCCGGCGGGAGTCGGAGTCTTTAGCTTAGGACGGACTGGACGGGAGAATAATGAGGGGTAGCTTGTTTCTCAAAACAGCTCTCACCTCTCATACAGTAAAGTAACTTACTATCCACGTCTCATGGCAATTTCCCAGCCAGTACTCTGTAAATAAATCGAGATTAAATTTTCAAGCTGGTACCGGCTGAGGTTCCCTTGATGGGCCCTTCGATAGTAAGCTCGAATCCTTTCCCCTCATCCTTTGCGGATCGCTTTCGCGAAGGACGTAATATCAGATCAGGGTCGAGCGGGTGTCGTGCATGGGGTCCATGGAACTAGACGCTCATCAGTACAGTACAACTGTATGTATGTATGTAGCTTCGGTCACATCGGATAAGACGAGAACGACGCAAAAGTCAAAAACCCAAAAGATCCCTTCTCCTCAGCGAGCAACAAACACCCTTGCTGGAAGGGCGTGTCCGGAGAAGGCATGGTCAAGAGGGACAGAAACTTCGCATGTAAGGAGACAAGTGGATAGGACATTGAATCATAGCATCTCATCTATTCCCCAGAAAGCTCAGAACCAAGAGAGGTCCTTGTTGATCGACTGGAGAGACAGGGAAAAGAAGGAGTAGCGATTGACCATAAGGAGACCGAAAGAGACGAAGGATAATGCAAGAGGGTTTTGATATGACCTCAGAAGTCGGGGGTTCAGCGACCCAAAGTATGCAACAACTCGGTCAGGCCGTTGGGTTGGTTCGTTTCGAGGTGAGTTGATTTGGACGAGACGAGACGAGACGAGACGAGACGAGAAGGTGACGAAGCACCGGCGCAACGTGCGTAACCCTACGTTGCAGCAGTCAGGTAGTACAGACTGCATGAATTATCAAAAATCATAAAGCATGCCACAAAATATGACTCTTTCAGAGTTTCCCAGTTCTTTGGTCGTCTCCATGAATCCAATCGGCTGGTCGACGGTCAATTCGGGCTGCATTTCAGACCACCAACACGGCATGTCGGGTGAGTTCCCCCCGGCCATCTAGAGAATGCGAGGTCAGATTTGGTGCTGTCATGACGATTAGAGAGGAAGGGCAATTCTCGTGAAATTGAGGCTAGGGTGAAGTATCATGACATTGCCTCGAATCTTTTTTAACATCCGATCTTGGACCAGCCACAGTCGGTACTTGGAATGAGGGTCTGGATACCTCCTGCCCATACTGCATAGACACGCCGAGGCAGGTACTGCATCGATACGGTCTTGTACTTGCGGCAAGAGCAGCCGTCTAAACCGTAAGCAGGACTCCACCAGCGGCCGGGTCCTGCCACTGAGACTTTCTACTCTCTCCTCCTCCCGTCTTGGTCTCGATCCTGCAGTGGATTTCTACAGTCAACACCAACATCCTTGTCCCTGTCGAATTCTAATTCTTCCCCCCCGGGGCCCCAATCAAAAGCTCCCCATTCTCCAGCTTCGTCCCCTGCTTGTCAGATGTCAAACGTATCCTGCAAGCTCGAGCCCTGCAAATTCGGTCATCTTACCTATTGATTATGCCGCTGCGAAAGACCCTCGAGTGTTAACCAGAAATAAGGCCCGACTAGGCAACATGCCATCTGTCTTGGGGGGCTTGTTTCAACATGTCGGTTTTATCCTCGCGAATCAGATGCTATCAATCATCATTGTCACTGAACAGTACTGCCAACCAGACTGTCTAGGCCAGCCTCGGATCTGCGAGTTCAGCCGCAATCTGAAAGAGTTGCGACACTGTTTCTCATCTACGATTGACTTTAGTAGTGATTACTGTCCTCGTACCTTGAGCAATAATTTGCTCTGGTTAAGGTAGTGATTTACTTACACAGGGAGGTGGCGCTAGCCATGCCGTGCCTGTCGGTGGCTGCAAGAAACATTATCAAAATGTATCAGACCACTTTCCTTCAACAACAAGCGTCACCAGTCAGAGACTCAAAACGTGTCAAGACTATCCACATTTTTACTCTTTCTTGGCTAATATCAATTTACGGATGGATGGCTGTTATGGCTATGTACCAACATTCAAGCTAGGCATGGCATGGTCTGCTATCTAGACTGATCCTCCTTTGTCCAACTGATACCGCAGACCACTTCGCTGCCCATCCCATTCCCGTGCTCTCTTGTCCGGTCCGTCTTCCTGGTCCTCGTCCGCTCTTGAGTGCCCCTTGGGGGATAGACGGCGGAACGTCCCCCACGCGCGCCACTATCTTGCCCATCTGTGAGGTGCTGTTCTGCGTTTGCGTCTAAGCCGTCCAGTTACAGTTACTACCTGTCGTGCCATGCCATCCGTTACGATGGATAGTTTACGTCCACGCCCTCAGCCGTGCAAACATTATCCCTTCTTTGCCCGTTTTCATTTGGATCACCGTTCTACTGTAACCTCTGCTGATCTCGTCAACGGCTGTCTATCCATACCTACCTACGTAAGGTAGCTCCATGGACAATGGATCATTGGTTTGACCTACCCAATCTGCGGCGAAGAGCTCAAACTAAGCCTGTTAGATACTGCAATAGGTCAGGTACGAGAGGCAAGGTAGGTATAGTCTTTCCTCTTTCACCGCACTCCCCGTTATACTGTATGTCCAGCTCTCTACGTTTCCTCCTTCTTGGCGACCCTTCTGGCTCCTCATATAAGAAGTCTTGGGAGCTCTGCACATAATCCTCTTTTCTTCTTCCCTTCCCATCTCTCATCCGAAGAGTTCACCTCACTTACAACTCTTATACAACCTCATCTCTCATATACCCTAATACTTCCCACCAATGTCGGAGGAAGTCAAATCCATCTCGCCCTTTGGCGTTGCTCGTTCAACTGTCAAGGGCGAGCCCCTCTCCAAAGAGGATATTCAGCAGTACAATGATTTTTTCAAGGCCAGCTGCTACCTGTCCCTGGGTATGATCTATCTCAAGGAGAACCCTCTTCTACGAGAACCACTCAAAGCCGATCATCTCAAGCTTCGATTGCTCGGTCACTTTGGCTCTGCTCCAGGCCAGATCTTCACATATATGCACTTTAACCGTCTGATCAAGAAGCACGATCTTGACGCTCTCTTCATCTCTGGTCCTGGACATGGTGCTCCTGCTGTCCTCTCTCAATCCTATCTTGAGGGTGTCTACTCTGAAGTCTACCCCGACAAGACCCTTGATGATGAGGGTATGCAAAAGTTCTTCAAGAGCTTCTCATTCCCTGGAGGAATTGGTTCGCATGCCACTCCCGAAACTCCCGGATCCCTTCATGAGGGTGGTGAGCTAGGATATTCTATCTCGCACGCTTTCGGTGTTGTCTTCGATAACCCCAACCTCATTGCTCTTACCATGGTTGGTGATGGTGAGGCTGAGACTGGCCCTCTTGCTACTGCCTGGCACAGCAACAAATTCCTCAACCCCATTGTTGATGGTGCTGTCCTGCCTGTTCTTCATCTCAACGGCTACAAGATCAACAACCCTACTGTCCTTGCCCGAATCTCCCACCGAGAACTTGAATGCCTCTTCATTGGCTACGGCTGGCAGCCATACTTCGTCGAGGGTGATGACATCGAATCTATGCACCAGGCAATGGCCGCTACTCTCGAACACTGCGTGGACGAGATTAGAAAAATCCAGAAGGAGGCTCGCGATTCTGGCGACGCCCAGCGACCTCTGTGGCCCATGATCGTTCTCCGAAGTCCCAAGGGATGGACCGCTCCCCGCAAGGTCGACGACAACTACTTGGAGGGCTACTGGCGTGCTCACCAGGTTCCTATCTCAGACCCCGCTACCAACCCTGCTCACCTCAAGGTCCTCGAGGACTGGATGCGAAGCTATGAGCCTGAACGTCTATTCGATGACAAGGGTGCACCTATTGCATCCATCCGTGCTCTTGTCCCTGAAGGCAACCGACGAATGAGCGCCAACCCTGTTGCCAACGGTGGTCAGCTCAGGAAGCCCCTGAAGATGCCCAACTTCAGAGACTATGCCATCAAGGTCGATAGCCCCGGAAATGTTATGAACGCCAGCATGACCAACATGGCTGTCTTCCTCAAGGACGTCATTGCCGCCAACCAGACCAACTTCCGTCTCTTTGGCCCCGATGAGACCGAGTCCAACAAGCTCGGCGGTGTCTACGCTGCTGGCAAGAAGGTCTGGATGGGCGAGTACTTTGAAGAGGATGCTAACGGCGGTAACCTTGCAAAGGCTGGACGTGTTGTTGAAATGCTTTCTGAGCACAACTGTGAGGGTTGGCTCGAGGGTTACCTCCTGAGTGGTCGACACGGTCTGCTCAACAGCTACGAGCCTTTCATCCATGTCATTGATTCTATGGTCAACCAGGTACGTAACTCGCATGGTTAAATTTGTAACCCCTACTGATCATTCATATAGCACTGCAAATGGATTGAGAAGTGTCTTGAGGTTGAGTGGCGAGCCAAGGTTGCCTCTCTCAACATCCTCCTGACTGCTGTTGTCTGGCGACAGGACCACAACGGTTTCACACACCAGGATCCCGGTTTCCTGGACGTGGTCGCAAACAAGAGCCCCGAGGTCGTCCGCATCTACCTTCCCCCTGATGGCAACTGTTTGCTTTCTGGTATGTTCCGCTTCTGATCTCTGCAATATGGCTTAACTAACCTGTCACAGTTATGGACCACTGTCTTCGCTCTGTCAACTACGTCAATGTTGTCGTTTCTGATAAGCAGGAGCATCTCCAATACTTGTCCATGGATGCTGCCATTGAGCACTGCACCAAGGGTATTGGTATCTGGCCCCAGTTCTCTACCGACGCCGGACAAAACCCTGACCTTGTCATGGCCTCTTGTGGTGATATCAGCACTCACGAGTCTCTGGCTGCTATCGATCTCCTGCTCGAGCACTTCCCCGACCTCAAGATTCGCTGTGTCAACGTTGTTGATCTCTTCATGTTGATCCACCCCAGCGACCATCCTCATGGCCTTACCGATTCCGAGTGGACCAGTCTCTTCACCGAGGACACACCTGTTATCTTCAACTTCCACAGCTACCCCTGGATGGTGCACCGTCTGACATACAAGCGCCCTGGTAGCCGCAACTTGCATGTTCGTGGCTACAAGGAGAAGGGCAACATCGATACTCCTCTCGAATTGGCCATCCGTAACCAGACTGACCGCTTCAGTCTGGCCATTGATGCCATCGACTGGATGCCTCAACTCCACAACCGTGGTGCTTCAGCTCGCCAGGCTCTCCTCAATGCCCAGATCCAGGCCCGTAATGAAGCCTTCGAGACAGGCATGGACCCCGCCTTCCTCAAGAACTGGACCTGGAAGCGCAATGGCCTGTGGAAGAAGGTTAGTGAAGGCCTGGTTTCACGATAATGTATACACCAATATGTTATAAAGGTCGACTAGAAACGGATGTGACGCTTCGCTAGAAATCTATTACGGATACAAAAGATTCTGGACGGAAAGATTTAGACGAAAGAAACACAAAAAACAAGACGGTGGGCGTTGCTGGATGGTCGGTTGTTATCATGTTACCAAGACGTCATGAAGTTATTATTTCCTTTGCTCTCCTTATCAACCTCTATAGTTATGTAGTTCGAATGGCTTTAAAAGAGTTACCACGAATCATCTTAACCCCTGACTGCTTCTCGCCGCATATGATACTGCACCATACCAAGATCAGGAAACTCAGTCGTTCCAACAACCTCGAATCCAAACTTCTCATACAATCCTTTGCCCTCATGAGAGCTATTGAGATATGACATCCAACCTTCAGCATCAGCCCGCTCAACACCGAATTTCATCAAGGCAGACCCTACTCCCCGTCGCTGCCCCGCCTTTGCCACAGCAATCGTACTCAAGAACCAATGCTTTTCTCCTGCGACATACTTGATCGTTGCATTGTTGTTCAGCTGAAAGAAATGCCTCGCAGTTTCCTGGTCTCCTGAAGAAGGAAACGATTCCCGTTCAAGATTTTTGGCAGCCGGAGGGTGTTCTCTGCGAACCCAGCGAGCCCAGCCGAGGATACGGGAGTCTTGTTCAGCAACGATCACGTTATTGTCATTCTTGTCATCGATGGTTTCTCGAATGAATTCCTCTTGCCATGCTACTACTTCTGGAGACGATTCAGGGAAGCAGCGCTTGTTGAGGGTTGAGTCAGAGAATGCGGAAAAGAAAACCTCGACCATTTGGGGAAGGTCATCGGATGTTGCTGAACGAGTAGTTATGGAAGACATGATTGCGGTTGATGAGTATAAGAATGTCAATTGATGGAGATGTAGACGGAAAGTATTAATTGAAGCCGGGATCTTGAATTGGTTGTAGAATTAAGGTAAGGGCTAGCCAATAGAATGAGTCACGCCGGTCTGTCCTGCATATTGAGGTTCGAGAATGAAGCAAAATCTGGGTATACACCAATCATTCTATATTCGAAGTGTTGATTAACGGACTGTAGTTTATGATTCGCTAAATGTCTCGAAACAACTATATTCTCTAACTATATAACGCCCTCTCAGTATTCCCAAGGTTAATCCCGACTCCATAAACGCCCCCAAATATCTGTTTTATCCATCGCCGTGCTATATCACTTTAAACAGCGTATTCTTTACAAAATCTACAGAGCCTTGACAGACTGGAAGAAAGGGTTTGCCTGCAAGTCTTTGTTTGCCCCGACAAGCTCCTTCAGAGCAGCAACTTGCTCCTCTCGGCTCATACCACCCGCCTTGACCTTGTCCTTCCACTCCACCAGGACTCGCTTCAGCATGGCACTACCATCCTCCATGTCCTGTTTGCTGTACTGCAAGGCCAGATCTTCGTGCTTGGTAGTAAAGTCCTCAAGCTCGTCGGCCTTGCGCTTGGCCATGCGGACCACCTTGTCTGGGAAGCGGACCAGCTCAGCAACGTGAATGCCGAAACTCTGGTCGCACACGCCGGGTGCCACCTTGTACAGTAAGGTCACTTCCCGTTTGGCATCCGCTTCCGAAGCTGCTGCGTCAGTGCCGCCGATGTGCGCCGTGACGTGAAGGTTCTGCACCTGGGGGTACTGTTCGGCAAGGGCTGTGAGTTCGTGGAAATGAGTAGCAAACATGGCAGAGCAGCCAATTTCCTTAACAATGTGCTCCGAGATTGCCCATGCCAGACCAAATCCATCGTAGGTCGATGTGCCGCGTCCGAGCTCGTCAATAATGATCAAGGACTCCGAGGTAGCTGACTTGAGGATATTGGCTGTCTCAAGCATCTCGGCCATAAAAGTCGAAACGCCCTTGAGCTGGGAGTCGCTTGCGCCTACACGAGCCAGAATTGAATCGTAGATAGTCAACTCGGCCTCTGCACATGGCACAAAACATCCAACCTGAGCCATAAGAGCGATGACACCAGTTTGTCGAATATACGTCGACTTACCGCCCATGTTGGGACCGGTAATAATAAGGAACGAAGACTTATCGCGCGTAAGCTCAATATCATTGGTGATGAATTGAACATCATCTTGAAGCTCCATACAAGGGTGACGAGCCTCGCGAAGTATCGTTTGGCCCTCGCCACGAGCATGAATCTTGGGTCGGACATAGGACTCAGGAGCATGCACTGAGGCGTGAGCGAGAGAAACAATCACGTCTAAATGAGCAAGCACACCAGCAAGTCGTTCCAGAACGGGACAGTAAGAGGAGGCAACCTGAACAACTTCATGGACGAGGCTGCTTTGCGTCCTGTTGTAATTTTGAGACAGCTGGTCGTACTCGCGTCGGTAGGCTTGCAACTTTTTGGTAGTGAAGTAGACACCGTTCTTTTGTGTCGAGCACTCCTGGTATTTGGAGTTGTTTCGGATGCAGCCAGCCTCCTGTCGCGTAAGACGCATGCACACTCCATGAACCTTGTGGCTAGTCTCGAGGAAGATCTTCTTGTCTGCCTCCTGGCCTAGGTCCTTGGCGGCGGCTATGAACTCGGCTCGAATATCCTTGTCGAGCTGGTCTAGCTTCTTACGAATAACACGCAGGCTCTTGTCGAAATCGGCCTTGATGATGTATTCATGGCGATCAAGAGCATCGAGATCGACTGTCTGCTCTACCATATCCTGCAGTTTGCCCAAACTATCAGAAAGGTCGCGAAGCTTGGTAGTGTACGCTTCGTCGAGGGGATCTTTGTAATTCTCATCCATGACACCTTCGAAAGTACCGATAAACCCAGGTAAGCGGATGACAACTTGGTATGCACGAACGACGTCCTCCAAATTGGCCTTGCCTCGTTGAAATCGTTTTGAGAGTCTGTAAAGATCAGGAATAGATCGAAGGTGCTCTTCTTGTAACATTTGGCGAAGTTCAGTATCGACATAGAAAGCTTCCACCAACTGCTGGCGCTTTTCGATCTCATTCTTGCTCATCAAAGGCTGCTTCAACCATTGTGCTAGAAGTCTGCTGCCAACTGGTGTCTTGCAGTGGTTCAGAACGCCAAAGATACTCATCGTCTTGGATCCATCTCGAGGACCTGGCATGAGGTTGAGGGCCTTGAGCGCAGCTGCATCGAGCTTCATAAAGTGCGCCAGGTCATGCTGGTACAGTTGGTACTGGCCAAAGTTGGAAGGGTCTTGTAGAACGCCGAGGTACTTGATGAGAGATGCTGCGGAGCCCATGGCGAGCTTGAGGTCTGTTTGTGGTAGTAGAGATGCTGATCGTTCGTCTTTGAGTAAGCGTGCCAGGTCCTGTTCGATATCTCGAATGCCGAAGTCGCCTGCTGGTCTCTCTGCGATGGCGACACCGCAGTTGTCGATGATCTTCTTCAACTTGGCCAACTCAGGATCCTTCTCCTTGTCGTCCTTCTTTTCACCCTTGTCGACTTGCACCAAACATTCACGAACACCAAGCTGAATAAGGAGTGCCTCAAAGTTGGAGTATAGGTCATTGTCGAGAAACTCGCTGACGCCCAGTTCTCGTACGCTAGCATCGGCAAAGCAGACGCCAACGTTGCGAGCTTCGGAAGCTTTTGCTGAGATCTTGACTGCGAGAATCATAGGGGCAGACTCAATCTGGCCTCCTAAATCATCCTCTACATCTTGGAGGTTGCCTGGTGACGCTTGCTTGATGCACTTCCAGTTCATGCGGCCGGAAGCGCTCTGCCAAATCTCGATTCGCTTACCCAACTTGAGTAGGGCTTCTCGTAGGAATTGTCGGAACACGGTCATGGTCATGGTGACTGAGGGCAGTCCGGTGTGGTCATTTCGGCCGAGCTGTCGTACAACAGAAGTTGTCTTATAGACCTGAAGCATATAATTAGGATTGTGATGGATACATCTGGGACGACTACTTACAGTCTTTGCGATATAGTTGGCATCTTGGCCATGAGAAGTGTACCAATCTCCTCGGTCAAAGATGCGGATTGTGTCTTCGTTAACGGCTGGTAGAGACTTGAAGAAGCGAATGAAACCGCCTTCGTCATCGAGCTGAACATAAAATTAGCAGGAGAACTAAAGCAGTAATTGAATACTGATAATTACCTTTAGCTCTGGTCGTGAAGCCATAATGAACGTCTTTTAGGCCTGTGAAACTTCAGATTGCAAGTCGAGAATGTAGGGTCCTAGTAAAAGTGCCTGGGAGAAGGATGTTAGAGGTTTAGGTCGCGTCATTAGGTCGCGCATTGCCCGGGAGACGCGTTTTTAGTGGGCTCTCAATTAAAATGGTGACGCGAGATCATGGCCTTTGCATAACCTGCATAATATTATGCTTGTCGATACTCTGAAGCATGATTGGTCAAGAGCTTATCAGCTGGCGGACACCAGTAAAGTCGAGTTTCACAATTGATGGATTGCCTTTTCTCATATCGCCATATATCAGGTGCAGAGTCAAAGAATCTATTCGTGATGTCTCTTTCGCATCCTCGACAAACGTCTCGTTATAGTTTCGGTTCAATTCAAACATGTTCAGTCCAAGGCTTGAGCTTTGGCCTTTCTAGCTGACACGATACGCGGCCACAATACCTAAATCAGCAAAACACATCTTAATTCAGACATCGAGGGAGCGCCATATCAATATCACAAGACATTTCAGACTCATTCGGGCTCTTGAATCTTGGACCCTGCATCCAATAAAGGCCGCGCTATCAAATCTTCAGCTGAGATGGTTCACCATCAGTCAGCCTCAATCAGCCACAGGTTCGAGATACTCGCTCTATCGATGTCGTAGGCTGTGATTGATTAACAGCTCGAGCATGATTTCTCCGCTATGCGATATTTCTTTCAAGGCGCTGCAGGGATGGGATGGCTGAATCACTGCCGATCCTCTCCCTCATCACAGTTCACCTGATATATCCGTATATTCTGACGAGTTGGTCGTTCCAAGGCTCAGAGCCCCGAACTATCATCCGCAGGCCTGGCAGCAGTGAAGGCTCCCACATTGGCTGGCTCGCTAATTAGATCGATGATGGAGTTGGAGAACAAGAGTCTTTTTAACCTTGTTTTTAGCTCCTACTATGTGGGGATTCCGCAGAGTTTTGTATCAGAGCCGCATCTTCAAGAGAAGAGAGGATCTCCAAGTTGAAGAAACCTAGCTTTGCTCAACCGGACCAATGACGAGATATTTGCAGTCGCCTCTCAGCCTGTTTTCGAATCACAACTCTTCAAAAAGAGAAATATCGACAACACGTGCGCTCGAGTCTCAGTGATATATCAAATTGTGCTTGGATTTTCGAGTCTTGGCGACAGGGATTAAAGGCTCGACATTGTCCATCCGGGTTCTCACAGCAAACCCAAAATGGTAATCTCCCGCTCGATAGTGGCTCAAAGCCATCAAGGTCCTCGCAGCCAATCCACTCTATTTGCTCCAGCAGAAGCAAGAGTAGGTAGCAGTAGGCAGGTATCTTGGACCTTCTCCCAGTGGCAATGGACCGATAAACGAGAAGAGTTTGAGACATTAACTTTGTTCTCCCGCTTTCTCTCCCTCAAAGAAATATAGAGATACCCCGACTTCTTCCCAAAAGTATCTTTGCTGTCATTTTCCAACAACCCTTGTGGCCAGTTTCAAATCTCAATTCTCTTTCCATTGGCCTCTTGACAATTTAAGCATAAATCCTGCTTGTTTGGACGTGTCTCCCCGGCTATTCCGTGCCGTAAACAATAGCTAGCAGGCTCGAATCGAAACAAAAACGGAACAAAGCGAAGATCTTCGGCCGTCATCCGTCTCTCGATATGTACGCTTCCGCTTTGTCCCTCGCCAAATGGGGCGTCGTCTTCTCTGCGGCTTCTGCAGCTGCTGGCAATGTCCATATTGCTCCTAGAGCTACCCAGGCCCCCTCAAGCACAGCAGCTGCGCCAGAGGTCACTGCTATCACAGGGTGCCACCTCCACGCCTCAGACCTGTTAGTGAATACTTGGCTTGTTTCGAGACTAAGGCACTGGCGGCTAACCTCGCGCTTAGATACTGTTTCGCTGGTAAGACAGAGTACCTAGTGGACATCAAGGTCACTGCCACTACCGATGTTCCTTCTCAATACACTGACTGCCACTCTCATGGCTCTGATACGTAAGTCCTAGAGCTGCGAACGATTAGTGGCCACTATTAACTCATACTCTTTAGGTTCTGTGTGGACTCGGATGGTGAAGATGTTTCTGTCAAGGCTGAAGGTGCCGAGTCTGAAGAGAAGGACACTCATAAGGAAGGTGAAGAGGAACATGGCCACGACCATAGCCATGAAGAAGGCGCGACCGAAACTGGATCCGCTGATAAGGCAGCTGATAGCAACCAGCATTGCCATTTCCATGCTGGTGTTGAGTAAGTTGCATAACTGACAACCCATCGACGATAACTAATGAATCTTCATAGACACTGTACAGGCGGAAGCGGCCACGGTGAGACGAGCGAGGCAGAGGCTGGTCCTGGCTCTTCAGCTTGCCAACCTCGCAGAAGAGACTACGATGTTGGTCTCCGTGTCGGTCTTCTCTTCGTTATTCTGGCCACCGGTGCCTTGGGTGTCTTTGGGCCTATCTTATTGCACAAGATGATGCCCAGCAAACTAAACGTCGTCCTCATCGTGCTGAAGCAATTCGGTACTGGTATCATCATCTCTACCGCCTTTGTTCACGTATGTAAAGCCCTTGAAATCATGTCAAATTTACTAACTGATATCATTAGCTCTACACTCACGCATTCCTTATGTTCAGCAACCAATGCATTGGTGATTTGGGCTACGAGGCTACCACGTCAGCTCTCGCCATGGCCGGTATCTTCCTGTCTTTCCTCGTCGAATACATCGGAAACCGCGTTGTTCTCGCAAAGACAAAGGCATCGGCTGATCTCTCCGTGGCTGAGAGAAAGAACGCGTGGCTATCCACCGAAGTCTTCAGCGTTCTTGTTATGGAAGTTGGTATTCTGTTCCACTCTCTTCGTAAGTTCAACTTCTTGGTTCTGTCAACATGAGACCCTAACACAGTCCAGTCATCGGTTTGACACTCGTTGTCGCTGGCGATGAATACTTCCTCACTCTCTTCGTCGTCATTCTCTTCCACCAAATGTTTGAAGGCATCGCTCTCGGAAGCCGAATCGCTACTATCGGTACTGCTGCCGACACTCACGGTGCCGCCGTTCCTCGCACTTCTCAAGACACATCCTCCGCCCAAGACTCAGACAAGGCTCCCCCTGCGGCTACCGAGACCATTCCTAACGAGGAGATTGCCCCTACCGGTCTAACCATGAAGAAGAAGCTCGGTCTTGCTTCGCTCTTTGCCTTCATCACTCCTATCGGAATGGCCATTGGCATTGGTGTTCTGCAAAAGTTCAACGGTAACGATAAGTCCACCCTTATCGCCATCGGTACGCTCGACGCTGTCTCTGCCGGTATCCTCATGTGGGTTGGTCTTGTCGAGATGTGGGCTGCAGACTGGATGACTGGAGGACATGGTCACAAGGCTGAGCTTGCCGAAGCCAGCGCTCTCACTACCACCCTTGCGTTCATAGGCTTGGTTGCTGGTCTAGTAGTGATGAGTCTTTTGGGCAAATGGGCGTAAACTCGATATCTTGGTCTTTTTGTTCGAACTAAAAAGAACACTTGGGTATGGAGTTCGGTATTGTGCATTTACGGAGTTGGTTGGGAACACATGCAGCAAATTCTGCTCTGTCGACAAATGTTAAAGCGACAAACTGCGCAGATCTATACGAAAAAAGGTGTTACGATGAGATATAGAATAGGCACGTAGACAATGATGAATAATGTCTCTACTTATACCCTCAGTTCGTGACCAGCTCGATTATGGATTGTTAATTTTCAAATTCAACAAACACCATGTAGATTATCCCCTTCTCGGCTACCCTTTAATTAAGCCTTGCCAAGACTCGGCATCTGGTACCGCGGTGCCCTGTACGTCAAATTCGAGCTGCGTGTATCGTTATACGGCAGCACCTGTATACTGCTATCCACAGGTCTGTACATGACGTCCCAGTGATCCGAGATGTTTGGATTCCCATATGGTCTCAGGGCCGCAAATCTCATGCTACACCGTCAGTGCGTACTCTGATCTCATTAATTGTATCACTTACGTGTAGTTTCCTGGCGAAATCCTTGTGCCGTTGGCGAGTTTACCGAACCACCAAAAGACATGAAAGCCGCGCGGTTCTCGTTTGAGAGGAAAGGGCACTGTGTCGTTAGGGTCATTGATGGAAGGGTCGAAGAACCAGAACTCTTCAGCATCTCGCATCGTTGTCGCGGAGCCGACGTATCCATACTCGCCAATACGAGGGGGATAGGTCCATAGCGATTCTGTCCAGCCTTGTTCAAATATCTTGCACTTGTTAGACAGACAGAAGCCTGACGTTCAGACGGGGTACTCACATCCCATCTAAGGTTGTGGCAAGCGTATGACAGCCTGCCACCAACCTCAATAAAATCATTCGGATCCTTGTCGATATTAAAAGACCAACTATCATATATGTTAGAGAAGCACAAGGCTATGCTGGGTTTCTTACGTCAAGTCTTTGTTGGGATCAGTGACGAATGGTTCAACAATAAACATGTTGTCGAATGCCTTTTCTGTATCATATGCGGCTCCTATACCAGGTATTAGAGGGAAGGAGAATGGGAATCCACGTCAAGGATGACGAACCTCCGTATGGAATGGATAACTTTTCGCCATGGTCAGAAATGATCCATACCTTGCCTCCATACAATGGCAGGTAATCGTCATCTACATCGGGGAGACCGAACCTGACACTGAAACTATAAGCTGGTGGTTGCTTTGGGGTAGAAAGGAATGTTACCTCAGCTCTCTTGTTTCTCCTGGCTCAATGAAGACCGTATGAGGGAGTCTGACAGGAGGAACGATGTTCTTTGGTTCAATACCATATAGTAGAGAAACCCCATAGTTCGCATCATAGATATCAAAGCCTGCCTGGGGCTCGAGCTTGAAGTGATATCTATGCGTCCTCCCACCAGTATTGGTGATGTTGAACCTCCAATGTGGTTTGAATAATTCGGTGTCTTTGAGCGCAAAAGGCTCGTATTCAAGCTGTGTGTCGTAGTTGAGAACTTTGAATGCGTCGACCAACCCAGTGCCGACTTGAAATGGCGGGGACTTGAATTTTCGAACGAGATGGCTGTTTACAAATGGTAGACTTTTCCCACTTGATGCAATACGGTCTCGAAGCATCTTGCCCAGTCCAGCGCCATTGAAAGCACGCCCACCGTATTCTCCAATGAACAAGGCCGCAATGCCTGCTATGTATGGCGCAGACATCGATGTCCCACTCAATTCTTCATAGCTCTGATTCAAGACGGTGCTCGTTATGTCAAAACCCGGAGCAGCGATATCGGGCTTGAGGAGCAACTCGTTAGTTGGTCCCCAGGTGGTGAAGTATACAGGCATTGGTCCATAATCCTCGCCGGTTTTGTTAGCATTGGGCTTCGTGGTAACATTTACAGCGGCCACGGCAAGAACACCGTGACCGACAGCACCGCTACTTGAGTAGAAAGGCCCAAACTCCCCTTCGTTACCAGCTGATGCGATTACCACAACTCCTCTGTCGACTAGTCGACTGGCTAGCACGGCCCAAGGGTTATCAGACCATCCGTTCGGTTGTCCAATGCTCGAAGTGATAATGTCGGCCTACAAAGCTTTCATCAGCAAAGTGTATACGTACACACAGAATCACTTACTCCAGCGTTGTAAGCATCACACAATGCTTGCATGATAGTCACCTCGTCAGTTTCCCACGGATTCTATTGTTGATAAGCCAGACGTCTCGTGTATCTCTCATAAACAAACCACACTTACATCAGAGAATACTTTGTAGATAAGAAGTTCCGCATCAGGGGCAACTCCAGTGAGCCTAGAAATTCCTTTCAATCAGGTGCTCGATCGTTCTTGTCATTCGGGAACGTACCATTCATTCTCGGCAGCAACAATACCAGCTACATGTGTCCCATGGCCTTGATAGTCCATAGGATCGTTGTCGGGTAGCTTAGGGTGTTTCTTCTCATTGTGTGTCTCCCCTGGATATAGAGTCAGCTCTTAAGTCGGTCTCAATGATGCTGCTTCAACTTACACTCAGCTCCCACAAGATCATAACCCCCCTTGACTTTACATCCGGGGCCAAAGCATCCTCCAAGCTTAACGAGGTTAGCGGATGCAGGTCAAGAACACATCTTGACATACCGCTTTGTGTGTATAATCGATACCTGTGTCAACTATAGCAACAGTCGCCCCTTTACCGCGTATGCCAGCAGCGTGCAGTTTGTCGACGCCAGTCCAATGGTGAATAGAGTAGTTTCTTATCGAGGAAGACGGGCCATGTTTTGACTTTTCAACCTTTGGCATCGACACTGTGTGTGCTTGCCAGACATTGACAACTCCCTCCATCTGGAATAGTGTATCCGTATCATCCGTGTCGGTTTCTACCACCATTCCATTGAAAACATCACTGCAATCAAAGCTCTGGAATAACGGCCTGTGCTTGTCAGGCTTCATAAGAAACTGGCGGGTCACTGTAGCTAGGCCATGGTTCTGCGAGTGTGAGCGAACGATTTTAGAACAGGACTGACTTCTGTTACCGGCTCGACTTCTACGATAAACTTGCGAGTTTCTCCATTACTCTTTCTGCCAGAACTGGAAGAGCCGACTGCAGGTCTGGGTTTCGTTCCGGCATTCACGATGACTGAAGCCGTGAGAACTAAGGCTTGCAAGAAGTTGTGCGGTTTCATGGTGGCTGGGTCGATTGAATGAACGTTGTGAATTGATGTCTTTAGTTCGGAATTATTGCGATTTGAAGATGATATATGTAAATTTTGATATGGTAGTAATTGGTGCTGGTCCGGAAGATTAGCTTGGACGGCTCGGTCTCGGAAAGGTGCATTGTCAACGTTGCAACTCCCATTCGAGCCACGGACGGGGAAACAGGTGCGTCTTTTCGAGCTGGCGTCGTAATCCAAGCATTGTTCATCTGGGTATCACGGCCAGGCCAAGATTGTCCTGTTTGGTAACATCTTAACAACTCGAGTCGGGAGTCGAGATCAAATCAGGTATGGTGATAAAATTACCTTCGTCTGCGACTACCTATACATATCAGTACGATATCCATATTGAGTCTTCCCACTCAGACATTGGGCCATCGCTATTTTCTCTATGGCCATACGAAAAGCAAGTCTCGGCATGATGGCTTCAGGGAGACATTGTTTGTAACGACGGGAAGTTGTCTTGTTGTCCAACAAATCAGTTTGACATATACAAGCTATCCGGGGGCTACCATTGCCGGAGCGCTTTTATGCAACGCAAACGGCCTTTTGAGTCTCTCTGCCGCTGTGATAGACCGGCTGCAACAGACATTCTCGAACAAGAATACTGTGACTCCAGCATTGTATCACCCAGATCAAGGTCTAGCGAGAGATTCGGCAGCGGCGGGGAGGCATGTCCAACGTCAGATCGCGTTAAGCGGACGATTTCTCTTGGTTGCAGTACCGTCAAGGCGGGACGAGGAGACCAAGGCCAGGCTTGTCCATCTCTTGGGGTGTAACAGGAATGTCAGTTGCACGACACAAACTTGAATCCGTGCTCAACAGTCGTCAATAAGACAAGTTTTCCTCGACGTGAGTACGTGGAGGTGAACGTGAACTTCAGAGATTCGGGTGAAGTTGTGTATATCATTATGGAAAGAACGGCAGATGTGAGAAGGCATTCGTCCACGTGAGTGTTGCCGTTGAAGTCATTCATGAGGAAGGCACGGGCTGAGTGATGCAATTGACAATCCCAGGTAGGTGCGTTGACGTTACCCAAAGGGTCCTCCTTCCCATCCGTGTAAGCCACAAACTGTCGGTTGTAATTACCTTACATTGAAGTAATTAAATCTGTCTAGCGTTTGATTTCTATTGGTTGCATGCATTTCACTATTTCTTCTCACGAGAGACTTCGACTCAACTACATGACGAGTGATTCTATCAAACCGAACCATGCTTTGGCCTCGGTTGCGAGTGGGAACCATTCAAGAGCTTAATGATGCAATGTCTGAATCGTCATGCTCTTTGACAGATTCGAATACATCTTTGTGACCCAGAAACCCGGGCACTTGTCAGTCGTCGACACATGGCAAAGAAAGCTAACGAACAATAGACCGCACCCAAATATCCATGCCATTAACCAAAAGCAGTTTCGCTCTCAACGATCAAGTAACTGTAACTGGCTGTGGCTTCTGGACCGGATCCGAGTCCGTGCCTGAAGATCTCTCAGCCGGTATTGACCTGACTCGCGAGGATGTCCCCGTTCAAACCACATGGGCGATGTCGAGTCTAGTCTAGCTGAGAAGATCCATTTCTGCACATCTTTGACTTGAAACGGCGAGAGAGAAGGTCAATTCCCACTCATGTCAGTCGATTTCTAGAAGGCACAGACATGCCAACCGACTCATGCCAGAGCGAAAATTCGGTCGAACGGTCACTAGCAAAAACTAAACGTTACGATAACAATGATGGCCAGAAAGAAACATGGAAAGAAGATCGTGCGATGGAGCTAGATTGTGTTTCAGTCCAGTTCTGCTGTTGCGACACTGCTGCAGAAAAACATGCAGATAGGCCATGCCTAATGCAGCATGTCCACGAACCAACCATGCTCACTCACCGGCGGAGAACAAGGGGGGAGCCCAGTCATTTCGTTGCTGCAAGACAAAGGAGGACGAAGATGGTGCTCTTTAGAAAGTATAGAGAGCTCTTGACCAGAGCCTGTGTTTAATTCGCACATCGCGAAAAACGACCACTCATTGCTCAGAGGAATATTACATTGATTGGGACTCGATGAGCTAAACCAGCGTCTCATTTTAAATCTCGGCTGATCGACGAGTGCAGTTCGTCTGCCAGTTGCTTTTTCCCAGTGAACGTTGGTGATTTACTGCTGAGAGGCGTTGTCCCACACTTCGACCCAGGATCAACGTTTAGACTGTGGATGCTGACTCGCAAAACCATGTGGTTTTTCAAGGTGTGCTGGTTCTGGTCTGCATCTCGACTCTTTCTCGTGTGGAAGCCCCAGAAAGTCTCCAGCCCTCTCTCCGTTCGGTTACGTTTCAATCCAATGCCAGGGGCCAATGGAACTTCAGCCGTACTCGGCACAGAAAGGAACCTTGCGATTTTCGTTTCTTGCCTCTATCTTTTGCAGTGAGAGTCGCTTTTCTCCTCTTGCTCGACGGGGAAATAGTGTGGTCCCCCTGCGTCAACCCGCCAACGCCATAATCATGCTGGTGTAGTATTTAGCGCTTTGGCCGGCGTTGGGAACGGACTTCTAGAGGCCTGAGCTAGAATAACTTGGGTTTGGTTCCCAATGTGGTCTAATCGCCACGCGTAAGAAAGGATTCTTCTGTTCTTTGTTACGGATACATATAAGCAGTTGACAAAGAGCAAACGCCTGTTGACGGCCCGTCAGCGGAAGGAGAGGAGGGAGGGTGGGAGAACAGAGCTTTGACGTCCAACACATGACGAGAAATATAAAATATAGTTTGTGTTCATTTGGTTGATATTGGACACCAACAAACAAAGTTGATTGCTCGTGATCGATCTATGTTAGAGGACCGAGTTTTAGTCAACGATCTCTACTCCGTACCCAGCCCTTTCTAGACCACCGGGGTTTCCTTACCTTTACTGAACTGACAATATAGCCCTAAGGTTTATTTTTACAGTATATCCGAGGCGGCTTAGAAATGCTACTGAATTAATGTGAGGTCTTTTAGTCAACCTCCAACCCCCCTCCCCTCCTTGATCTCCATGTCAGATCCATGAATGTGACCTTTCAGGGGCATCAAAGCAGCTGCAGGTCGCTTTGCGAAGCTTCAGTCGCATGGCACCCTTGACACTGTTCCAATTACCATCCCCTGCAGGCAAACTCCACCTTCCGGGCCTCCCCTGCTGGACTTTCTCTCGTTTGTCCCGTTGGGTCGGCGAACGAACGTCTTCAGCTTGATGGACAGACAGAAAACAGTGGAGCGGCCCCAAGTTAGGTCAGTGGAGGCCCGGCCTTCCAGACGCTACAGCATCCACTAACTCTCTAAAGTTAGAATACCTGCGGGCTGTTAACCCCCTGTAATGCCTCTCTCTGCCTCCTGGGTGATGAATGGTTGTCCACTCATTCTTATCTTCCATCCAATCCTCCCCCCTCGTTCATTCTCCCTCCTGTCGCTGTCGCAATCCTTCTTCTACCCCCAGTCACCCGCTACCACTTCCTCTTTCACTCTCATTTGATCTAATCCCCTTCTTGGACGACAAGGAAACAAAACTCCCGGTGATTTGCTTCTTTTACTATTAATGTCCTCTACTCTCTTTTAATACTACGTACTGTCAATCATAGTACAACTCTCCATATCTATCTCCCTATCTATCCGTATCGTCGACTTACTCGCTGTTAAACACCAACCATAACCAACAGCAATTGTCCTCCCCCTTTCTCACAAGGATAAACCAAGGCAATTCACACCAAATCCGTGGCGAAACATTCTCATCCAAGTACATACACGACACCGAAAGCGTACAGCATTGACTGCGGTACCTTGACTTGAAATCACACTCCTAATCTCCACATCCTCGGCTTCTGCATTACGAATCCAGCCTCCCTCGACGCGCTGATACTCACCGAGAGACCCGATTTATTTGCCTGATATATCCAAGGGCTCACTTACTCAACCAAACTCAACTCCGTCAAAAATCACCAACACTACCGCAACAATGGGCAAGTCTCTCATGGACAAGATTCAAGCCAAGCTGGAGCTCTTCCGTCTTGAGCAACGCTACACCCGCCGCCGTCACAGACGTTCCACCTTTGTCTCCAACGCTGTCTACGTCGATGGCGAGTACGTTTACCAGACTCCCAACAGCACCGGCTCTTCCTCTGGTTCTGGTTCCTCCGGCGGCATCGACGCTCTCCATGGCGACAAGGCTAATGTCAGCCCCATGGCCTCACCATCCACCGTCGTCATTGAGGAGCACCACTTCCCTTCAGAGCCTCAGCACCAGCAGCCTCAACAACAACCAATGGCTACTGCCGAGCGCAAGCGTCTGAACCGCTTCAGCTCCATCCCTCAATTTGGCGGCTCCAAGAGCATGACCATGCCCAGTGTCAAGGAGCGAAGGACCAGCATGATCCGATGAGTAACTCACGGATAGCCAAAGCAACACAAAAAACAACAAAACTCACAAAATTCTCGCAATATTCTTCTTTACGATTTGACGGCAATCTAGCGCCAAGCGAAGGATTACAGCTCTGGCGCAGGCGTAGCGGGCGCATAAGCGTGTAAGAAACGGACACGACTAAATGAGATGAGATGAGACGGCATGGGATGGATGAATCGGATTTGATGGATACCCCCGATTCATTCGTGGTCTCCAAATGACGAAACTCGCCCAGATTTGTTGTACAGTACACACATCTTACAGCATCGGATCACATCACTACCTCGGTTTTTATTCTGGCAGGACAATACCACCAGCCACGAGATCTTTTTAACGACTTCACTTGGTTACACTTTCCGTCCCTTCTGTTTGTCTCGTTTCCCTTCAACTTGCAGGCCTATCATATCACTGGGCCTCATTTGAATACGTTTAGGGATTACGAAATGGCAGAGCTTTACTACAAAGTTGGACGTGTCATCGGTCGTCACCGACACCTTTTTACCCTAATTTTCCTTTGATGGCGTTGATTTATACTTTCTTCTCACTGCCATTATATCGTTACCCCTTCACTCTGCTTCTGGGTTGTTTACACATAAACTAAACCTCTAACGCTGGCGGGCAACTGCCGGATGCTGCAAGCTGTACTGTACATAGTCATGGGGAAGAGTATTGCAGTCTGATCTGGCCTAGTTTCATGGAAGGATGGATATGTATGGACTTTGTGGAATTTAGCCAAGGTACCAATGAATTAAAACAGATACCACGTTCAAAACATGTATCGCATTTATGAGCCTGTGCTTTGATCTATGATGAGCGAGGATGAAACAAACCTTGGTCTGGCTCGAGCCTGTCTGATCGAGTTTAATTTCCCGGCTTCTACGAGCTATGTCCCTGTCTTGAAATGCATGCATTTGGTCTAAAACAAGTATCGGGTTACGTTATGTCATAAATGTCACAGACCAGCAACACGAGTGCGAATAAGAAGCATCAAAAACTTTCGAGTTGACGACGAGGAGAGAGGTTGGGGGGCTTGTGCTTGTTGTGCATAAAGTTTTGTACCTCCGTATGCGTATGATCTTGCATCGACCACGCAACACAAAACTCAATGCTTCGGCAGCCGGTTTCTAGCGTGCATATCTCCCGTGTCATTGGATCATGTCCACTGCAACGTTGAATAACAGAGAGAATAAGAGGCGCAAGGTTACAGGGTTGGTTTCAGACTGAGATCGACATAAAGAGAAAAGGGTTGTTTGAATACCAATGCATATTAAAACCCGTCCTTGAATAACACTGATATTAACTAAATATGATGTGTCGCGTGCACTCGTCTATGCTCAATGGCTGAGCGCGCACTACTCAGGTTGGTTCATGCTTTATAGCCAAGGATTTATTCAAGCTATCCAAGATCGTGATCCATTTTTCGATCGGGAAACACTCGGGTCAATTGGTGTCAGTTGCGATCGCTATGCCTCAAAATAGCAGTCCACATAGCAAAGGTAAACATGGATGTGATGCCAGGAGGTTACCCTATACTTCAAGATTTCCAGATCGGCTTGACGACCGTGCAGAAAAGAAGAGATAACTCGGCTACGTTACTGGATGTTCAATGAAAAGTGTTAACCAATGTCAGGTTGAGCATATCACGCAGAAAGGCAAATTCAAAGAATAGTCAGTAAGGATTGTATCAACACCTATATCGGCAATCAAGTCTCGCTGCCATGCATCCCATCCAAAAGCAAATCAAATAACTCCCCAAACACCATTCAATGCTTCCATCTTCTTCGAACAAAAACAGGGGGGTATAAGGCTATGATTTCAAACCAAAAGCATTGGATGCCCGTCCCATTTATATAAGGGAAAAAAGTACGCCTCGCTTAAACAACAAGTCCGTCATAAGCTCTCTCTATTGTTCGACCACCCATACCGGGCACAGTCCTCAACTGGGAAAGGTTGTCGATATGTCCGCCAGCCTCATCGTTACTTACAAGTTCGAGGTAGTCGACCAGGTCACGAGCCTTCTTCGCACCGAAACCAACCAGGCTTCGGATTTGGTCCGGGTCACGCGAGTTGACAATGTCAAGAAGATGTTGAGTGCGAGGAGAGGCAGGGCCCTCATCGTCACCCGAGAGGATGGACTTGGTAGCAAGAGGCTTAGCCCTTCGTGACTTGGACTTCAAAGCCTTATGCACCAACTCATCTTCCTCCACATCGGCCTCGGCAGTCTCATAATCACCGTCCGCATCATCATACACAAACTTTCTCCTCTTGCGTTCCGAGCGAGGGGTTGCCCGACGGGGAGAAGGTGCGGGAGCCTTTCCATCCAGCCGCGATCGTAGTCTCTCAATCTTGTTGACCAGCTTCGCCTGCCCGGGGAAGAATGGCAGCGCTCTTTCGTACATATTAAGAGCAATTTGATCCTCGCCACGCTCCTTGTGTTGTCGGGCTGCGAGAAGGAAGCGTAGTCCTTCCGACTTGGAATCGTCTCGCCATTCGTCGCTGTCGATTCGCTTCTCAAGTGCCTCCAGTCGCCTCTGTACTGCATCGCTGATCTCAGGCTGAACTGTCGGTGGTGGTTGAGACTTCTGCTCGTCCGCAATTCGAGCAGCGAGGATTTCGCTGACCTTCTTCTCAACCATGGCCTCGATCTGAGCAGCTGAAATCGTAATGGATGCTGGAGCGGCAGGCTTTGAGATTTTGCTGGGTCTCAAAACGGCTTCGTTTTCAGAAGGCCGCTTGATAGGATTCGCTTTTGGGCGAGCCAAGTTGGAGCTCACAAGTGGACGGTTGGCAGGTGCTGCTGGCTTCGACTTGTCAGTGTAGACGCTAAATGCCTTGACAGGCTTATCGGCCGCCTTCTCAGCAGCTTTATCTTTAGCAGCGACGTTGCCATTGTGCACATTAGTGAGGTTGGCAAGAGGGCGCAGAGGCTGACGCAGACCCAGGCCCGAGAGTCCAGAGTTCGTCCTAGGAACAGACTTATAGACAATCTCGTTCTCGATCTCCCTAACCTCAATTCGCTTGGCACGGGAACTGACGTTGAGACTGCTGAGGGTATCGAGATGGTAACCTCGCAGAGGCGATAGGTTCAGAATCATGACAGTGATGCCGCTGTTCTGACCCAGTGATAGAATGCGAGTCATCTTGGACTCTCGGTATGGTATCCTCTTGTCACCACGGCCGATAGCGTCGATGCACTGACTCAGGACAAAGAGACTCTTGTTGATGGCAGCAGATTCCACCAATCTCTCCTTGTCATTGTCAGTTCGCCTGTTGTCCTCAGAACCAGCCAAGTCAATGGCTGATGCTGTGCTCTCCCTGACCGACTCCGCAGTTGTCTGGATCAGCTTGACTCTCAGAATAGCGTGACTGCGACTGCTATGGGCGTTGAGCTTGGTAGCGGCGGTGACGCGGTTGTTGTTGGCCTCGATGTACAACTTCTCAAAGTCCTTGAGATCCTCGCAAGCTCGTTCAGAGAGACCAACGACAATAGTCTTGCCGTTGGCCTCGGCTCGTAGCGGTAGACCGGTGGGCGTTCGCTTCTCGGGGGGCTCGAGGAGATCAAAGACCTTGTCGTTGTAGATCTCGTAGTATGATAGAAGAACCTTCACGTCGGTATCGCCCTTAGAATCCTTCATGATCTTCTTGCCGCGTCGAAAGACACTGCTTAGCATCCGAGGAATCACCCCACGGTCTGCCAGCTTCATACCGCCTCGCATCGTGTGCGTTTTACCCGTACCAGTGACACCATACGCGAATATTGTGACATCGAATCCCTGGAAAAGAGACTTGACATATGGAGCAACTACTCAAGTCAACATACGATTCAAGGTAATACAAACCAAAACTTGTTAGCATAAGTATCTTACCTTCGGCAGTGAACAGTTCCTCCTGAGTCGTAGCACGGTCGTACACGCCATTGAAGGTAAAAGAGAACTCCTCAGCCTCATTCTTGGGATTGGGAATCTTTACGACCGTGTTAGGCTTGCTAGGATCGACTGTATCGGCTCGAACAATAATGTCAGATTCGCGCTCCTTTTCGAGCAGAGGCCGTATCCTGGAGACGACTCTAACACTCATGGTGTGTATTCGGTATGAAGAGGATTTGGTGTGAGGAGGAGTTCACTAGGAGTAGCGCAAGCAACAAGCTCAAGGTGTCAAAGACTCGGACTCTGTCAGCCTACCAAGCTGGCCACTACCACGTCCTGCAAGTTTAGCAAATGTTTGCTATAAGGAAGATCACAAGGATATCGGTCTAGTAAGATTGTATGAGAAAGCACGGTCGTTGACCCAGCAACGGATACACGTGACATGACGTGTGGGCACGGGAAAAGCCGCTAACAATACTGGCCCTGGCGTCTGGCTCGAGATGCCCGAAGTGAAGTGAAGAGAAGAGGTAGATATACAAGTTATACAGCTCTTTCGGAGCTCATATATCCAATCAGCAAAATGCGAGGCCAATTGCCGTTATCAAGAGCGGCACGAGGCCTGCGGCTGCGGGCATTGCCTTTATATACCTGCACTAGATCTCAGTGCAGGTCTATTCAGATCAACGCTGCGCCGAGCACTGAAGCGCCCAAAGTTGGTGGTGATGCTTTTGGAGCTCTTGAGACGAGGGATCCTGCGGGTATGAATGCGCCCACACCATTGGGTCATGATTGATAAGCTCTGATATCTGACGTTACGCTGTACAGATGCTCGATTCGAGGTCCTTGGCTCGCCATATTCCCTTCTATCTGTGACTCTATCGGCATCGCAGAAGCTCTATACTCGGCGGGGCACGTTGGTTGCTGTCGCCGGCAAGCCTGAGAATGTACGCAGCCACCAAGAAAAGTTATCAGCAGCATATCTAATAGACCATATAGGCCCAATCCACTCTCTCGATCCTCAACCCGATTACACGAGCCTTCCTTGGCGTTCCCTTCCTCTACCAGCGCATCTCAGCCACGACACCCATCACAGCCTTGATCTCGACCAAGTCTCCCACAACCACTTTCACAGTCCTACACCTCGATGGAACGACAGACTGGATGATCGCGCAAAGGAATGCGCTGTTGGCTTGGACAGGACATACTCTTTCACCCGCGGCCCGCATTCAGAGCAGCCTTACACTCGCTCACTGGGGTAACACCCTCTTAACAGGACGAGGTCTTGCGGCTCTATCGGCACCTGGACAGATCTACGAACTTACACTCAAGGAAGGCGAGGAGTTTGTAGCTCACCCTGGTAGTGTTGTCGCCTATTCCGTCAGCCGACACCCCCCTCAACCTTTCCGCTTCAAGAGCAATAGCCTACAACTCCAGATCCCCTCACTATCACGATGGATCTCAGAGCCAGAATGGGTAAAGACTGTTCGTAACTCCGAGGTCTGGAAATACCTGGCACGAGCCTACTACGGCTTGCGAACAGCGACCCGACGAACCATCTGGGGCGATCGCCTCTTCCTTCAGTTCCACGGACCTACAAAGATTCTCATGTCCAGCCGAGGCGTGCGAGCTTCAGATGTTCTCACCAACAAGCAAGTGAATGAGATCGCTGATTCTGAGCCTGGCGTTCTCTCTCAGGCCCTCGAGTCGAACAACAAGCCTAAGCTGACCGATGGTGCTGAGACTAAGCCCGCTGCTGTTAAAGCTATCGGACAGAAGACAGATGATGAGTCAGTGACTGGCATTCATGTCGCGAAAGTTGAGAAGGATGGTAAGGTCAAGTTTGAGGACAACAAGGAACTCAAGGAGTTTATCCGATGAACAAAAGCATGAAGAGAGAGACAGAATATGAGCGAGCGATGCAGCAGAGATGAAAAAAGAGGACAAGCAGATGAAGAAGTTTTATACAATGTTTGTTTTGTTATGTATGATTACATATATTATCTATCATAGAGCTGAAGCCTTTATGTATCAATATTCAGAAGTTCAAACAGCAGCCATTAATCCGCACCTAGCCTGCCAGGTTCATTGCTGGCATCAGTCTCTTCTGGCCTGTGTATATGATACCACATCTCCAGTTTATGAACTTGTGCTGAAGGTCAAGTTGGCAGTATTTTAGAACGACTAGAGATCTGTGTCTGACTAGACCATGGATTGGGGCATTCAAGGGATGAACGGGAAAGCATCTGGCGTCTCATAGATGGTATGTGTATATAAGATGAGGTGCTCAACAGGTCAAAGCAGGCTTGAGTGATTCATGCAGTCAGCGACCCTCACCAATAAGTATTTCTAAGCAGGGACAAAAATCCCTTGGAATACTGTAAGACAGCAGCACCCATGCAGAAGATCTTCCCTAGAAGATTATCCTGTGTCTCAACTATTGGATGGTCTCGTTCCCTGTCACTCTTTAGGTTAGGCACTTCGCGACTCGGCCTCTTCTTAAGTCCACAGGGTTGAAGTGGGATGCAGGATTCTGGTTGCATTATTCAGCCCAGATAACAAATGATCCGACTGCTTCATGAGGATGCGAACTTTCATTGGAAGAGTTACACACATGCAATCTCACTTTATGGAACAAGAATACAGCAAAAAACGGAAGCCGAAGACATTGAACACTTTAACCCGTGTCCTCGGCTGTAATAAAACAGCGATCATGTTAAGACCGAGCGACTATATGTACAGACTAGGCTAGGCTACGGATTTATGTTCCGGCCAGACAGAAACCCGATCTATAGGCCGCTCGTGATTTAATAGACCGAGATCTAGACATGCACCTTTTGTAGATTCCCAGGGTTTCAGCAAGTAGTGTAGGTAGTATTGGAGGATGGGTGCATACCCCACTAGGACCTGAGAGACAAGATCAGATATGAGCGAATGACTAGGGTACATCTGATTGATATATAGATGGAGGTGATGGCAATTTCATGGTTCCTCGTAACATCGATGAACAGTGACTTGATATCAGTGCATCGTTCACTGCATCGACAGTGACAGACTGGCTACTGCCTATCACTCCCAACCAAAGATAAATATCACGAAATCTTTTCTTCCCATACAATTTTGTAATAATCAATCCTCCTACACAACCAAATCATGGCTCGGTCAACGAAATCTTCGTCCTCGGACACAATCAACGACAGGACAATCCAACCAGTAACATCAACAGATCCAGAGAAACAAAGTCGACAGCCGACAGCCAAAACTGAAGCAAACATTCACCCAGAGCCTATCAATGCTGTCGAAGCAGATCTCGAGCGTGGTGACGATGAGAAGAAACAGCAACAGCCCCCTGCAGGTCCTCCACCTGGAATGGCCCCGGCAGATTTCCCTGATGGAGGACTTGAGGCCTGGCTTGTCGTCTTTGGAGGTTGGTGTGCTCTGTTCTGTACATTCGGACTCGTGAACTGTGTTGGCGTCTTTCAGAAATACTACGTTTCTGGGCCACTTAGAGACCACGACAGTTCTGCCGTTAGCTGGATTATGTCTGTCGAGGTGTTCTTCATGGTATTTTGCAGTGCTATTGTACGTATAATCTGCTCCCTCCTCGATGAAATTGCACCCCACTGACTTGTATAGTTTGGTCGTCTGTTTGATACCTATGGCCCCAAGTATCTCCTATGGTGTGGCACTCTCGCATACGTCTTCGGTCTCATGATGGTGTCCTTGTCAAAAGAATACTACCAGTTCTTCCTCGCACAGTCCATCGTCGCATCCATTGGATCCAGCGCTGTCTTCAACGCCTCCATGTCTTCACTGGTCACTTGGTTCTTCAGAAGGCGTGCAGCTGCTTTCGGTATCATGGTCTCGGGATCGTCTCTCGGAGGTGTCGTTCTCCCAATCATGATGGACAAAATGATCAACAGCGTAGGCTTTCCCTGGATGATGCGCACGATGGCTTTCATGTTCCTCGTTCTGCTGGGTATTGCTTGCTTCACTGTCAAGTCTCGTCTGCCTCCTCGCCCCAAGCCTTTCGTCTTCATGGAATACATCAGCGGTCTTCGAGAGATCCCTATCCTCATCACTGTCATTGGTTTCTTCCTCTTTATGTGGGGAATGTTTCTTCCTTTCAACTATGTCCTGCTTCAGGCGCAGGCTGCAGGCATGTCTGAATCGTTAATCCCTTATCTGTTGCCCATCCTCAATGCTGTCAGGTAAGTCGTGCCAGAGCAAGTAACGTTGGCTAGCATACTAACACGATCTCAGCATCTTGGGTCGTATCATCCCAGGCATCATCGCCGACAAGCTTGGTCGATACAACGTCATGATCGCCATCACATTCATCTCTGCTCTTTTCTGCTTGTGTGTTTGGATTCCAGTGAAAAACACAGCCGGCATCGTTGTCTTCGCCGTGATCTTTGGTTTCTCCTCGGGCGGATACATCAGTCTTGTTCCAACTCTTATCGCCCAGCTGTCCGATATTCGCCAAATTGGTACTCGTGTTGGCACAGCGTTTGCCATTGCATCTTTCGGTGCTCTGACGGGAAGCCCTATTGGAGGTGCGATCGTATCCGCACAGGACGGCGACTATCTTGGTCTGCAGCTTTTCTCTGGCTGCTCTATGCTGGCCGGCTGCATCGCCTTTGTTTGTGCACGTTATGTGCAGGTTGGTTTCAAGCTTGTCAAGGTTTGAGCCATGCGCCTTAGAAGCCACTTCTGGATCCATTATCAGGTGCATTTCGGTGGAAAAACATGGGCTGGCAGATTGCTTAAAAGATCCGGCACAGTGAGACGACAGTTTGTATTGAGTTTTGACACAAGAAAAGCTTTGCCTACATAAAAACGATACCCAGGTGCGCGGCATAGAATAGGGATAATATGGATATAATCAACGGGAAAAAAGTGTAGGGAAAACGTTTGATTGAGACGAGAGCCCTCGCCGAGATGAGATATATATGGCAGAGGATACTTCCAGAACATTACTACGAGACCCTAATCTTTGATGAATTAGCCAAATGTCGAAGAAGATTGAAAAACAATATGAATAATTTTAAGGGTTTCTCAGACTATAGATAGAACTTGTGTGATTGTTTAATCATTAAGATCATAAACAGCCTCTGAAGCTAGGTATCATCATTGAAGGGGATCGAGGGGCGAAGAGAAGAGGAGATATACATACAGCATATGTTAGTACACGAGGCGTCGTGAGAGGAACGTCAAATCTATAAGTCTAAGCAATGTTAGTATTGCTCGTAAAAGTGATTACCAAAGATGATGTAGGTATACGTTTGGGGCTCAGAACATAGATAGAACTTGGGTGAATGTTTAATCATTAAGATCATAAACAGCCTCTGAAAGCGATGTATCATCATAGCGAAGGGAGGGTGAGAAAAAAGATGAGTGTCACATACCATGAACAGTCGTATTATAGCGTATTGTGCAACAAAGTGGCATAAAGTTACAGAAATCTAAACACAATCAGTGAACATATTCCTGCATAGTCATCAAATCGTATTGTTGAAAGGGATTATGCTCAGGATAAAGATAGAACGGTGAGTGTTAGAATCATTAAAGATCATAAACAGCCTCTGAAGCTAGTGTATCATCATTGTAGATAGAGGGATGGTATAGGGAATGAAAGTGTCAGTGAAAACTTACCTCATGAAAGAAACCTAACTGCCCGAGCGTGAGATGGCACAGTCCAGAGCTTCACATGGAAACAAAACAAAACTCCAATTCTCTAGTGTAGCATCTCTTCCTCGCCCAGAAGAGTTATGTACAGTCGCTCCCGTCCCGTTCGCCCGCTTGTCGTTAAGTGCTTTATTGGCTACCCTCGACAGTCGCCTTGATGGGGTTGATCTCAACTCCGTACTTCTGGCTAAGTCGCTCCACCCTTCGCTCATCGTATCCAGGAGGTCGAATGCCTATGTTGATGTGAGATATTGCACGGGGAGGATAGACACGATGCGCGACTTACCTCGGCCCTCACCAATTTCTGAAATGGTCTGCTCAATAGGCAGTCGAGTGGATCGTCGGACGATCTCCTTGCGCTCGAACTCATCGCCCTCTCGCTTGAAAGAGTCGTATCGGCCACCGAGGTAGTGGAACATACCCTGGAAGACGGCAAGACCACTACCAAGACCCATGACGACAGGCATTCGTTTCGCTGTAGCTTGTCAGACAGAATTCGTTTTTTCATCGAGCCGTGTATCATCTCATACTGGGAAGACCGAGGACAGCGCCCAGGGCAAAGCCACCAAGGGCAGCGGAGAAGGAATCTTCCTTTTCGCGGAGGTTCATTGAGGTTCGCGAAACAAAGACATATGCGGCGGGGGCGGCGGCTAGACAGGATAATCAGTACTGCAAAGACCTCAATTGATCTGTCCCAGCAGGTTTATCATACCTCCGAGACCAATTATGGCAGAGCCGCGGGTGAAGACGCTCAGAATGCCGACATTGTGCTTGGCCATAGCATTCTTGACGGAAGAGAGGAAGAGACCACTGAGACCACCAACTACACCAGCCTTTGTAGTGTCGTTAAGGACATCATAAGGCTTGAAATAGGTGGCAGGCTTCTTGTGAAGCGCCACATTCGCGCTCGACGGGGGGTGCTCCATGGCGATTGCGATAGCTAAGAGGGAGGAGTTGGGAGCTTTTATGTCTTGGGCCTGAGGTTGAAGCCGAGCTTGGTATGGAAACTACAGGATTGCGAGCCTCCACCGCAACACGTGACGTTGGTCATTCAATTGCCTTGTTTTCATTGGTTCATGTAACCTCGACGAAATTCGGAAGCTTGCTCGGTACGTACCTATCTTTCAATACTCCCAGGTGGGTAACAGAAGAATTATCCTCTAAGGCTTAGGCTACCATAATAAAGTAAGTCTAAGTTAGCATAAAGTGACTAAATTATTTCGTCCTTGTGCCTGAGGTGCCCCACCACTGTTTGGAGACTCAAGCTTGTAAGAAAAATCCGCTCCATAGATAGTATGAGCTTGACAGGATATTCTTTGGTTTAAGCTTCATATCCTCAAAATCATTCAATTGGGGCCAATTCCTTAAGTTCTTTTTCATTTCATTTTATAGTTTAATTTGAAGGTCTTTGAGAATAACGCCATCGCGAATCTGCGCTCTCAAGCACAACGGCAACAAGGCACCTCTTACACAGTTTGATTTAGACGCATCAACCTCAACTTATCCTAAAAATGACGGAAGAATCGCGACAGCCATCAGATAACGCCGATATTGAGAAGACGAAGAGTTCTGAGGGCAATGAAAAGGTTCAAGTCCAGCAAAATACTGGCTCAGGCTCTACCGTTCCTCAAAAACGACCTGCTGAGGATGAGCCTGCTCAGCCCATGTCCAAGAACGCACTCAAGCGCCTGAGGAAGCAGCAACAATGGGAAGCTGGCAAGGAAGATCGCAAGCAGAAGCGAAGAGATAGCCGAATTGCTCGCAAAGTTCGCAAGCGTGAGGAGAGAGACGCACTCATTGCACAGGGCATAGACCCTTACGCCAATAAGCAACAGAAGCCGCCTTCTGTGGACGTTCCCGTCTCACTCATCTTTGATTGTGATTTCGAGCAGTACATGCGCGAGAAGGAAATCATTTCACTCGGCAGTCAGATCACCAGATCGTATTCGGAGAACAAGAATGCGAGGTATCGCACTAATATTTACGTCTCCAACTGGACTGGAAAGCTAGCCGAGCGTTTCCACCAGATTCTCGACGACAAGCACAAGAACTGGAAGGGCATCGATTTTGTGGAAGGAGACTTTATCGAGTGCGCGGAGAAGGCCCGTGAGAAGATGAAGGTTGACCAAATGATCGAGCCTCTTCAGCGAAGTCTCACAGAAAAGAGCCCCTGGACCAGGGACGAGAAGGATCCTCTCCCTCTCCCCGATCCTGAGCCTGAGCCTCGTCCTGAGTATAACGACATTGTCTACCTATCCTCGGACTCACCTTACACACTTGAGCGTCTGGAGCCCAACACAAGCTATGTCATCGGTGGCCTAGTTGACAAGAACCGGGAAAAGGGGTTGTGCTACAAGCGAGCGAGGGCGCGTGGTATCCGAACGGCTCGGCTGCCCATCGGTCAGTACATGGTGATGCAGAGCCGAGCGGTTCTTACAACAAACCATGTCGTCGAGATCATGCTCAAGTGGCTCGAATACGAAAACTGGGGCGAGGCATTCATGAGCGTTATTCCCAAGCGCAAAGGAGGTCAATTGAAACAGCAAGAAGACGCTTCAGGCGAGACACAAGAAGCCGAGGATGCTGAGGTTGAGGAGCTCGAGGAGGAGAATGAGGAGATCAGGGATCCTGATGCTGAAGAGGCTTCCTCTGAACAAAGTACACCTGAGGTTGAGGTTGCTTCAAAGTAAATATATCCTCTGTACTAATGCCATACTGCGCCAGCCAAGTCTAAATCCAAATTTCAAGTCCAACACATTTACACTGTTCATAAGTCCATCCCATTTCATACAATGTCTAAAATTCCATGCTTTCCTCGTCTCTCTCCCGCTTAACCTTTACGTCCTTCTCGTCCTTCATCAGCCCGTTGACAAAATGTCTAAACTGGTCGATATAGGGCTTCAGGCTTGTCTTTTCCCAATCGGCCAGGCCCTTACTATTTTCTTCCTCTTCGCTCTTCCAAGAGTCAATTTCTGCTAGGAGACCCTGCACCGTAGGCACGCTAAGGGGGTCAAAGTCCTCAAGGTTCTTTGTGTTGATAGGCACACAGACACGGCCGGTACCGGGATGCACAACAAAAGGACTCTTGAGCAAATGGTTGAGCTTCTTGCTGACTTCGATATCGAGTCGAGGGTAGGTATACTCCAGGACAATATCCTGTTTGGCTTCGAGAAGTTGCCTGGCATCGAGGTTCTTGCTGGCGCCCGACTTTGCCAAGGCGTCAATGTCTGCCCATTTTGAAGTCGAGGCACGTCCTGGGGCAGCATCCCATTTCTTCCGCAGTGACTCGTTGAGGTTCTGGTTTGGCAAAAGCTGTAAAAGCTTCTCAGACTGTTCGGGTGAGGCCCAGGGGTCTTGAACCTCAAGAACGTCTTCTTGGAAGTGAGTCTTGAGGATCTCCAAACTTCGTCTAGGTGATATTAGTATTTTAATATGTCAGATAGAATGTGGGAACTTACGCAAGATGAGGATGCAATGGTCGCCTCACGTTGACCTTCTTTCCACTCTGTGCACCTCCCCTGACCACCTCAAGATAGCCAGCAATTGCCCTTCTCTTCTGATCGTCCATACTACGGACCTTCTTATCGCAAACCCAGGCGTGAGCACCACGTCGACCTGAGTACACCCACATAATGTGCTTGAAGCCGAAGTCTTCTCTCAGCGCTACATCGACCACTTTAATAGCCATAGTCATGAATTGCCAGCACTTGTTGCAGATATTCGCCTTGTCACAGCATGTTCGGATGTCGTCGTAATCTGTCAAATCAATATCGAAACACAATTCCTTTGCAAGAGGTTTAAAGGCGGATGAGTTTCGCAGTGTCTTTCGGTCGCGAGGGTTGGTTGTGTAAACGGGGCCGATTTCGAAACGGGAAGGCATCAATCGAAGAACATCTTTTCGGAGCCTGAACATTGTAAGTATTTGTAATGCTATGTCCAAGTATATTACTTACGTATCGGCGGTAGGAAAAGATTGGTATCGGAGGTAGGCCTCGTTCTGTAGAGTGAAGGCAAACTCTCGGTTGCCAAAGTCGTTCGTTGGTGTAGGGCTGTGGTTGAGCCATTGAAATAGGTATCGCCAGGGGAATAATCGCTGGTAGAAACTTCTCATAACCTCCGGGTCTGAAGCCTTCAGCGACATCGCATCACTACAACCAGTTAGTTACTCTGCAAGCTTTAAGCTCCTGTACCGTTGCTTACAATAGGGGAGCAACAGGCGAACTGGGCTGAATAGCCGCAGAACTTGCAGGAAACTCATCGTCCGAGTCAACATCATCGAACAAATCCTCGAGCTGCTTAATATCCTTCTTCACATCCTCTGATTCCGTCATCTTGGCATCGGCCTCTGGCGCATTGGGGGTCTCGTCCAGGATTCCATTCTCCTCCTCCATCGGTTCGTCCTTAACGTTTCTTGGGGATGACATGGCTTCGGCTCCAGCTTCGACAGAATGGGGCATTTTTATCTTAATCAAGATGAGTTGTACGCACGACCAATGCCTCGGCCGTTGTATAATTTTGAAGTTGTCGCCGGTCACTGGTTGTCGCAGTGATGGAATAGGAAGATTAGAGTAGCGGGACGTGGGGTGGGACGCGTTGAGCGCGTCTCTTCGCGTAAAGAGATTTCCACTTTGGGTAATTAAGATACGTACCTCTTCTTCCACCACTTCGTTCATTTCACTTACACCAAGGTGCTAACCGACCTTCTTATCATGTATTATTGACATGCGCTCAATTACTTAACTTTGCTACTGACACAAGCACTTATAAGACGAGAGTATCGAACAGACTGCTGAAAACAGTGTTGTCTTCACTTGCTTGTGTCCCTGGTATCGAGACACTTCACATAAAAGAAAACGGGTTCTGGAGGGTTGAGTAGTAATCAAATATATCCAGAACAGTAAATAAAAATATACTTTTAGTTTATCGTCATATTAGAACCAGATCCATATCTACGCTCATGGGTATTATCTAAAGTATTCACCACTCTAGCATTGTCGTATCTTACTCCACCTCTTCGATCTTCCTAATCATATCACCACCAATTCTTGAAATCTCTGCTAACACAGCTTTTCGGTTCACCACCACAACATCGTCGTCCTCACCCGCGACCTTGTGGAAGTTGTAAGGTAGACCTGCTCGGAACTTCTGCTGCTGAAGCTTTGGGTTCCAGATAGCACCAATAACAGCATCGTCCTCTTCACCGTTGTTAGTTCCCCTGAAGAACACAAGTGTATCCTCGTAGATGCGCTGCAGCTCTTGCATAAAGATTTCGACAGGGTGAGCGCGGATGGGGAGAGGTGCGCGACCTGTTCTATCATCAAGGTTCTTGAACTGGGAACGGCGGTGGGCAGAAGGATCGCAGGCTGCCTCTCGAAGGATAGAGCGGATGGCCTTGCGAGAAAGGTGGAAGAGAACATCGTAGTCTTCGAGAGATGTTTCAAAGAGCTCAATCGCATCGATGCCGTAGCCACTGTCTTTGACAACCTTGCAAGCAGCCTTGGCCAATCGAGTCATGCGCGAAGCAATGAGCTTGGAAGGGCCATTGCGAGTGTACGCCAGACCAGACGTATCGACCGAAGTGGCAACAAACATAACAGTATGGTTCATGTTAGGGTCCTTTTTACGCCAACCCTCAAGCTCTTTGCGGATGTTGTGGCGATCATCGTCCGTCAACTCCTCAGCTGAGTCGACAATCAAGGGCTCATCGCGCCAGTCCCAGCGGGACAGGAAGGTCAGGACGCGCAAGAAACCAGTTGAAGCACTTGTGGGTGCACGCCAAGGGTAGGGTTGTAGAAAGACACTCAGGACAAAGAGCTCAATAAGCTCTTCGCTAATGTGACTTGAGAGCTTGTGGGCGTTGAACCAATGCTTGACCAAGCGAATGGTCTGGGACAGAGGGTGTAGTCTTGTGCAGAAGGTTGCAATAGTTTGTGTATGAATTGGCAGGGTCTCAAAGAGCCACTTGGTTCTGGCGAGTGCTGCTTCAGAGTCCTCACGGATACGAGGATCAAGAGTCTTATTCTTGATCTGTCTCTCAAGCAATATGTCCTCTAGGTCGGCGTGGATCCTTAATCGGAATGCTGCACCGGTATCATACACGATATCGAGGTAAGCCAAGTTCTCGATTCCGATCTCCTTGTTTTCTCGGCCAAGGTGGGTTGTGATGTTCTCCTTGGTCGCTTTGAGTCGTCTGTCGAAATCAAGCAGAAACTCGATCTTGGTCTCCTGGATGGCGACCAAGTTCTCCGGCCATCGACCCGAGGCCTCGAAGTAGAGATTGACATCTATAGGCTCGATGGTGCCTGTGTGGAAGCCGGGTCTAGGAGCATCAACCGAAGCATATCTGGCAGCTGGCGATACTGCCGCGAGTTGTCGGATCTGCAATGGAAGGTCTTCAAGATTTCGGATGTCGTATTCGAGAGTTTGGAAAGCTCGGCGGGCAGCGTCAAAAGCCTCCTTATCCATATGTGTGAAGGTGACGATGTTGGAGAAGCCCGCACCATAGGCAGTGATTGCTCCGCTCTCGACCTTGAGGTGTCGTTTCAACGTGTGTTCAGCAATCTCTTCGCAAATCTGGAATGGCACTTTGCTTGACCACTCGACACACTCGAGAATACTTCCGTCCTTGAAGCGACGCAACTCAGCCTTCTCACCCCAGAATCGTCGGAACTTTGCTGCTTCCTCTTGTTCCTCAGCGGCAGGACCATGCTCCATTTGACGAGCCATCTGGGCAAACTCAAACATAACACCAAACTGAACCTTGCCAGCATCTGAGGACGGTGCAGAGCCCAGTTTCCATCCTGCCTTTGAAGGCAACTGGAAGTGCACAAGATGAGATCGGTTACCAAACGCCTTCGCGAGTACCTTGTGGGCTTCCAAGCTGAATTCCCAAGCCGCTCCCCTGCGGTCGGGAGAGTCTGAGGGCTTCACATACTGACTCTTGACCTCGAAAATGGCGTCGAATGTTTGAAGAGGCGCATCTGACTTGATGATGAAAGTCGGGGCAAACTTGTCGGCGGCTTCGTCGGCGAGGTTGTCGGTAGTAGATTTGGCGTGCATCTGAAGGAGGCTGGCAGACCAGGGGTTCATCTTGTAGAGCACATTGAGTTCTCGGATGGGATCGTACATAACAGGGCCAGCTTCTTTGACGGTATCGGCGTTGATCTTCGAGGAACCAAACACAAATGGCTTTTCGTTGAAGTCGGTGGTTGAGAGGAATTGCACGGCAGCCTTGAAGAGTTCGGTACTGCTGAGAGAGTTGGAAAGCATTGCCTGGCCATTACGTCCACCCATCTGGAGCAACAGGGCGATCATGACAGACCATTCGAAGTGACCAAAACCACCTTGCGACACAGAACTGCCAAAGCCCCTCTGTTGCAGCCAGATTCTTCCCAGGACACAGGCATCAGTCAAAGCTGGACATTCATTCTTGGCGTGTGTAAGGACGCGCAAGTAAGAAATGAAAGCCTCCTCAGCCTTCAGAGTAGAGTTGTAGAAAGGGGTGCCGGACTTTGTTTTCTTGTCGTCGGTCTCTCCACTTCGGTTGTTGTTGGAGGTGGGAAGCAACTTGGTCTTGGGGAAGAGACCCTCAGGCGCGCAGGGGATGAGTCGAATAGTATACGGGGACTTGGCGACCTTTGCCTTCTTCTTGGATGGCTTTCCCTTAGTGTCCTTGTTATCCTCGTCATCCTCTTCGGGCTTAGGTCGAAGTGCGAGCACAGGCAGAAGGGGGTTCTCGTTAAGGTATTCGAAACCGATGTCCATCGAATCTTCCAACTCTTTCTTGACGCTGGCGGCGATGTAGGCGATATAGTAGGCTCTTCGGTAAAAGTATCGCATGCTTGTAAAGTCCTTCTCCTGGAACATGGTCTTGGGCATTTGGACTACCATATCAATTCCGAAATGCGCCTGGGACTTGATCATGGTCTTAGCAACGTAACTGCCGACGACGTTGTACGAAGCTGGCTTCTCGAAAGATAGCTTGTAGGGCGCATCTTTTGCGGGCTTCGGATCGGGGTAGGGAATGACGATGCGATGCTTCTTCTCAAAGCGGGTGGTGACTTGGGTGATCTTAAAATTTTGTTAGTCTTTTTGAAGAGGCGACGGCTTTTGGCAGGATAGAACAAACAAGTTCAGGGCCATGGGGTTCCGCAGTATCGATGGCCTCCTTCAGTTTGTGCAGATTTTCATCGACTCCCTTCAATGCCTTTCCATAGTCGAGTTTGGCTTCCTTGAGCAGCTCGTCGGTTTGGAGCACGAATGTGCTAGCGGTTGAGACACGGGCAGAGCTACGAGCCTCAAAATCGATAAGAGCATCATGTCTTAGTCCAGACCCAGCATGGTCGATTTTGCGGCGTTTCGAACTTGACTCCATGACGACCGAACGTGTTGCGCCAGTTGTGAGAATGGCGGAAATTGTCGTCGTTTCGGAGGGTCCTTGTTGGTGAACCTGTCGCTATTGTTTGGCTTGACCTGGGATGGTAACTAATTTTTTTTCTGCAACCGTTGGATCTGCGGGGCGATAAGATCCTTATCGCTGACGGTACGTACCTACCGAGCAAGTCTGTGCAGCTTCCATCAGTTCGTCTGGGCTGCAAGGGTCTGTGTTAAAAAGCTCATGTTGCAGAATTATTTTCTTGTTCTCTTATACAATTGATTCAATTATTTCTTATCACTGTATGTAAATTGATCTTCTTTATGAAGTCCAAGGGGTGATATCAATCAATTGAGGTTGGACTTTGCAACCTCGGTATGGTGAAATTGAGGTCTGAACTCGCAGCCAGATGGAACGGATATAAGATCAAAAGCTCCAGCTTGTTCGTGTCATGATCACGATCTTTCTCTCCTTCTCTCCCTCAAGAATTGCCCTCCTGAAATATGGAGCCGATCATTGCACCATCTTCTTTGAAAAAGGTTCACGCCAGATCTTCCTTGCACAAAGATTATGCAGCTACTACAGCACGAGCATGTGGGAACTTGTTCAGGCGATCGCTAGATAAATATGAACTCCTTGCTTTGATAAAACCCGCCAAATAGAGCCGCCTTGCAGAACGCTCAAGCCAGTTCAGGTCTCGTCCAATAGATGCATACCCTTGATATGGATCCATCAGCATTAGCCTACTTCAACTTCAACCACCTCTATCCAACCTCATACTTCACCCTTTATTGCTGTGCAGTGCATTAGTTTCATCCTGCCATGCTTGCGATCGGTGATCGTCAACCAAAGTCTCTTTGTGCCGGAAAGTAAGACAAGTCAAACGTGAATCCACGCACTAAATCACTCTGGACTATGTGTGTAAATTAAGAAACGCACGCTACTGAGACAAATGTTTGATGATGGACCGTTCAGCCGTGGGATATCGGGTTGTTTACCATTCCAGCCCAAACTCTGAATACCAGGAATACACAATTAGGGTCCTGAATATCAACTTTTTTTTGTTTTCACCAGACACGCGTGTTCATGATGATGGACATCAGATCGAGACAGCTCTTGGGCTCTCTGAGTCTCTACTGCATTAGCCTTGCACAACTAGAACCCCTACCTTGCTGCAGGTTTCTACCGCCCTTGACGTCTTTAGCCGTTTTGAGTTGTCGATTGGTTCCTTGACGTAACACCAGAAAAAGGCCCCGTCTAGTGTTTGTTTTGTTTTGTTGATGTTCTGAATGTCTTGCCTCTCCTTACCTTAACCTCCATACCACTTAGCCCAAGTTGGCCTGGCAAGCCCCAGATAGAACCAACGCCAAGTTCTGTGCTCTCAGTCTCGGATCATTGCTTTTTGAGTGTTTTATGGCTTATGCACATTGAGGCACGCAGCATGTAAGGGAAGTCTGCCTTTTGCGGTTCCAGGAGATTGCCTCCTCTTTATCTGAAAGGCGGTTATAAGAGCAAGGGAATCCATGTCTGCCATCCGATGGCTTGCTTGATTGTTTGCTTGCTCATGCAAACCATATAATATCAACCACCTGGTCTACCATTAATAATCTGTTCCTAGCCGTTGTCGACTTGTATTGTCGTTTCCGATTCACTTTCGACATCTTTTCCTTTTGTTAGACTGTTGCCTCACGGCTTGCCACTTCTCCTCACCTACCATCCCATAATACTCAAGTGTGCTTGAATCGCTTGACACTACTGCTGATGAGTTTCAACTGAGTCAGCCTTTCTTAACCATCTTCCCACGTCATCAAAAATGGAATCGTATACAAAACAACAACCTTGTCTCTCGCTCTCATCATCGGCCATGGACTTGGATGTGGATCGCCGAACACCCTCGCCAGTACCCTCGCTGGGTCACGACACCATCAACACTCCCATTGCAGAGATGCCTACTCCGCCTGCCTTTGCATCAACCTTCTCGCTGCCTATAACTGCCGCTAAGAACTTGACCGTTGGAAGTGCCGGTTCTCCAGACATTAAGAACGACAACGACTTGCTGCCTCCTTTGTTGCCTCAAACCGAAACATGTGGAATCGATAGACCCGACGTATCCGTCATGGGCGGCACGCCCGACTTTCTTCTTCTCTACTGCTTCAATATAGACAGAGCGGTAAACTTTTACTCACGCTGCTTCGGCTGGAAGTTCTATGGAGACATGAACGCCCAACAGTCTGATGATTCCTACATGAGACGGTGGGGATCTTCGCACTTCGACACGCAGCCCATGAACTTCTTCAACTCGAGCCAGAGTGGAGGATCTCGCATCACTGGCGCCCTGATTCAGATCAAGAGCGCAGGAGATGACAGTGCTCACCTCGAGCATAGACGACAGATGGCCATGGCGTTTGGTGCAACGCCTTCGTGTCACATCCGAGTTGCTGATATTGAAATGGCTGAGTCGTTGATCGAGTGTCATTACGGCGAAGTCAAGCAGATGCGGTTCGGCGTTCGACAATGCATTATGGACATTGGAGAGTTTGTCGACCCTGAAGGAAACTTGATCGGACTCGTGGCCCTTCACCCGGAAAATGCCACAACCACCATGACTATGGATGAATGAGTGAAGTGTTGAGCGCTCATCATGGGAAATGGCTACAGTGGAGGATAAAGAAATACCCGGTGGCTTATTATCATTCTTCCGCTCATATGAGCACATTTATTCTATCATCTTCGTGTTTTGTTTTACCTCTAGGGTCATTTGTGGACTTTTTTGGAGCTTTGGAGTTTTTGGTCAAAATATCATGGGTGTGTGGTTTGGCTTTGCAGAGGAGGACAAGGGTGAGAAAGAGGAACAAGAACGGGAGGGGATCCCCATCTCAATATTAGCTTCGCTTCTGAGCAAGTCCAATAGCCGACATCGGTTCCGTCGGGGAGTGCCCGGAACAACAACCATCTGGTCTTTTACAAGCAAGTAGTCATCATAATCACTACTAATACAAAGAATGTCAATAAATAAAACGGCGACTGAACCCCGTGAACCTGATCTCTCTGTATCAGTGAATTTACCCAACATAGTTAGTTCTTTGGCTGTCATGAGAAGCCCAGTTCCGTCATGACAAGTCCAACTCCCGAAAAGAATAGCCGGTCGCCTTCGGAAAACCCATTACCCATCAGTTATTCCGCTCCCTGAGCCACTAAAACTACAGCTTCAGACTGGTTGACTGTAGCTGCCCCGGACTTGAGCCCCCGCTGTCCCTCCACTCCAGTACCATCATCCTCGGCCTCCACACGAGGAATAATGCCCCGGCCACTTCCCGCAGTTTTGAAGGGGCCTGAAGCTAAAGCTCTTAGACTAGTACGTACAGTATCTGCATCCGATCCTTTAGCCGTCCTTTGACATGAAGTTCCCTTGAGGCTTGCTCCTTCCATTGGTTCCCCACGAATTTCCGAATGCCGATACTCGCTTCCGAATTCAGATCGCGGAACTCATGAGCACTCAAGCCTGGGAAGGTGCCCGGAGGTAGACCCACGGCCAGCACCGGCCTTAATAAACGGATATCCCCCGCCAACGGCCCGCCGACTTCTATCGTCATTCGGCTCATGCTCTCTCTTCTCTCTGTGTCTTCCTCTCCTCGTCTTATCTCACTCTAATTCCTATTTTCCAGGAAGAGTGCTGTTGCATGAAGCTCAATTGATCTCCAAATCATCCTACATTGTAGCTGACAGCAGGATTGTCGATCTTCATATTGAAGCTATACCCATCTTTCATATATACACAAGATGCCTTCTGCAGCTTTCAGGTTACGGACTCTCCGAGCTTTCGCTCGCAATCCCGTCAACGTAGGTCTAATTCATACCACGCGACACACAATTCCAGGCGCATACTGACTGATACCTTTAAGCCTAATGTCGCTCTTGCGCGATCCTTCTCAGCGACCGCGCGCCGCGCCGAGATCAACAAGGTCTTCCCTTCAGCCAAGGAAGCCCTCCAGGATATGAGGCCCAACTCGACCCTGCTTTGCGGTGGCTTCGGTCTCTGTGGTGTCCCTGACTCCCTCATCAACGAGGTCCTCGAGAAGCCCGACATCACCGGTCTCACAGCCGTTTCCAACAATGCCGGTACGGATAACTTTGGTCTCGGCAGACTGCTCAAGACCAAGCAGATCCGCAAGATGATTGCCAGTTACATTGGCGAGAACAAGACCTTTGAGAAGATGTATCTCACTGGTGAGGTCGAGCTTGAGCTGACACCTCAGGGAACTCTCGCCGAGCGATGCGCTGCTGGTGGAAAGGGTGTTCCCGCTTTCTACACCCCCGCTGCCTTTGGTACTGTTGTCCAAACTGGTGATCTACCTCTGCGCAACAAGGCCGACGGCTCTCCCGACGTATACTCTTACCCCAAGGACGTCAAGGTCTTCAAGGGCAAGTCTTACCTCCTTGAGGAGAGCATTGACGGCGACTACGCCTTTGTCAAGGCCTACAAGGCTGACAAGCTCGGTAACTGCCAATTCCGCCTTGCCGCCCACAACTTCAACGGCGCCATGGGTCGCAACGCCAAGATGACCATTGTTGAGGCTGAGCACATCGTTGAGCCCGGTGAGATCCCCCCTGAGGCTGTTCACCTGCCCGGTATCTATGTCAAGCGTGTCATCCAGAGCACCGAGGAGAAGTCGATCGAGAAGTACACCTGGGCCAAGGATCCCAATGACCCCGAGGCCACCAAGGCTCTGGGCTCCGGCGACACAGCCGCCAAGCGTGAGCGCATCGTTCGCCGTGCTGCTAAGGAGTTCAAGAACGGCATGTACGCCAACCTGGGTATCGGTATGCCCATGCTTGCCCCTGGCTTCGTCGGCCCTGAGGTCGAGGTCCAGCTCCAGTCTGAGAACGGTATCCTCGGTCTAGGCCCTTACCCTCAAAAGGGTAAGGAGGACCCTGATCTGATTAACGCTGGTAAGGAGACTGTCACTCTCAAGCCTGGTGCCGCCGTCTTTGGCAGCGAGGAGAGTTTTGGCATGATCCGCAGCGGTCGCATCAACCTTACCATCCTGGGAGCTATGCAGGTCAGCGCCACTGGTGACCTGGCTAACTGGATGCTTCCTGGAAAGGTCAAGGGCTTCGGTGGTGCTATGGATCTTGTCAGCAACCCCAGCGAGACCAAGGTTGTTGTGACCATGGAGCACACTGATAAGAAGGGCAACCCTAAGATCGTCAAGCAATGCGCCTTCCCTCTGACCGGACGTGCTTGCGTTTCAAGAATCATTACCGAGCTGGTTAGTTCAAGAGTCTGCTCTTCGTAACGATAATGTACTAACTGCTGTTCCCAGGCTGTCTTCGATGTCGACTTTGCCAACGGCCTTACTCTGGTTGAGATCGCCGACGGTGTCACTGTTGACGAAGTCAAGAGCAAGACCGAGGCTCCCTTCCACGTTGCCGAGGACCTCAAGCCCATGCTATAGAGGATACGATTTCAAGAGAAGAAAAGATGTTTATGATTGGATACCATAGCGCATATTGATGGGAGAAGCATTTACTGATGAATGATTACCCGGTGTTGGATTATTAAGTCGAGAGGCGAAGCGGATCGAATGGCTGGAAGCCATCGCATCACAGGGCAGCCGTTATCAAGCCATATATGCGTGGCTACGCTTGTTCCCGTTACTATATGGAAAAGAGGTAAAAGGACGACGGATATGGCGTTTCCGTTAAGAGCGATGATAGGTAGATAAAAGATTTTAAAGCGTCAAACAATATAAAAAATATATAAATCAACGAAAACACAATAATGTGAACTATCTTTATGATTTTTTACCTATTTAGTAGTTATTTTGAAGCCCAGTAGTCGTTTCACTGCACTGGCGTATTAGTGAGATGCATGGCATTGCACCAAACGCGTTATCACCAAGCGGGTTCCGACAACCTTGCCACTCTCACAGCCTCATTTAGTAAGCGCTTCACAATTACTCACGCTCTGTAACGAAACTCATATGATTCTCTTCTGTCTCTAGTCTCATCAGTCATGTTCGACCAAGATTCAGGTCAAGTCTTCAAAGAATATGTCATGTCACGCGGAGCTCTCGCCGAATCCGATGAGAACGCTGCGGATTGGAGTAAACGCCGACCATATCCCTCCTTTACAGCCCGGGGCCCTCGTGGGCCTCGTCCTTTAGTAGATATGGCTATTAGTGTGCTCGCCGATAATATTGGCAAGGTTCGCTCCAGGTCACATCTCGAGGCTATTCCGAGCAATATGCTATGGCGCATTTGGCGGTATCTTGAGGCCAGGTTAGTTGGATCGAAGGGCGGCGCGGGATGTAATGGCATAACTAATTTTCTTCATAGAGGCGTATGTCTTCATGCTTGGAAGATGATTTCAAAAATTCTCATGGATGACCAAGACGACAAGACTCTTGGACTGTACCGCTTCCGACAACACATCTGCCGTCCTGGGAACGATATCACCCGCTATACCGAACCTCTAACAGCACCGCCCACAGATTTCATCACTCATCTTGTTCTCACAGGCGGATGCTCTTTCAGCACTCACGATCTTCTGTGCCTCGCTGACATGCCTAATCTCGGTGCCCTTGAACTCATTCAACCGGCCGATGAGCTCCGGACTGTCTTCCCAACTGTCTCGGACCGTCTTGTCCGGGGATGGACAGAGAAGCCTGACCCATTTCCCTTGCTGCGCATATTAAGAATATGGGGCGATCAATCGACGACGCAGGAGTCTCTCAAGTGGGTGTCCAAGTTCCCTTCTCTCGCATTGTACGACGTCATGGGTGCAAGGGAGGACTGGTCTAAGAGCTACGAGACCGCGACTAAGAATGGGTGGGAACAGGATGATGCACCATCTGGGTTGGAAGACTCGTTGCTACGATATCTCATGTTGTTTGCACCCCTGGAAGAGACCAGGAGCAAACCCCTTCGCGATCTTGCGGCGAGTATCGACAGTGACTTGGTCTCTTTGTGCAGCGACTCCCGATGTGCAGTCAAGTTTGTCCAGGATCATCAAGCACCGCCTCTGCTCGACTATCTTACAGATACAGCAAAGGTACAGACACCATCATGGGATACCGATGCCGCATCTCGAGAAGCTCGTGCTTGTCACGGCGTGGCTTTCGAGTCTTGGGCGTTTTGGCTGTACTCCTTTCTTGGACAACTGAGTTTAGATCAAGATTTAGAAGCCCGTGGTGCTCGTCCCTCTACGAAAGCCGTAGCCGGTCCTTTTGTTCTGCCTTCGCGGCCACTAGCATGCCTGCATCTAGGCCACAGTTCTCGATATGGTGGTATTGGTACAAGACCTTCCTATGTCAGTAGAGGGTTGTTCGCAACGCGAAAGTACACTTTTACACGAGACGCTGCTGGTCAAGGTACACCGAAACCGAAACCGGCGCCGATTCCCAAGAAAGAACCTAGCTTAGTAGCATCGGAGCGATCAGCGCCTGTGTTGGCATTGAGGAAACAGAAGAGGAAGCGACTTGACGATGTTTTAGAGGCTTTGTCGAGGTGAGGAAGGATTGGCTTTAGGATTTCTTGAAGATTCTTGGGGCATTGTCCCACCAACAAGGAATGATTGGTTCCACGATTCAAATTTGCCAAAGTATGTTCCTACTCCAAATCTTTGGGCTTTGCTAACCTGTGTCTTTTAGACCTTAAGGAGTTGTGAATATTATATCGCAGCTTGGCCTCCGCCCATTCATTAGACGATAGTCGTTGTGGCAAAGTCCTGGAATGTGTTGCTGATGTATTGATAACTTGGGCTCAGCGTATTGCGTTTTGAAGTATGCATTCGAATCCAAGACTCATGATGGGCGCTCTTGGAGGTTTATGGATGGCTTCCTCGAACGAACCTATGGACCATCGAAGTACTTATAATGAACGTATGGCAGACGGTGTTTTATGTTTATTGCTTCATGTGGAAATATCTGGCACAGGCAAATGGTGTTCCCAACGTTGGTGCAGGTCCTTTCATCTTCTTGGGCGATGCAGACAGCGGGTATGCGGGCACTCCTGAATGCGTTCGCATTACGCACGTCAAGACCATGACCACAGAATTAACATCAAGTACTCGACAGTAACGAGATCAATTGCCAACAGTTCGGCAGCTATGATCACACTATCCTGTCCGTGATTTGTACGTTGAATAAAAGTCAGACTACCCTATACTTCAGGAATCAAAAGTTCGTGGGGTCATTACAAAAAGCTGAATGCATGCCATTTGTGATGGGCGAACAAGAATACAATCGTCTTTGCAGAATGCGCATAGTTTCGGGACAGTCGAGCCGCACGGCGAAGCTGATAGTTCACACCAGCTGCTCAAGAGGGCCGCTGCAGCACTCGATTAAAGATGAACGACGCCTTTCGCAATGTCAAGATAGATCACGCAAACCAAGCAACGGCTTCAAGTGCAGATGCTAAGCGAAAACTACAAGCGGCCACAGGTTTCCTGCGAGCCAGTACCAGCTAGGCTGGAATTATGTGCCATGTCTCGATGTGTAAAGAGTGTTGAAGAAGTGGTATGTACCGCGTCAAAATTTCTTTCTCCCAACGCAGCCGAAGCTACAAGCAGGACAAAGGGTAAGTGTCAGCGGAAATTCATCTTTCCTCCAGTTTCCCCTCCAAGTACCTCCATGGTGTAATGAAAGCCAGAGTGAATTTGAAGGATTCAGTTTTTTCTAGTAGGTTGAAGAAGAAAGGAAAAAAAGAATTAAAATCGCGGCTCACTCGAGGTGGTTTTGTTTACGTGAGTGGGGCCCTCAAAGAGCGGGCTCGGAATATTGATATACCGAAGTAAGGGTCCCTCCATCTCGTTAAGCGAAAGTTACTGACTCCAGTGGGGTTCTCGATGGCAGATTGAACCTACAGCCTAGGGTTCCTACCTCTAACCTGATGATGGGGTGCTTCCATTGGACTTGGTTCAGAGACTCATCCATGATACAGATGTATTCGCTGTACAACAAAACTTTACACTCGTATACGCAGCCTGGTAAACCAGAACAAAACCTTGTCTCACATCGCGTGCACGATGAACAAACAAGCCATATGCAGCCTACCAGATAAATCGACGCCACTAGACGGCATGAGTTACGCCCCCCTAGCCACTGCGTACAAACTGGGAGTGTTTTATTCGTTCAATGACTTCAACGGGCTGTGGAGTGTCAGCCCGGAAGGCCCATCTTGTTCCTGACTCACCAGTTCCTTTCGTCTTGGCTCGACTGTTTTAGCTCCATGTGTTGTACAGTTGCATGTGGTTCAGTTACAAACAAATCGATACAAGACCGTATGCTTCTAAAGGCCCATGTACAAAGTCAAAACAATATTTGGTCTTTCAATCTTGAATAAAGCCTTCAGTGCCTCCTGGGAAACATTATCTGCCGTAATACCTGGCAACCTGCACTAAGTTATTCACAGGGCACCTCTTTGGCCTCACGTTTCTTGACCCTCAACTCAAAGTCGTGCTGTGTTTGGCTGTAGGTGCCCTGCCCATAATGCCGTGCATAAAGTATCTTCTTACTTAAATCTTAAAAGTATCAGCGCATCCCAATTACTCATATTCAACGCATCCCTTGACTCATATAAATAACAAGGTTTCTGAAGTTCCTGATCGACTACGTCCCTTGATCACTGTTCCTTCTCTCTTATCAAAACTGCTGCCGTCATTAGCTACCCCGCTACCCCGCCTCAGAACAAGTTTGATCAGCAAACAAACATTTAAACAAGAGACAACCAACAAAAAGGACATCATTCCTAACAAGTCTGTCAACTTAACTTACCCAAATACCTTATCACAAATCGTTCATCATGGCTCCTGGTGGTCCCCCTGGAACCGGCGCTCGCGGCCGAGGAGGAAAATTCAGAAAGCCTGCTAGAGGAGGTATGTCAATGCTATATCATTTGCGACTCAGTAGGCCACGAGAATGCTAACAAGCCTAGGTGGCAAGAAGTTCTCCCGCGATATTCGACCCCTCGATGCCGATGGAAACGAAGTCAGCATGTGGGCTGTCGACCCCAACAAAGAAGACGACAGCGACGAAGAGGAGTCCTCTGAGGAGGAGGAGGAGGAGTCTGAAGAAGAGGAGGACAGCGACAATGCCGCAACCGCCGGCCCTGCTGCCGAACTAACACAGGAGCAATCGCGAGAGGCTCGCAGAGCCGAGAAGAAGGCCCGCAAGGAGGCAGCGATAGCCAAACAACAGGCCAAGACAGTCGAGGTTGGTGACCTGCCATCAAGCGACTCAGAAGACAGCGACAGCGACAGCGACTCGGACGACGATATGCCCGCCAACCCCAACCACTCCAAGAAGGCGCGCAAGCAAGCCACCGCGGGTGTCGACGAGATCACAGAAGGCATCGATAACATGAAGGCGGCACCAACCCGTCGCGAGCGCGAGGCCCTCGAGGCGGCAGCTGCCAAGGAGAAACACATGCGACTGACAGCCCAGGGCAAGACCGACGAGTCCAGAGCCGACCTGGAGCGCCTCAAGGCCATCCGCGAGCAGCGTGCTCAAGATGCCGCACGGAGACAAGTGAGTAATCGGTCACCATGAGTTTTCAACTAGACCACATGTACTAATGCTGCCCCAGGCCGAGCGCGAAGAAAGAGAGGAGCAAGAAAAGGTCAAGAAGGCTGAGTTCGAAGCTAAAGAGGCCCGTAAACGAGAGGCTGCTCTCGGCAAGAAGGGCAAGAAGAAATAGAGGATACCTAGATTATGACAGACTTGACGATTATGATCAACGAATAAATCCCACATTTGGCTTTCCTGGCAGGACATAATATGATTCATTTTCGTACCATGATTAGTCAACGCGACTTACAAGACAGCGAGAGGTATCAAGACTTACCAACTACGTAGAAATATGGCGTCTATGATGATTCATTGCGCTTGATAATAAACTGCATTCTCTCATATTCATAAGTAGTCCCCGAACGGTTCAAAGCTCGACGACACTGGTGTAATCAGCATGAGGGAGTTAAGAGATGAATTTAGTTAGAGTAGCCTCACGACATCTTACTATACGGACATCTTAAAAAGTGAGCCATCCGATTCTTCTTCACTATTAGTGTGGTACGCACCCATAGGCATGATCACTCTTCTAGGTGGGTGTCAGAAGAATTGTCCTCCAAGCTAGGCTACATAAAAAGTAGCCGAACCACTGGCCTAAGCTCACATAAGTTGACCAAGTTATTTTGTCTCCTAAGGTCTCGGCGGCCAATTCTTTTGACATCCTGACGGTATTGTCTGCAAGGTGAGATTTCCAATAGCGAAATCTTGTTGAAACAAAGGCGATGTCAGTCATATCCATGATTATCATTCAGTTTGAGTTTGATCTGAAATTTAATTTGAGCCTCACCCAAGAATTATGGAAAAGACAAGACCCTGAGCAAAGCATCGGTCGGTACGTATCTCGACCGAATCGCGCTAGACTTTTGCAGGGATAGATCGACCGCCTTCAGTTCGGCTTTCCCCACACAAAGTGCAAGGCCAGCGGTTTAGTTAGCAGGCAGGAAAAAAAATTACAACGATCCTCCCCAAAAAAATCGAGGCAGCAAATCGCCATCCGAGCTTTCTTTTTTTTCCAACCTCGTACTAATATCGAGAGCGCCAAGTCATCTCGATAATCGCCTGGGACTAATATTTGCGACTTCAAGATACCTTCATTCCCGTTCGAATTGAACCAACATTTAATATGGGCGAGTCTTCAGTAAAGGTCCGTTTTCTCAGCCGCTGTCATGCCCCGCCTGTCGTACAAACCTTCGATAGGTGGTAATAGGAAGCCTTCAAGCTGACCTTGAGTACTATAGGACCGCCTGCGCGCCCAGTCCAATGCCTTTGATGGCATCCTGAGTCTTATTCCTGCCAAGATGTACTACGGTGAAGACACAAGCGTATGTGAAGCGAACATCCCATCGATTTCGAGTCAAACTCTGCCTCCCAGTCATCCAAATATATCACCTGCCTCTCCTCACCTCACGCTCTTCATTACAAGCGCAATAGGAGGCTAATTCGTCCATAGGATCAATGGAATAAGAAGAAGCAGACGAAAGAAGAAGCGGCCGCCGCCCGTCGCGGAAAGTTGGATCCTGATAGCGAGTTGAACCGCAATGCTAAGGAGGTCATGGACGAGCGCGCCAAGAACAAGCGCAAGCTGCGCGAGATGGAGCAACAGGATGAAGCCGATAACGATGACGACTGGGAAAACTACGAGCCCGTTCCAGGCGTAGACTCTGAGAAGCCGGGTGAGGGTCTCAAGGCTGCTAAGACTGAGAACAACAAGAAGCAGAAGCTCGCCGACGAGAACGACGATACAGAGCCCAAGGCACCGGCTGAAGCAACTCCCTCTAAGGTGTCTAGGAGAGAGGAAAAGAAGGCGGCTAAGAAGGATAAGAAGAAGGATAAGAAAACCGAAAAGACGACAAAGGCCGAGGCAGATGAGACTGAGAGCAATGATGCGCCAGCCCCTACACCAAAAGCCCAGAAGCAACCTGCCAAGAAGCAAGCAAAGAGCCCTGCCACTAAGGTTCAGAAGCAAAAAGAGGAGAAGAAGGAAGAGGAGACAACAAATAAAGGCGACGGCGAAGTTTTGCCTATGGATATCTCTGGTATGGAGAAAGAGGATGAGGTTAGCGGCAACTCGAGTCACGAATCCGAGCCACACTCCCCTACGTTTGACACAAACGATTCCACAGCAGCCCCTGCAGAGACTACCACCGACCCTGCCAGCACCACTACCTCCATCTCATCCACCGTCGCCCCTTCAGAAAAGCCCAAGCACATCAAGCTCCCGGCCGACACCACTGCCATCCGAGCACGCCTTGCTGCCAAGATTGAGGCTCTCCGTGCTGCCCGAAAAGCTGATGGCCCTGATGGAAAGCCCATTCGCACACGCCAGGAGCTTATTGAATCGAGACGAAAGAAACAAGAGGCCCGAAAAGCCCACAAGCAGGAGTTGCGCATGCAGGCTAAGCTTGAGGAGCAACGCAAGCGTGAGGAGGCATTGATATCAAACTCGCCTGGTATTATGAGCCCCGCTGTCGAGCTTGATGAGAATGCTAGCAACTTCACCTTTGGTCGGGTTGCCTTCGGCGATGGTGCCCAACTCTCTCGCGACCTTGGCCATGTGCTGACCCAGGGCAAGAAGAAGGGTCCTTCGGATCCCAAGACAGCTCTCATCAAGGTCCAGAACCAGAAGAAGCGTCTTCAGGAGCTTGATGCCGAGAAGCGAGCTGATATTGCCGAGAAGGATGCCTGGCTGACAGCTCGCCGTCGCGCAGAGGGCGAGAAGATCCGCGACGATGAAGCTCTTCTCAAGCGCGCCGTCAAGCGAAAGGAGGTTGCCAAGAAGAAGAGTGAGAAGGCCTGGCGCGAGCGATCTGACGGCGTTAAGCTAGCTCAGAAGGAACGTCAGCGCAAGCGAGAAGAGAACCTGCGCGCGCGCCGCGATGACAAGATGCTAGGCAAGGCCGGCAAGAAGAAGAAGAAGGCCGGTGCCGCTGGTGCTAAGAAGAAGGGTCGCCCTGGTTTCGAGGGAAGCCTGGGCGTTGGAGGTGGAAAGAAGGGTGGAAAGAAATGAGCTTGAGGAAAGGCAGAGATGAAGAAAAAGATTGATTGATTGATTTTTTACTCTTTGATGTAATCAAGATACACGGCGCTGGCGGAGTTCCGGTCGGCAAAAAGGCGAGGAAGCATGGCACAACATTTCAGGAGGATGACGCTTGACAGTAGTGCCTTTCGGCGCGCATTTGATACTTGACATAATTCATTCATAGACTTGATATGGCATGAAGGCGAGAGAGCGTGCTTCGATTGCGCCGTCGATGCAAGAAACCCTGAACTTCCAAGCTTAACAGTGCAAATTCCCTTGTATTCTTAGACCTCTGTATCCTTTCCTCCGTGATCTAATCCGTATCCTCATGGCTGTCATATCAAGTCCAACATCACCGTTATGCACCACAGCGACAGGAGAAACCTGAAGTTCCCCGAGCAAACAGACGCCCTCACCATGCGAAAAAACAGAAAGTTGTCTGTGGTATTTTTCTTTTCATTACAACAGATAACACCAGGCCCGGTTCCAACGACAAAACAGCAACGGCTACGCTTCACGTATTGACCTGAATTTCGCCCCCTTATCCCCAGCCCAGCACACAACCGACACATACACAACAGAGTTAGAGCTCGAGGCAAACTCATCCCGTCCATCTCCTTTTTTGGTTCACAAAAAGATAAAAGGAAGAATAGATAAGTCTCGACAAAAATAAAAAAGGACATTAAAAGAAGTTTTGGGGAGGGTTAGAAAGTGTGTGGGCTACCAGCACCACTTGTTTCAACACACACCCAGAGAGGTTTCCGCTGAGCTAGTCAATTGCCAAGTTCCAAGCTCTCCATGCCTGGAAGATACTACAACTCGGTCTAGTTGAGTCGAAGAAAGTTCCAATTCCCTGAAGTTGCTCCGTATTGTAGTAGTTGTGTGTAGGGACTCATGCCTATCGTATCGGCGAGAAGGGGAGCCATGAGATTCTTATCGTCAAAGTCATGTCGTGAAAACGGTTCGAAAGAAGGATTAGTATCGGGTAGTTGGAACAGAGATTTTGGGGAAAGAGCTTGGCCTGACTAGGACGCTAGATAGTTGATCGAGAATGTATCCAGGCGTTATTCTTAGCAGCAGCGGGCACGCATACAACTTGCGTGGGGACGATTATAGGAGAGAATCAAGTCGAGTGAAGACACTCAAGCAAGCTGAAACCACTTCGAGTTGGAGCTCCTTGTCTTTGCCGCTGTTGACCTCCTGTAGCTAATGTCAGTCTTGAAACCTCTCGTGAAACAAAATACCCACCTCGTTGATAAGTTGAGGCAAGTTGGCTCCGATGCCATTCTGTGTAGCCTTCTTGCCGAATGGCCATTGGCTGTAGTCGGCGAGCAGGTCATCGGTCTGCGCAAAAGCCCTCTCGCGAGCTTCGTGGCCAAGGGATGCAAGGGCATTCTCGAGGACGTTAGCAGCGTAGGCGGCGCAAACCATGGCGATAGTGCGCATATAACGGAATTCGAGCGATTCTGGCAGGAATTGGCTGCCGTTGAGGACGACGGTTCGTTGGGTGAGGACGTTGCGGACGCGGCGGCGGATCTCCTCCTTGGCACCGCCATCGGCGACGGGGTGGGTAGCCATGTCGAAGAGGAGGAAATTGCGCTTCTCGGTACGGAGGATGCCCTTGTCAACAAGACCCTTTGCGAGTCGTTCTCGGACCTGCTTGAGTTGGTATCCGATCTTCATCAAGTTCCAGGTTTCGCCTATTATTCGAAAAGGAGTCAGCGACTGTTCTTGGGAGACGGAAAGTTTGGGGCCATTTACCGCTCATCAAGTCGATCCAGGTTGCGACGCTCATCTTTTCACTCTGCTTCATCATCTTGAGGGCTTCGTCGAGGAGGACCTCGCCCGTGAGGGTGTCGTCTATGACCTCGATGTTGCGGTCTGCGAGGGGGAATCGACGTCTCGAAGCATCCTTCTCCATTGCAATGCGACCACGGAAGGCCAGCTCGATGACGATGCATCCTCGGAGGGCATAAGAAATATTATCGTTCCAGAAAGAAAGGTAGCCCTTGAGAAAATAAATTGTTAGAGGCGTTTGTCTGCATTGTGCCGTACTGTCTCGGGGACAGAGGGCACGTGTATGAGCATATGTGCTAGCCTACCTGCTTATCCTTGAGGCCAAGTAGCAACACCTCTTCCATGAGAGTGAGCTTGGGCTGCTTGCTTCGCTCAGCGCTCTCGCTAATGTCTCGAGGGTCGAATGCGATCTTGTGGCCATTTTCTGAGTTCTCGTAGCTCGTCTCGGGTCCATTATCCCTGGCACTGGGTGTGCTCGTTCTAGGGGCAGCACCATTGCTGGAGTCTCCTTCGGCCGCAGGTCCTGCGCCGCCCGCACCGCGGCGTCGCGTCAATCCCGAGGACATTTCGAAGAGGTAGAGATATTAAGTCTTTGGTGTCTGGAGGGGAAGAGTCGAAGGCCAAGGGGTGGGAAGCGGCAGAAGAAGCGAAGCCTTTTTTTGTCGAGATGAGGTTGAAGGGGTACAGCACAGCACAGAACAGCACAGTCTAGGTTAATGCTAGCAGCCCAGTTTGAGGTCGCCCTGGGTCCTTGCACTTGATTGACTGGGCTGAACGGGGCTAGTTGCGCGTTCAGATTTAGGGGTTTTGGACTGGGGGGCTTGAAGCTCTGTACAGTTGTATTGAATTGTGCCCGTAAGGTACCTTATTAGCGGCTGGAACCAATAGATTGTCTAGCTGAGCAGTTGCTGTTGGGGGACTGGAGGCCCTTGTTGGAAGGAAGGGAGACTGATTATGGATTGATATGAAGACGCCAGCTTGTTGAAAGTATTTGAATCTGGCCTGATCTTTTCTTTATGTGTAGTCCGTCCTTTTCTATTGAGAACTGGCGCTTGGATCCAACGGAACTACCTGATGGCTAATACGAACATGTAATGATTCTTTCCCATCAAAAATTCGAGACAGGGGAGTTTATTCGGGTCTGGGTTGGTAGGTACGTATTAGGAAATATCGGCTAGCGAAAGTCAACCAAAATCAGTGGCATCAGAATTAATTGAACCAGAATGCAAGTTTCTATCTTTAAAAGCTTGAGGCTTGGTTCCTTGAGCGTTTATATAAGACAGCTGGTAGAGAGAGGCCTGGCATCAAGCACACCGAAAAGGGAATTTCTTTCTAACTGAGGAACAAGTGTATGGTGGAAAGAGGGAACGGCTCATTCGTTATACGGATACTACCCAAACTAATCCATCAAGATCCGTTTGCTACTGCAACAAGGACTGCCTTTAGCACAAATAGTAGGCGCCTGTTGCTTTACATGAAAGTTGTGCGAAAGGATGCCTAACTGATCAGCCCAACTTGCGCAGCCAACAAGTTGAGAGGCTCTTGCTGGCGTCCAACCAGGATGGTAGATTGCATAGATTACCCTCAATCCTACAGAAGGTCCATTCTTTTCAGAGGCAGTCAGCATTCTGCCTTGCTCGGACGATCTTTGCAGGACCTCAAATCTTAAACCTTGCAAGTCCTTTTCCCTACCTATATGTAAAGGGAGCTGCGCATACTGTGTAGTAGTGATGTGACATAAAGCCTTAATCATATGGAGAACCTCAGATGGAGAAAGTTAGGTCTCGCTTGATAACAAAGAAAACAATTCTGCCGCTCTATGTCCGGTCCCCTTAGATCCAACACACGAAGCCAAAGCTCCTGCTTGTCCTACTCTGCTAGGATTCTCCGCAGGTGCACCTCAAGCCCACCTTCCTTCCACTAACATGTGGGTGCACGCTTGTTAGTCAGCGTCCAAGACAGGACACGAATATCCACCACACACAATTCCAACTTCATCCATACCATCATCTAACAGTTGCTTTGGGCTTTGAGAGTCATTGCTGAAAGAAAGACAGTCAACCGGTACCAATTCGCCAGAACCAATCTTTTGAAACATGCCTTGAGCTTATCATGGCATACTATCCCTTCGATTCGAACACACCAAGTGTCGAGGCCGCCACCAATGCTTTTCTATAGCACACAAAGGGCGGTTTTTTGGACACCATAATCGCGACACGACACCATATCTTTACGACAACAGAAATTGGCTTTGCTATGCAAATTGATTACCGGGATATATAGAGGTCGAACAAAAGCTAGTTCTTCCTCCTTGGCTTCTGACCAGCTCCCTGAAGTCAGGGTTGCAATGGACAATCTTCATATGAACATTGGCACATACGCCGTTTTCATACAGTCACGAAGCATTGTTCAAGTGGACTAGAACCTTTGTGTGCTCTGTTCGTTTGTTCATGATGACTACGGTTCATTCTTGGGCGCTGTCTTTGTTCGGTTCAGTGGTGTTGGTATAAGCCAGTATGGTGGGGAGGTCAACCAACTTTGTCACCAGGTTCTATCGATTATGTTCCTATCAGCAGACATTGTGCCTTCTTTCTGGGCAGAACAGTCACTGTCTGGTGTGGACGTCGGTGACAGACTTTCGGTTAGGCTCGCTAAGCTTGCAGTGGTGAAAGCTGTCAGTGCATCTGCCAGCTGCCTGCCAGCTGTATCCTATGCCCAACCCCCATTGGACAGCACAAAGCTTTATAGGTTATCATAACTCTGATTCCTCCAACAGCGGGGGGACTGAGATGGGGCATCTGGCGCAGCGGTTCAGCCGCTCCTCGCTTGGGCTCCGGTCCAAGTGAGGAGCGGTTCGAACCGCGCCCCAGATGTACTCATCCTGAACCCCCTTCATAGGACCTGTAGAGCCCCTGGCGCTGGTACTGTCTGGGGACGCCTAGACATACCAGTCGACCGAGGCTCTAAGGGTGGCCAAACAAATATCCCAGGGAAACCGGGGACGCGCAGTAGGTTCCTACGCTGGAGAGATAGGAACGCCGGGCGAATAGTTTTTTTGCCCTCTTCTTTTGGTTAATTATTACATGTATACAGTACGACTGATTTTAAAGTTCTGATGTTTTACAATAACTATCCTGGTGTGCCCCTTTAACTAGATAATAATAGAGCGCTGTCTCTTTTAATACACTTGCAACTGTATTATTCTATTGTGGCAATGACCCAACACTCTCTTTCCAAAGATCGTCGAAGTTAATGTTCTCATTCTCGAACAACTCTCGGATTCTCTTGGCTGCAACCTCTTGTTCCTTGGGGCCAAATCCTCCAGGCTGTGTCGCTTCATATTGCACAATCTCAACCCAACGATAAAATAAGTTTTCTTTTCCGAGTTTGATGAGTGCGTCCCTGAAAGCAAAGACTTGGCGTCTTCGCTCATCTTCACTCGAAGTACCGTTGACACGGACATCGTAGGACATCCAGCCATAGGCAGCGTGATGAACGAGAACGAGGCCCTTGAAAGCATCGAGCGCGAGCTCCTTCTTGTCGACTAAACGGTGTGCAAGTACCATGCGCGCCCAGTCAAGATCCCAGTAGGCATTCATCAGGAGATATCCGGTCTTTTGCTCCTGTAGAATAGGGGAAGTGGCGTTGTCAATGTAGGACAGCAAGATCTTCTTTGAATCATCATCCTCCAAGATATCGGTGAGAGCCTCGTCCCATTCTCGGCTTCGGCGCACGTAGACCTCCTCTTCACGAAAGCCAACCTGCCATCGCCATTGGCAAGGGTTACCGCGTGCTTGTCCAGCGACGAACTCCACAGGCCAAGGCCAAACAAAGATGAAGAGGATAAAGTCGATAGACATAGTTCCAGCACGCTTTGCAATCTCCAAGGAAATCTCAGCCCATGTCGAGTCTGCAGTGTTCCAAGTTGTCTCGTTTTCATGCCCAAGACCGGTCATAATCAGCTGCCAGTACCAGGGAACAATCCACCACATGCGTAGAATGAAGAGAAGAATGACTACAACGTTCATGCCGACGGGTACAAGGAAGATCTTGCGCTTAAAAGCGGCAGGTTTGTTGTCAATGTGTGTGACATAGACGTGCTTCTCATCTAGAGATTGAATGAATGGCTCCAGGGCCTCAGGGGGCCTCTTGAAAGGTGAAGGAGGAGCTTCATCCTTTTTATCGGCAAAGTGAGCACGTTTTTGTTTTCCTGCCCTCTTATTAGGAGCCATGTTGAGTGTGGCCTTTTGTTTTCGTAGGTGTTTTGTGAAGTGAAGCTTGAAAGAAGTATGATAAGAATGATTAGGCAGGAGTTTGTAGTTTCATTGGAAATGTGTTCTCGAAGAATGTCATGTTCTAGTGGTTCCACAAAACCATCCAGGCAATTCCATGGACATGGATATGGAGCGTCTAAAATGTGTCTTGCTCTACAACTTGTTAAGGAAGAGGCCAAAAATCATCAAAAACATTTCGGGATGTATATCTAGCTATAATATCTTGTAATTTTGGACTTTTGGAATTTTAATTCTTCATCTTGATATGGTAATCGAAGCTCAAAGATACACCTTTGTATCGAGTATCGTCCTGCATGTAATTGTCTAGTAGCGGACAATCCCGGCGCCGAGAGCTCAGGTCGCCCACTGTCGGGTGGCTAACCAGCCGACTTACTCCACTAAGATTTGATGGATTTCTACATTTACAGAAGGTACTTTAGCACATTCGTTTTTAAAGTCAATGTCGAGGTGATTTTGCTCTAGGCCTGTCAATCCCTCGCCGTGGCAATGTTGAGAGCTCGTAATTTCCAGGTTAGTTCTATACAGCTCTCACTCGTGAAATCAAATAGCTTATACATGTAACAGGAGCGTGGTAATTCCTACGTATGCGCCTTCTGCCGCCACAAACCCTCGCCGAGGGACTCGCAGCTTAGAGATCGTCCTGTGTCCAGCATCGCAGCTTCGATAACATCAGTCAGAGCCACCGGGCTATCATCATGTCACCCATCGCGAATATCTGGCGTGCGCTCTCTTTCGACGAGCTCTACACTCCGTGGACCCGACGATAATGGCAAGCCTGGTGGTTTTACTGGCGGTATTGCTGGAGGATTTGGAGCTGGATTGGGGTCGTTCGGAGCGTTTGCGAACAAGCCAGCACCAGATGTTGCAAAACAGTCGGGCGAACTACTTCCTCATGAATTGGAAGCTCGCGCAAAGATGGGATTGCCTCTGAAGAAACCTCCTCCGAAGCCTGTCCAGGCACAGGCAAAGGATAACGCCAAGACATCGCCAGCTCCTCAGAATACGCCTCAAAACAAGGGTCAAGGCAAGAGACTTGACCAGGGCAGAAACCAGCGGATGAAGGGCGCCCAGCAATCGAATCGGTTCAACGAAAGGAGTAATAATTTTAAGCAGCAGCAAACGGGACAACCAGAACAATCGCAGCAACCGCAAGAAGCGAAACCAGCTAGGCCTGTGTCCAATCCATTATCGAGCTCCATTCTTGCCGAGGCCTTCAAGACAGACCGTACACCAGCGCCAGTGGCAACACCCAGATCTTGGTCTAACAATGAACCTCCAAAGCCAGCGACTTCTGCTTGGGGAGCCTTTGCCTCTCGAAAAGTAGACACGCATGTTCCTCTGATGCAGGGTCAAGCCAAAGCGAAGCCCACAGAAAACCGGCCCGAAGCCCAACCCAAGCAGCCGTTTCAGTCAACGAACAAGGGTGGCGAAAATGTATGGGGTCAATTAAAGCGTTCAAGGAGGTCAAACGATGAGAAGACCCCAGGCCAAGATGCCGGCTTCTGGGATGCACTCGAAAGCCGAGTAACAAACATTCGCAATAGACCTGCTCCTGACCCTGAGGTCACTGAGCTATACCAATCTGCACTTCAAAGCGATGGTCTGTTGTCTCCGGAAGCTCAGCAACCACAAGAAGATCAACCGAGACGTAAGTCTCGGTTTGAGATGGAGGAAGAAGAGGAGCGTAATAGAAGGGATAAGAAGGGCAAGCGCCAGAAGAATGTTCGTCAGAGTGACTACGAAGACGAAGATATGGATGAGGATGCAATTCGGCGATGGGAAAGCAGACAGCGCAAGAAGGCTGAAAAGGAAGCCAAGAAGCACTTGGAACAACCTGTCGAGGCTGCGCCAGTGCCCATCTTTCTTCCAGAGTATATCAGTGTCTCTAATTTGGCCAATGCTCTTCAGATTCGTGTCGCGGACTTCTTGCATGACTTGGAGTCTATGGGCTTCGAGGAAATCACCGAAGAAACCATCATGACTGGTGACACGGCTGCACTGGTTGCTCAAGAGTATGGCTTTGACCCCACGGTAGACACAGGCTCTGAGCGCGATCTTCGACCTCGACCAGCACCAGAAGATCCATCATTATTACCTAGCAGGCCTCCTGTTGTTACCATCATGGGCCACGTCGATCACGGAAAAACTACTCTCCTGGATTGGCTACGCAAGTCTTCAATTGCTGCTCAGGAGCACGGCGGTATCACACAGCATATTGGTGCCTTCATCGTTCAGATGTCATCGGGCAGCCAGATCACTTTCCTTGACACACCTGGCCACGCTGCTTTCTTGTCCATGCGTCAACGAGGTGCTAATGTTACAGATATCGTGGTGTTGGTCGTTGCAGCTGACGACAGTGTTATGCCGCAGACTCTAGAGGCTTTGAAACATGCCACAGCTGCCAAGGTCCCTATTATTGTTGCAATCAACAAGATTGATAAAGAAGATGCTCAAGTTGACCAAGTCAAGGCTGATCTTGCTCGCCACGGCGTTGAGATCGAAGACTACGGCGGTGATGTGCAGGTTGTGCCTGTCAGTGGAAAAACTGGCAAGGGTATGGAAGATCTCGAGGAGAGTATCGTCACTCTATCTGAGATCCTTGATGTCCGTGCCGAGGCAGATGGCATGGCTGAGGGATGGGTCCTTGAATCGAGCGTCAAGCACACTGGAAAGACGGCTACAGTGCTCATCAAGCGAGGAACCCTACGTCTTGGTGATGTTATTGTTGCCGGAAAGTCATGGGCCAGGATTCGAGGTCTTCGTAATGAAGCTGGTGTTGACATCCGCGAAGCTCCTCCTGGAACTCCCGTCCAGGTTCTCGGCTGGCGTGAGCTTCCTGACGCTGGTGAGATGGTCCTGCAAGCGCCTGATGAGGGCAAGGCCAAGACAGCAGTCGAATACCGCGAGGAAATGGCTGAGAGACAAGAGAGTTCCAAGCAGCTTGCCGAACAAGAACAACGCCAACGTGAAAAGGCTGCCGCCGAGGAAGCCGCTGCTGCTGCAGAAGCCGAGGGCGTTGAAGCGGAGCCCGTCACTAATGAACCAGGTATCCTCTTCCAGAACTTCATCGTCAAGGCTGATGTCGCTGGATCCGTGGAGGCCGTATGTGGCACCGTTCAGGAACTTGGCAGTAACGAAGTTCAATCCAAGATCCTACGATCTGGCGTCGGTGCTATCTCCGAATACGATGTCGACCACGCTACTGCTTCCAAGAGTATCATCGTTAACTTCAACATCCCCATCCTCCCCCATATTCGCCAACGTGCGGACGAAGCTGGCGTGCGCATTATTGACCACAGCGTTATCTACCACGTCGTTGACGATGTCAAGAGCGCTCTCTCGGATTTGCTACCGTACAATATCACCCATAAGGTTCTTGGCGAGGCAGATGTTCTGCAGCTATTCTCTATCAACGTCAGGAAACGTGTATCGAAGAATATTGCGGGTTGCAAGATTCGTAACGGTTCTGTTAAAAGGACATCCATGGTCAAGGTCATCCGTGGTGGCGAAATCATATTTGATGGTAAGTCAAGCTCCATTCTCGTTCATTCTATCTATAGTGATATCTCGTCTTCTTCCATTTACTAACCAAACATCCAGGTAAAATTGATACTCTCAAGCACGTCAAGAAGGATGTCATGGAGATGGGCAAGGGTGCCGAGTGTGGTATCGGTTTAGAAGGCTTTGAGGATCTACGGATCGATGATCAGATCCAGACATATGAGGAGATCAAAGAAAAGCGAACACTGTAACAACAATATTGTAAAACATGTACGAAAAAGAAGGAAACAAAAGGAGTTGACTCTTCTGGAGTCGTGTACGAATAATTACAAGATATGATACATGGTCTTATGAGAGAAGATTATAGGATTTGGAAGGATGGAGTATATATACCAGATCTCACTAGTCTAGTGATCAGCTTCCACATACGAAGTCACATTTCAAAGGCTGTCCGCCATTTCGGCATTTCATGGTTACAGATTCAAATCTTTTTACAATTTCTACTTGGTAATGCTACTGATCAGCTTTTGTAAGGCGCCCCCACTGCGTTTGACGAAAATGTTCTCGTTGTACGAGTAGCTTGAGAACGCTCCTTTTCCAGCTTGGCCAAGCCAATACGATCCGTCACGGGTGTAGCTTCAATGATGTTATCAAACTCATCATCCTCATCGACATCATCATCGCTTCCGCTCCTCTCGTTATCTGAATCAGGCCGCACGCTGGTATCGGGCTTGAACTGCTGCTGGTGTTGATGCGGGTTGGGGATAGAGGCGGGCTTCTTGTCTTCTTGTTGATGAGGGTTGGCAAATGTCTTTGAAGCGAGGACTTTGCGACGGATTTCGGCCATTGTGTCTTCCTCATCTGAATCGTCGGATATTGCGTAGCGATCCTTCTCTTGTTCTTCTTCCTCCCCTTCTGGCTTAGCCTTTGACGGCTTCTTTCCCAAGTATATACCATCCACACTCCCTTCTTCCTCTTCGCTATCGTCCTCATCATCTTCATCCGAGTCGTCGTCATCAGAAGACTCTATCCGTCTTCTATTTGTGTTTCCACTAGTCCACATATCGTCTTTTCCCTCTTCGCGACTCTCAGCATATTCCCTCTCCAGCTGTTCCATCCACTCTTCCTGTGTCTTCTTAATCTCGGCCTCGTCGGCACATGCTGCATATCGCTTGAGCAAGCTGGAGTTGATTTTGAGGAAGGATGGGCCATAAGAGAAGGGTGAGAGAATCTGTTCTGCCCAGTCTGGGTGCCCACAGATATAGAATGCGGCGGCCAGCGCCTCAACACAGTTCAGACGCCAGGGTTTACCATAATTGACCGTGTTCGCTGCGACAAGATATGGCAACAGTCGCTCGCACTTCCCTCCCACCTTATTCCACTGAACCTCCTGCGTTCTCGCCCAAGAACATTCCACAACAGCAGCGCCATACTGGTCCATGATCTCGCGGTCGGCAGGGGAAACGGTATGTTTGCCATTGGGTGTGATGATGACTCCGTTGTGTCGTTGGCCAAGATGAAGATCACGCATCATTCCGAGCTTCATAAGCTTCTTTCCTGAGCAGCGCTTGGGGTCGCAATGACCCAGGTCCCAGCATGCAGCCTTGAAAGCTGGGCGCGAAGACCCAGAGCCTTCCTCTTCATCGCGGGGGGGTCCTCGACGCGGGGCAGGGCCTCCCTTTCGACCCTTGTGGGCGAAGTCTTTCTTATGACGGACCATTTCTTATGGTTAAAATTGGATTCCCGGCAGCTTTTTGTATGTCGTAATGTTCAGCGATATTTGTCAAGTGGTTGTGTAAGTGAGGTCAAGATTTAAAAATTTGCCTCCAAAAAGTATGGATGATGATAAGATCGATGGTGGGGTTAAATGGACTTGCAATATTTATTTTGGCCTTGAGATCATTTAGGTGAGGGGCACTTCAGCCCAGGCCTTCCCAGGAGCCAGGAAGGCGCTGGGGCATCAGCGGCAGGTGCGCTATGACACCCGCTGTAATGGAGCAGGGCCCTCTGCTAGTCTAGAGCCTGTCCGCGCTTGATGCCATCACGTGGCTGTGCTGCATCCTACGCCACAGTGCCACACTTTACCTCACTGCGGACTAGCTCATCATAAGTTATCGTGCCCAGTGAGTGCTAGGTGTCTAATTCCATCCATCCATGGATGCTATCCCCTGGTTCCAACCCAGTACATGACTAGAAACAACAAAGAGACAGTTTAGAACGGGACAACAGGCAGGCTGTCTCTCAGCTACGGTCTAGCCATTCTTTCTTGCAATTGAGACTCTGTTATCCTCTCTATTTCCTCCCTCAGACCGTTTCCGTCGGCTTGAGCCGTATTCGGTCAGACACTATCAAGCTCCAGCTTCCCCCCGCCAAACCCCAGGCCAGGCCATTGACCAGCTCATCCTTACACTCTGTTAACGGAGCACTGCCTCCTAGTATTGTCCACTACTACTACCAACTTCCACGCGCCAGACACCCCCGACTAGCTTCATCTTCATCCGCACCCTTCTTGATCTCGTCCTCCCGTTACCATGGAGGCTGCTTCAGCTCGCGCTGCGGCTCGCGACCGCTGGAACGATGTGCCATCGTCTGGTCGAACCCCCTCCCAGCTTCAACGCTTCGTCCAGCATGCCTGCAGTCCCGAGAACTATGAGCCCAATCTCGCTTTGAACCTCGAAATCGCCGATCTTATAAACTCCAAGAAGGGTTCCGCCCCTCGTGAGGCGGCTACTGCTATTGTCAACTATATTAATCATCGCAATCCCAACGTTGCCTTGCTCGCCCTCGGACTTCTTGACATTTGCGTCAAGAACTGCGGATACCCCTTTCATCTACAGATCGGTACAAAAGAGTTCCTCAATGAACTCGTCAGGAGATTTCCCGAGCGCCCGCCAATGCGACCTACGAGGGTGCAGGCCAAGATCCTTGAGGCGATTGAAGAATGGCGAGGGACAATATGCGAAACGAGCCGATACAAGGAAGATCTGGGATTTATCAGGGACATGCATCGGTTGCTAAGTTATAAGGGATACGTCTTCCCCGAGGTGCGAAGGGAAGATGCTGCTGTCTTGAACCCTAGTGACGTAAGTTCCAGTCGCTCGGTCCATACGCTATCTATACTAATTATGTCCTGTAGAACCTCAAATCTGCCGAAGAAATGGAGGAGGAGGAGCGAGAGGCACAATCAGCCAAGCTTCAAGAGCTTATTCGTCGCGGTACTCCAGAGGACCTTCAAGAAGCCAACCGCCTTATGAAGGTTATGGCCGGCTACGACACGCGATCGAAGACCGATTACCGCGCCAAGGCTGCTGAGGAGGTTGCTAAGATTCAGGCCAAAGCACGATTACTGGAGGAGCGACTGGACTCTTTCAAAGCAGGCGACAAGATGGAGGATGGCGATGTGTTCAGCGAATTGGCTACTGCTTTGCAAAGCGCTCAGCCAAAGATCCAAAAAATGTGCGAGGAGGAGTCGGATGACCATGAGGCCGTTGCCAAGCTCTTGGAGATCAACGATAGCATACACCGAACGGCAGAACGGTATAAGCTGATGAAGAAGGGTGATATGGAGGGCGCTGCCAAGGTTGCCGCCGGCGCTCCTCCCCCTTCCTCCTCGGGGACTGCTGCTGCATCTTCGAGTGCCGCAAACGAGCTATCGCTTATTGATTTTGATGCTGATGCCAGCAGCAACGGCGCTCAATCGAGCAACGCTCCTGCTCCTAGCTCCAGCGCTGGGGGTCTTGAGAATGACCTCCTTGGTCTCGATATTGGTGGTGGAGAGTCCAGCAGCTTTGGCCAGGGTGGCGGTATTGCTCTTGGCTTTGGCGCAAACTCAAGTAAGTTGTAATTCTAGAGCAGTCATGGCTTTCCGACGTACTAACTCCAACCAGACATCCCAGGCCCTGCGCTGCTATCTTCTATGACCCAAGACAACTCTGCCAGAGGTCAGGTGTCAACTCCAACCCCTCCCCCTTTCTCGCAATTTGCCTCCTTCTCACAGCCCGTCTCCCAGACGGCAACTCCTCAGCCCTCTATTCAGCAGCAACCTGCTCCCCCAGCTCAGCCTGCTTCTGACCCCTTCGCCATGCTCGGGGCTGGAAGCATGGCCTCTCAGCGCGTATCTCCTGCGCCAACTCAACAGCAGCCTCCCGCAGCTTCGAACGATGACGACGAATGGAGCTTCTCTTCAGCATTGCCTCCAGAGCCTAGCAAGCCTAAGGAGCACCAAGCTACCGTAAGCAGCACGAACGTCAAGATCGAGATGATTGCGAGAAGAGCTCCTGGTAATGAGAACGCCATCAATATCGTCTTCGCGTTTTCCAACAACGTACCCCAACCCATTAGCGAGCTTCACTTCCAGCTCGCTGTTACAAAGGCAAGTTGATCCATTCTATGAGCATCGGTACCGAGCACTAACCTTGAATAGGGCTACGAACTCCAGCTCAAGCCTCAGACCGGCCGTGACCTCGCTCCCCAACAGAGCCGCGGCGTCACCCAAGAAGTCCAAATTTGGCATGCGGGTAACCGTGCCCAAAAGGTCACAAGTGCCAAGTTGAGATGGCGTGCATCTTACAAGCTGAACGAGCAGGCCGTTAATGAGATGGGTGAGGTGACCGAGTTCAGTCTCGCATAAGAGCGATATTGTTTTTTCTTCTTTCTATCGGGAGGCACAGATATCTAGTATAAGTGTTGGACGAAGTTAAAGAGTGGGATGGTGCTTGTCACAGAAAGGGGTATGGCGTAGCAATGTTTATATGCGTCAATGGATGAAGCACATGGCAGAGAAGAGCAAAAGCGAGTCCGCAGATCTTTTCTGATTTGTCAAGTGAGCAGTTACCTTTGATATTTTACGTCTCGTGAACGGTAGACTTTCGAGCGACTTTTAAGAGGGTAACATAGACAAGATAGAACGAAATGAAACCTGAGCGAGGGAGGTTCCAAGGCTGGTGTGAAGGCCTTATCATATCTTCAAGACGCTTTCGGTCTAATCTTTATCGAGAGAAGACAGAGCCAGAAGTTTACCGTATTTCCTCAAGTTCATATCGCAAGACAGAGTGAATGTGACAGATCAGCTACGAATTAACCAAGGCTCTGCATAGACAAGCATGTTCACGTAGTCATTAAGTCGTTTGCAGTCATGTGGCAATTCATTGCTTTTACATTTGATGAACTCCTACTCTAACATCTATTTAGTTCCTGTAAAGCAATTTCTTCGACGTCAATGCCACCTAAATGGTTATGGCGCCTTCTTTGTCATGGTTCAAAACTCGTCGTCGTCTGAGATGAGATAACCGTCTTCCCTGTTCCTCTCTTCAATCGTGACCCGACATCTGTGGTACTCCCAAATGCAACCTTGTAAACGCCCCAGCCCCTTTTTGAAAAATAAAAGAAAAGAAAAACAAAGCTCTGGCACTCCAATACTCCCACAAATCTGAAAACTTTGAAAACGATGCCATACCAGGCAAGCTATGCTCCGCAAAACAACGTTAGGGGGTGAAACAAAGGAAAGCGAAACAAGTCCGATGTGAGCAGTATGGAAGGTGTCGCAACGACACTCAGTGCCGGAGGGCGGCGAGGAGGTCCAGAGTATAATCTAGCAGCAGTTCAGATGCTGAAGAACGATCCTTTCCATTTCAGAGTGCCTCTCGATCTTGACATCGGTAAAAGAGCTGGAAAGCGTTGGGCGATGCTAGGCGCCCAATTCACTAACGGCCAAGGACGGTGTAGTCGGGTTCAGTGAATAGCCACTGTGAGTAGGCGTCTTGGCCATTTGGGCCATGGTCTCGCGCTCAGCCTTCTCGCGCTCACGCTGCGCCTTCTCTTGTTTAGTAATGCGAGGTTTTCTAGTGACGGAGCCGCCACGAGATCCGGGGCCGCCTCCACGACCAGTCCCGGCTCCACCCCGAGTTGATGCACCTCTGGCACCTCCACGGCTACCTCTTCCACCACGTCCTCGCTTGGGAGGCCCCTCTTGTCTAGTGACTGTTAGCATAAGATCAGAATGGATGGAATTCAACGGTACGTACCCAGCCGCTGGCTTTTCGACCTCGGGCACCAAGGGACCAGAGTAAACAAAGAATCCGTCACGGCTTGCTGCTGCCTGAGCTTCCCACAGAAGCTCTGAGTCATCCACGAAGTCATCATCGACATCGTACTGGTCTTCCTTGAAATTACGCTTCTTTTTGGGCTTGGCCTGCGCATCAACACCACTGGTGACACCGTTGTCGGGGTTGCTAGCCTCGGCATCGGACAGGTCAACAGACATTTCATCACCAGATTCGCGACCAGACTCTGCCTTCTCTAGAGAGGCAGCTGCCGCAGCAATGCGGGCCTTGCGATCTCGGTTTGCAGCCAGACGAGGGTGAAGAGCATCCCAGCCGTATCGATCTTCAGCCATGCGCATGAAGTTGACATATCTGTTCGTCTCCCCGGGCTGGATAGGTACACTGAGAATGATGGTAGGGGCTTGAGCTTCTTCACCTGGCTTGGCTCGGCCAAAGTCGAGGATTGATCGACCTTCCCCTTCCTGCATGTCATCCAAGTTGTCGGTTTTGGGCGTTGAAACTCCGGTATGGGGTTTCTGCTTTGGCGATGACTTTTTGATAGGACCGTTAGAGATTGTCGTAAAGTTAGACTCCTTGATGACTGGGCGTTGAACTGGCGGCGGTGGTGGTGGAGCAGAATCCTGCTTAGCTTCCTGCACAGGCGGGCGTGAGGAAGGAGTTGGCGTCGGTGTCGAAACTGTCTGAGGTTCTTTGGATGGCGATGGAGGCTGAGAAGGCTCGTGTGCATGGAAGCGAGGTTGGCTTGGAGGCTGATAAGGGCTGCGCGATTCGCTTCCACCAAGGAGACTTGCAATGGTTGGCGAGCGGTTGGGCATTTGCGAAGGGGCCCTTGGTGACCCAGAGGCCGAATTATAAGAGTTATGAGAGACCATTGTCCCACGCACAGGATCGTAGTTACCACGAATGGGATCGTAGCTTTGGCCGCTAGTTCGTACAGGAATCGATGTAGAATTGTTAGCCTGCGACTGCGGTTGCGAAGAAGGCCGTTCAGTTGGAGGGTCCGAGTTCAAGAGGCTTTGCATAGATCCAAAATGTTCTCGCTTCGCCATCTTGGGTGAATAACGCTGCTCAGGTTGGTGTGATGACGATGATGGTTGTAGATGATGTTGACCAGGTGAAGATGCTGATAGATTAGAGACGTCGGCAATGTGCGACTGGCCCCCGGTAGACGCCCCAGCGGCAATGGACTTGGAATCGGAGGGAACGTCATCTTCACCATCGGCAGCATTCATCTTCCTCTTTCGCGGCATGGGTGGTGCATTGGGATCGCGGGGCTTTCGAGGCTTTCGCGCAGCCTTTGCTATGTCGGCACCGTCTGAGGTTCGAGGCTTCACAATAGTCCCTGGTTTACGCCCCGGCTTCTTTCTGGGGACACCTGCAGCAGTTAATTGCACCCATTGGTTATCGACGAGCGCATATCGCCTAGCAGGTCCAGTGCCTGATTGCGGTGGCATGGGAGGTGGAGGTCGGTCGCCGTGGTTCTGGTGGCCGATGTGTTGATATTGACCGTCACTGGAAACGACAACGATCTCATCATAGTCTTGTGGTGGACGACTGCTCGAACCGTTCCGTGATGGCGAGCCGGGGTCGGAAAGTGATCCAGAGGGAGGCGAAGAAAGTTCCCCGGCTGATGAGTCGTATCGCGACATAGACGTGTCGCCAGCTGTTGCGGTCATGCTGAGATGTGAAGAGGCTGTGAATAGCCTCGTGAAGGAAACCGTGTGGCGTGTATTATAAATTGAAGGGACAAACTAATGCAAGCTTATTGCATCCAGGATCACCAAACCGGAAAACAAGAAATTACTGCCAGCCGAACACAATAGGTAACTAAGAACAAAAGATCAGATAAGGCTTTGTCGCGTAGGCAAGGCTGTGATTCAATGCAGCTCAAGTCGAGAACGCAGCGAATAGCGGTCGGCAACGTACTGTAGTGGTGTAGTGGTACACGCTAATGGCGCGAAACGCACCACAAAGTCGGGTACAGGTACGGCGAATAGAAAGCGTCCAATAGGTGGCGTGCGGGTCTCGTCAGGAAACGGAATGGTTGCAGGCGGGAGAAGCGTCAGAGGTGAAACGAGCTGTGAGTGGCCAGACTGTGGAGTGCAGGTGCGGGCGGTGGAGAAGCTCGAATCTCTGAATAGCCTCAAGATCTTGGGTCAGGTAACGACGTTGACCGTCAAAGCAGCTTCCGACACGAAAAAAGAAGCCGACTGCGGAATTGAGGTTGTTCTGAAAGCGTCACAGAATACTGCTATTCGAGAAGCAGAAAATGACAGCAAATCGGAGATGATTAAGATGTGCGAATAGTGTCGATTTGATGAAATTGGGCGATTCCAATGATAAAATCGTCGGTCGTTGTTGAGAAAAACAGGTGAGAGGTGGAGGTTTTGGTGAGGGAGGGGGGGAGAAAGAAGAAGGAAAAGGGAAGAGAAATGAGATGGGGATGGCTACGTTTTTTTTCCGGGGCGACGACAATATTTCTTATTTTCCAAGCCAGGAAGGAGAAAAACGGGGCAAAGCCAACAGCTTCTTTACATTTGAATGCTACGACTCGAACAACAAACGACGAGAGTCAAGGCAAGGCAAGGCACGAGGTACGAGAAGGAAACGAGAGGGGGGGAAGCGGACCAGACCAGACCGGAGCAGAAAGCATCATCTGGCAAAAGGGAATGGAACCGAATGATACCACAGGAAGGCAAGGCAAGACAAGGCAAGGGAAAGGGAAACCTAGGGAAGGGGAGATTGTATTAAACCGCCGAGGGGCGTGGCTAATTCCTGAACTCTGGGACTCAAGATATCTAACAAGACCAGAGAGTCAGCTAAGGATAGGGGGTCTACCAAGTAATTGGACCAAATGGAAAGAGTCAAATTGGAGAGCGTCACCAGAACCTAGAGCCTAGAGCATAGAGCCTAAAGCGTAGGATAGAGGAAGATGCAATGGGAGAGGCATGCATAGTGCAGATTACAGTGATAGAGTCTAGAGAGAACGAACATTAACCAGCAGACGCACGGATACTTTACTTGGAAGGAAGGTACCTTTTTAATACCGACTCAGATTCCATGTGCAACATCCGAAGCGCAGGGGGGTCGGGGGTCACTCAGTTCTTTAGCGTGGGGAAACGCCAGGAATAACTTTCTCGCTTGTGACATGTACCTTTTACGTGCTACAATTGGATATAGTCTTTCACAACATGTCATTTATCTTACAAGCAACAGTTCTCGTCACATAACACGCTATTCTCCTGTCCTTGTGACCTTTTTTGTTTACCAAACTCGACGTTTCGTCAGCAATTAATTCGAAAAATCCACCTCCCTAGTGACATGACCCCCCTTGAATGGTGTGGACCATCTCGTCCCGGAACCAGAAACGTTGAACCAAGCTTAGGCGCGGCACGTCGGCAGGGATTTGACGCGGCTGCAGTCAGGGCTGCATCAGCCACATGTTTGTTTTTTTCCCTTGGTTTATAGTGTGGCGCTGACTTGTTCAATGTGTCGGAAGTAGGCTCTGTGAAGGCATTTAACAATCAGGCACTTCTTTCATGGCTAGAATATTGATGGGAATTAATCCTCGATGCTCATTCTCCTCTTGGTGCTGTCTTTCGTTAACCTTACCCGGGTAGGTAGGTCCGGCTGGTCATCAACTGATCTGACAAGGATTACCGTACCCCGACAATCGGCACTTTTTTCCATACTGTATACGCAATCATCAGCTACAGAGAGACTTTCGACGAAGCACGATTCGCATAAATTATATGCTTCTAAGTTTCACAGTTGAGTCATGATTTCAGATATATTGAGTGCTTTATTCAAAGGATAAATCGACCATCATAAGGCTGGCTCCACTTGCATACCCTTAACTAAATGCCGAAAACAAAAAGGATACATAATTCCCATCAGAAGGTACACAAAACAAACCCTCAGGGATGCTCATCGGTCAACTGTAAGTTGTTATTAATAAAACCTGACGTTGTCTTAACAATAAAGCCACAATTTGTAATGTGAGCAAGGTTCTCTGGTTCTGTGGCACACTGATTCTGGAATCCAAGAAGGAACGAGCATCGATCGACGCTAATGCACTAGCATCCTGGTCCAAATCTGTGGCGGTGCGACATGGCCTCACAATCCTAAATGGCCAGGTTTACCTTAATTAATGGAGGGACAAAGCTCGGCACTTTACTGCAAAATATATGCGAATAATATTAAGTATGCCCTTACAATAATTACTTGATATCTTTCTGCGCTCCTGTTAGCAAGTCGAGAAATTTAACTACTCTTATCCTGCGATGCTATTTTCAGGGAGGGAAATAGATTGTAATTAGAAACCCGCATTTACATAACCTTGGCATGGATTGTGAGAATCCTCAGCTCGCTCTCATCCGAGGATCAATGCAACCACCAACAGATTTTATCGCTATACAAAAAATATGCCACTACCTCCAAAATCTTCCTATCATTATATCATATCAACTAACACGGATTTTTTACTTTCTTTCCAACACCCTCTCGGTGACAGGTTCAAGTCAACCTTTTTTTTTTTTTTTT